AGCCCAATTTGGCCATATTCAGCCCTTCGCCACATCTCGGAAGAGCTCCATCTTAATCCGACCGACCGGATGACCTATCGAGAAGAATCAGTATCAGTCGGGATCAGGGTTCACGTGCTATCAGAGTGTCTCTGGTGCTTGCATTGAGCAACCTGTCTAGTGCCTCCGATGGAGATGTCAAAGAACACCACGGGGTTGTCAGGATGCCTGTCTTTGGTGCTTTACAACCCCTAAGCCCCAAATCCTTCTCCTAAACCCTAAACCCTAAACCAGGCAGCTCAATGCAACTGCGCCTTTGTGGCCTGTTCTCGGACACCTGGCCAGCCATCCTGTGGTCAAAAGCGCAAAAAACGCCACTTGCATTTACAGGAATCCACCCCTGTCAAGGGGGCTTGCGGTGTTGAATTTTAGGACTTGGGATATTTTTAAGGCTCGTGGAGATTGGGGGGCTTCAGGTTGTTGCATTAAGCCATTAAGCCCTAAGACCTGAAACGATGGATGCGAGTTTGGAAGGAAGCACGGGCGATGCGCAAAGGCCTGTAGGTACAACAACCGACCATGGCCATGAAGAACAGTATTGTTTTTCTGCTTTGCTTGAACTATTTAGTGAGGTTCTGCCGCTACCCCATACACGCGTATGTATGCATGTAGGCAAGTTCTGTTTATATCTTCAAAGTATGCACTATCTCGTGCAATCTCAAATACCGAAATCGAGGGTGCCGTACGAGTGACCCATTGGATGTTCTTCATGGGTAGTAGCTCATCTAATCTCATCTATGTCCTGATTTCCATATCCAGTTGTCATTTGGACGGCTTTGAATATGGTTTCCCCTTTGGAACTGCAGGCTTCAATTGCCGCAACATTTTGGCAAGATTCGGGAGTTCGGGACTTCGGGTAACAGGACAGTCGCATGGTGAAGGGGATAAACTCGCGAGAATCGTCAATGCTGTTGAATCCACGCTAATTTGAGATGACAGGAGCGTCAGAATAATATCGCATGAAAGTGTTGGGACCACAACTTTGAATGGCTTACATAGCCCTGTGTACAGTGCTGGCTAAACTTCCTTGCATGGTAAGTACAGCCATGAACGACGACCCCTATCGAAGCCCAACGATCTGGAAACTTGCTGCACGGCGTTGTGGAAGGTGAACTCGCGTGTTTGTGTCGGTCGTGGCAACTTCTCAATCAAGTTAGTTTTCCTTTGAACTTTCAGAATTCGTGCTGAACCGCAAAATCATCAGAGTACGCTTCTGTCTGTGAATCTATGTGTGTGAAACCTGAAAGACATTGTAAGGACGATGCACAACACGCTGCAGGGGCGATCCCGCTTGGAACTCGGTTGTGACATGCGGAGTGACAAATGATATGCAGCCGCACCTGGAGAACCAGCTGGAACTCCGTGGCTTTAACTTGCGGACTCCTTGACTCCTTGAGCCCGTCTGCGATAAGCGGAAACTCGTCCAGCTGCCCATTTTAAGCATTGCATCTGCCAGCTTTCGACATGAAGATTTCGTTGAACCATGGCAGGACATTGAACGGACGGAAGTAGCGACAAGCTCACTGATTGATGGCCATGACAATTCTAAGCCTCACCAACACTCCATTAAAGATTTTCGGCCAGGATTTTGCAGGTGGAGTTGCCATTTCAGCACTCCCTCCAGGTGAAACGCGCGTGCAAGTCTGGGTTGGTGCTCGTCACTCGGCACATTCTATTCTGACTCTAGGGCCCGAAGACTTAACTCAGAAGCAACTGTTTGAAAGGCTTGGTTCTAGTTCTCATTTCCTTTCGAGATCGTCGGAACACGAAGCAGGGGTGCAGAGGGCATCCTAAATTTTTCGGGACAGGGCAATTATAGGCAAGATGACAGGTCTCTCAGCGGAACTGGAGCGCATCTTTCGCCTTCTGGAGGAAGATGGTTTCATCCTTGCCCAAGAAGGTTGAGGGCTGCGGGGGTTGAGGGGAGAGGGGGTGAAAGGGAAAGGTTGGTGGGTTCGCTTATCAGGTGTTTTGAGACCATCAAGATATATCAAAATCCTGGCTCAGGCGGCTGCTAAAGGAGCGCTTGCAGGCGCTTGTGCGTTTCTGCCGAATGCCAAGGATGATGGATGCAGTCTTGTGGAGAGCTGTGTTGTAGTGCTTGTAATCAAGATCCTGTGCAGCTTGGCACCATGAGTCGTGGGAAAGCCGAAGGCAGTGGACAAACCCTAGAAATCATACCGTGCAAACAGCAGGCAGGCTAGAGGTGGGGGGTTTTAGGGCTTTCGGGGACTAGGGTAAAGTTTAGGGGGTAATTCGGGGCTTCGGTTCTGGCACCAAGGCGAATTGATTTTGCACATGACAAGGGGCGCTGCTTCAGTGCCTGTCTGGGTCATGACCTACTAATTTGGAGGGTTTGGGAATCTTGGCAGCTGCCTAGTTGGAACGGTTGGTTCGTGTCTTGTCCAAGAGCTTGGGCTTGGAGCTTAGCGCTGAGGCCGCTGCAATTTCCGGTGGCAGCTCGATTGCCTCGCCGGTTTACACTTTGGCTCCCGAGCACTAAGTCGCCAAGCCCTGAACCCATGGCATCAACTGAAATATCTGCTTTGCTCAACGCGCCATTTCGCAGCAGTCCCCAGCCTCCACGTCCTCCTTCTGCTTTTGGGAGTTCGCAAGGGACAGCAGTGCTTTTCTTGCCTTGTTTGGGCAGAGTGGTGTGCACACTGTTACAGTGCCAACCATTGCCGTTCACCCTCTCAGCTTCTTGCTTGAACCTCGCTGATCACGCCCATCTGCATTAGATCTGCAAGGTTGAACACAGCCTTGATCTCGGCATCCTTCAGACTTCAGGGATCTGTCTCCCTTCTTACGAAATGGTGTGGGGCAATTGGAGCCTGCCTCGGAGTCTGCATATATCTATGTTTTCTCATCCTTCCCCCCGAAGGCTCCTCGAAATTGCCTGCTGATGCACCTTCGCGTTCGCGCAATTGAAGCTCCTGACCGTGTCGACGCCGAAACTACGGCCGGATGCCCCGCGGGCTCAACAGAATCCTGAGTCCCTAAACCGGAAAATGCAAACGGATCAAAGCTGGCAGCCTGCAGGAGGAAGCCGCGCACATCCCCAGGCTTGTGGAAGCAGAGGGAGGCACCGAGATCCTGAGCACCGAGCAGAGCAGCGAAGTTGAAACGACTCGTGTCACAAGTGCCAAACACAAAACCCAGTAACTAAAGCTAAACGTCCCTGAGCCCAACTTCCCCGAAAGGCTCCATATGCCAAGGCACGTTGAACAGCTCTAGGATGCGGTGCCTCTCAGAGCTTTCTTGAGTGCCGTTTTCGCTGTGTCATCACATGTGCGAGCGCTTCTCGAGCACGGCGTAGGCTCAGGGCTTTTGGAGGTACTCGTCCGCTTTCTGCAGCTCCTCTCCCATGTCCACTCCTGGTGCTGCCGGGTTTGGCAGCTCTCTTGCGCAAATATAGCAGTTTGACTCACAGTCCAGGCCTTGCTTGCGCACGACCACGACGAGTCTTTCTTGCACAGCTGTCTGCAGCTGTCTCGATCCAGGTGGCGGGCACGTGTGCAATACGCGCCTATGCAATGCTGACATCGAGGCGTGATAGTGTCAATCTTCATCTATTGTGACACAGCGTTCTTGCTGCGGTGCAGCTTGTTCTGACGCATGCACTGGTCGGGCCACTGTCAGCTTCTATTTCAGAGCTTGCGGCAAGGACTCGGCGCATTTGCCTTGTACACATCCGCCCACGGCTCAAGTTCCTTGTGTTGTCTCTAAAATCTCTAAAAACACCTCCACCTCTCTGCCAAGGTTTGCAAAGCCGCAGCACAAGTGTTTCTGCAGGCGCTTGTGGGCGCTTTAACGATCACTCAAATTTGTGAGCTAGAAAAATCGAAGCATGTCTGGCCATCAGGACACGCTCATAAAATGGCTTTTCTCTGTGGCACACTTCAGAAGAAGCAAATCGCAATGTGAATCCAATCGCGTGAAACAATGAATGTCGAAGGGTTTTGCTCACTCCAGGTGATCACCTGAGCTATGTTGGCAGTTGACTGCGGTCCCTGCTTGCTTGGTCGCATAGATAGTTCGGTAGTTAATGTGGTTGACAAATCAGCGGTTCTCCTTGAGCTGTGCTAGGTGCTGTCTTGCCATCAAGAAGCGAACTATGCAAACGGTCAGGCCCTTCGCTTGAGCGACGCAGAAAGGAGGAATGCTGCCTTAAGTTGGCAATAAACTTGTGCAATCTGCATTCCCTTGCAACTCCGTTGGCAAACCGCAGAGTCGTCTCTCACAGGAAGATCGGCTCCCTGCCGTTGCCGCCAACGCCAGGACCCAAAAACAGCATCGAAGCACCCTCTGCCTGCTGGAGAACTATCTGCAGCACACTTGACTGGACATGCTGTGGGCTGGCAGAAGAGTTCCGACTCCAAAGCCCCTCTGAGCCTTGACGAAAATCCTCAAACCCTAAACGCCCTGCTTTACAGAAATCTTACAAATCCATCTCCAAACGCTGGCATATAAAGCAAAGCGCTGAAGCGCTGAAAAGCAATGGCCGATGCCGGTTGCGCCGGTTACGGTGCAGTGAGAAGATGGCGAAAACACGGTACCACTGGCTCGACTCTCATGGTGATTCTGCTAATGGTCACTCTGCTCGAGCGGATGGTAGCTCTGTCAGGTCTGAGCCTTATCTAGAAGTACGTAGCAGTCGTAGTCATAACAATACTCACAGTGTAACAATCTTGATGCTGACTGCAAAGTAACCAGAACATCTAATCATATACGGCGGCAACCCCTACTACGACCACGACGACGATTACTAGCACGGCTACGGCTGCGACTGCTTCTGCTGCAGTCCACCTACTGCTGCTGCGGCTATTCCCATTCTGGCTATTGTCTATCGCCGCTACTATGTGATTGCGTTTTTGAATATTGTAACTACGTAGGCGTATAGTTGTCATGTGCGCAGGTCCACGTGGGAACGAGGCCTTGCAAGCCGCCAGGATCCCTGATTTCACATCACCGGAAGGCTGTGTCACCTTGCGAAGCGATACACAGCAAGCGGATTCATATTCCATTGTTGAGTCCTTGTTGCTTACAGGATATTACAGGCTCACACAGCGGACAGGCTGGCTGCTTTTGGATGATATTTGCCCTGGAGCTTGTCTACTCCCAGCTTGTCGGTTTTAGCGCTATTGTTTCTCTTACTTCCCAACTCCAATATTGGAGCAAAAACAGTGTCTCATAAGCAAACCTAGTTGGTTGGCTTCAAGGCTTTTCCCACTTCACTCTGAAGCCTGTCGGGCCTACAAGCCCTACTAGAAACCACAGTCTTAACGATGCCCAGAGACTCGTAGCTATTGATTCGTGCTAAGACCCTTCCCAGAGGTCACGGAGGTGAGGTAACCAGCATTAAACAGCCCTCCCTCTGATACGGCTCCACCAAGATAGCCCTTGCAAGTAATATACAAGTAATATATAGTAATCTATAGTAATCTATAGTAATATATAGTAATATATAGCAATATATAGTAATGTATAGCAATATATAATAATATATAGTAATATATAGTAATATATAATAATATATAGCAATATATAATAGTATATAGTAATATAGAGTAATATATAGTAGTATATAGTAATATATAGCAATGTATAATATATAGCAATATATAGTATTATATAGTAATATATAGTAATATATAGTAATATATAGTCATATATAGTAATTTGGCGTGTGTGGACTCACAGAGCCGTGTAGTTTGCTCGTGAGGCTAGTTCAATGTCAGTTCGAGGGGAACCTTCTGAGTTCTGTTCAGCAGACGCTTCCAGAACATGGCTTCAGAGCTGCCTTGTAGTCAACGGAGATCTCTTTCCCGAGCTTTTTCATCTCCTCTTCGGCGGCTTCCTGTCACGCATGGACCCCCCCCGCAGCGTGCTCAGGTAGAGTTCCCAAGAAAAAGCTTGCCGCAGCCGGAACTGTGCCTTGACCTGCGCCTGCATGTTGGTTCCTGCCCTGGAAGGCAAGTTCGCGAGTGCTGCGAAGGTCTCCTGCCAGAAAACCGCACCTGCGGAGTCCACGGAGTGCAGCGCTCCCTGAAGGCCTCCGTGGCATCCCCCGGGTCGTTCATGGAAGACAACATCATCTCTGGAACGAGCTTGGGGATGTTCAGCGCCACAATCTGCAAGTTTGTGGCCATGCCATGGTAACTTGCGACTGCGCTCTCTTGCATTCACACGCCCTGAGAAGCATCGAGAAAGCCCAGCAGCTTCTTGAATTGCACTCACAGGAGAGGGCAGGGGGGGACGAGACATGCATCCGAGCGTGCATGAAACCACCATGCCTTGTCGCCAGGCTGTGCAATGTCAATGGCCTTGCGCATGGCCTGCTTGGCGCCCTGGATGTCCTGCGCAGCACAGCGGGCAGGGAATGCTACCGTGACGCTCCCATTGCAATATATTAACCCAATGATATGACCAGAATGATAGAATGATAACATGATATCATGATACAATGATATAAACATCTGAACACAATAATAGTATAATATTATAATGCTCCGCACACGATAACTGTGCAGGCCTTGATGCTGATTCCCACCATCATCTTGGTGGATCGGGCGATCCTGTCAAGCTGTCCACTCAGGGGCAACGGAATGCAAGAGTTGGGGACTTGGGGAGTCTTTGGGATCTTTGAGGCCCAATGGAATCCTATGAACACATATGGGGATAAATAAACATGCGAGCATACGAAGCAACCCTTTGTTCACAAGCTCTCATGCCGGTCCTTGAGGCAAACATCCTCACAAAATCCTACAATACAAACGATATGCTGAGCCTAGCCGCGCTCTACGACTTCTACATCTTCTGGAGCCAACGCCAGGGCACCGAAGCCTCTCACCAAAGATCGAGTTCTGTCGCCTCTCCCTCGTGGCGTCCGTTCAGCTCTGGCAGGGGCGCCCCTTTTTTGGTTGCACGGGATGGTGAGCCGTCAGCCCAAGCCAACTGTACACGACAGATTGGAGGCTGCATGCATCTCTCCAGGTACCGGATTGCCAGGTTTGCCATTTGGGCAAAAATGTGTCCGGGCATCCAGAAGAGTGACCACCTGAGTCAATTATAGTCACTTTGCTGCACTGGATTGTGCGGATAGGAACCGTTTGCTCTGATCCTCAAACTATGCCGGCGCAGACCCAAACTCATAACTAAGATCAGTACTCATTATGGACTTCGAGAGCATTCCAGGAGCACCCTGAGAACACTCCAAGAGCATGCTAAGACCACTCTTGCACAGGCACGCCAAGACTTGGTTCTGCACTTCACCGCGGAATCGGGGAGCGCCCGTTGACAAAATGTGAAACGTGAAATGTAAGTCCCCTTAGAACTAGAACGGAGCCGAGGTGGGGGAGCGATTGGACTACAGAACGCGCACGGGACCTAGGCGAGAGATCCATTTGTCACGTTGGGCGATGCTTTAAGCACTATGAGAACTGCGACCCCCGAATCACCTTCAAGCGCACTAGGCGAGAGCTGCCGAGCTTCCGCACGGCCACCCGGACCTAACCCTCCTTCCCCGACACGTTGGAACCCCGTAGAGTTGCCAGCGTTTAGGGAAGAACTCGAAAACCTGATACAAACATTTAAAGTCTCCAGCCATGGACCCACAAAGCTTCCAATGGAAAGTTGCTGCCAGGGCTCCAGCTGTCAGAGGCCCGCCGAAGAACTACCCCTTTCACCGAAATACGCCCTCAGCTGGGAATTGCGTTGAATTGGGGCCGGGGTTCTGGTCATCTTTTAAGATGGAGCCCCTAATAGAATCGATCCTGGAAGAGAGAAACCCCGCAGATCAGTCACAAAAGAAACGCATGCAACTGCACAACTCATGCAAGGGTTACAAGTTACAGGTCTTCAGGGAATCTTGTTCGCGGATTCGCGGCTATGTTTGTGCGGCCGGAGGGTCGAGGGAGCGAATGTCATCGATTCGAAGAAGCCCGCTTCACTGCGCTTTGACTTCGGTGGTAGTGATGGCAGCGCTCTCTGGAGAGACTTTACATTGTTTCCATCAGCATCTGCATCACTGTTCACATTGTTCTCGCCTGCGACTCAAGTGGAGCGCATCCGGAGTCTTTAGGCAACAGATAATGGATGATAATGGCATATAGATTCAAGGCATTTCAAGGCTATAGGGAAGGTGGCGGAACTGTCGGGGAGTCACAATTGTTCCAGAGACTGTGCCCGAAACTCGAAACGCTTCCCCTAGGTTTCATCTTCACAATGCTGGGACATGTTGGGGGGCCCCTCGAGTGCACCCTAGTAGGGCACCCTCATGTCCTTTGGCCCTTTGGCAACTTGCCTTCCGCAATCGGTGGCAAGCCCATTCTGGCGTCCTGCATCCAATCGTGGGCGAGCGCGTCCTTTGCTGAGCTTGGGACCCTGCTCATTGCAGCTGTCCACCCAGTTCGCTACAAAGAACACCGGCCCAATCGGGCCCCCAAACCTATTCAAATTGCATGAACCATGTCGGCCTCGGAGGTTCGGTATGGGAGGTGATGGGATGCTTTCGGATTAAGAACCTGGCCCTGAGAAGGTCTCTTGAGTCGAGCATCGGCCGTTGTCAATCGCGTGTCTGGGCTCTTGTCCAAGAGTCCCTGGTTCAAGATCACCCTAGGGAGCCCCTCGGATGGCTTTGTACTGAGGATTTTAGGGATTTTAGGGTGGGGCCCGAGGGTTGTTCATTTACATGGCATCGCTTGGCTCAGTGCACGAAGTGCGGGACGCCCAAGCATCAAGCCTGCCTCAAGGAAGTGCTTGGCGTCCGCTGAAGTGTTCTGCCAAGCACGGGATTCGAAGGAAAGTGGGTTTTGTCCTCGGACATGAGCAAATACGAGGAGGCCTGTTGTCAAGCAAGCAATTCAATTTTCTGGCTTTTGCCAGCTTCCGACCGGGGTGCTGATGGCGGCTTTGGGCTGCTTTGTCTCCATCAGCTTGAACGGCACCTCAAGACCTTACCAGGATCATCGGTCATCAGTGCTTCCGATCAACCCTGAACCGCCAAGAAACCCCGACTCTTCAGAGTGCGAGTGACTGCTGAGCTCCAGGCTAGTCACAATGTAGGACACCACCCCGACACCCCACACCTCAGCTTGCCGAATCTCGAGCGTTACAATTTACAAACCCTCCCATGTGACCGTCAAGGCTCATCAGAAGGTGGCCCGGTGTTTCCATCCCAGACTTCCTTCGCACAGGGCTCAGGGCGTGGCAAAGTTACTGAGGGACAGCCGTGTGCTCAGGCAGCCGATTGCAAACTGCAGATAAGGATCTGGAGCCATGTAAGCAGCAGTGCCACATCGCTTGATCCGTAAAAGAGTCTTGGCCGTCCTTTTGGGCATCAGCTGTTCGGAGTCACATGGACCCAAGGGGCCTATGTGCACTGGTGCAGCTTGGCCACTCATCCGTGACAGGCGCTTTCAAGACCCAGGCAAGCCCCAGGTCGAAAAGCCTGAGTTTGGAGCATGAACAAGAGCTCTTCTGTTGGTGTCAGTGGAGTTCTGTGGAGAGTGGGCTTGCGACATCTTGCGCACAGTGCGAACGTGCCGAGCCACTTCAGCTCCGGAAGCGGCTGCCCAGCCACAGGAGGCTTGATGAAACCGAAATTCTCCGGCTTGATGTCCCCTCAGCTTTCAGCTGCATCGTGGTCGTCTGTTTTGGGGCCAGCTACCTGCCTGAGATCTTGATGCACTCTGTGGCTCCGGCTGTGGAGTGCACCAACAGTTCGGTGTAAAAAGTGTACCGCCTGCTGGCGAGCATGAGACATCCACAGAACCTAGATTCACCTAGGTTACTAGATCGATCCCTTCTCGTCCTAAAATCTAATTCGTCCAGGTTGTTCGATGCAGGCTCACTGGCGCGGCCTTGACGATTTGCCTCGGCTGCGACTGCAGGTCGCAGCTCCCAAACAAGATGAAGGCGAGAGCATGCATGCTATGATGCTATTCTGACACAGGTTGCAACTTGCAACTTTCAGTAACCAAGGCACTTCACAAGCCCTGAAGCTATTCTCTCTTCCAGCTTGACAGATCTCTGGGCTAAGAAGTCGAAGAGGTCTGGGCCTGAGCAGCATGAACTAACCCTATAAACCATACATGACAAACCCTGAACACTGTAAACCCTGAAAACCATAACCCCCCCCCCCCCCCCCCCCAAACGTCTATATCATCTATCAACCCTCCAGGCCTATGAACCCCAAATGCCCGCTTCTAAAAACCACTCAGCGTGGCACCCTCGAGCAGCTCCATGACCTGAGGGTTTAGGGGGTTCACAAGGTTCGCAGGATTCCGGTTTGCAGGATTCCTAGGGCTTAGGGAGGCTTTAGGGTTCATAGGGGCTTAGCAGGGTTCAGGGTGGTGCTGTGCACGTTTGGGGCTGCTCAGGGTCTGGCTGGCCCTAAAGCCCTCAAAAAAAACCTTCAACTGCAAGCCCCCAAAAGGCCCTTAGCCCTGCGCCTGGTACAGCGCTTGCTGCGGATGCACGAAGGCTGCGATGAAGCCGAGGATGCCTCGGGAAGTGAGGTGTTGTTTTGTTCTCGGATTTTAGGGTGCCCTGAGGACCCTGAGGACCCTATCACCATCCACTTCCATCCCCTAGCCCTAGCCTTCGACCCCTTAGCCCAACAAACAACCTAAAGCATCGTTTGAAAGCCCCACGGGATTCAAGATGAGAACTCGTACAACTGAATCACTCCTACGACCCTCACAACCCTTCTAAGCCCCTACTGAAGCTTTCGCCACTATTTTTCATAAGCTCAACTCCGGGCTGCCGTTTTCAAGCGGCTCACTTCCGGTCATCCAGCGAATGTACTCCAGATGGCGGTCAGGCGACACGGCCAGGAGGCTGTATGCAACCTGAGGATGGTAAAATAGGGGTTCAAAAAACTCCCCCAGAATGCGTTAAGAAATCCTAAGAACTTTCTGCTCCTGTGCGGCTCTTGAGCTAAGGAAAATGCAGGCACGCCTGTTTTTCAAGCCCCGCGCGCAGATGTAGACTCAGAAGACTTGCGGGCGGAGGCATGGCCAGAACTGCGCGTAGTGCTTCCTGCGGCTCTCTGACAACGTCAATCAGCTTGCCACAAACAGCCCAATCGATCTTGAATCTCTGCGGCCGTAGTGCCGAGCAGCTTCCACAGTAGCAACGTGGCTCATGGCCGCTGGCTGTGAGCCCCTTCCATCAACCACGTTGAAGCCTGCGGTCAAAGTGAAGTGGTCGAGCCAACATGCCGCTGCCACGCATGGCCTCTGTTCATCTCTGTTCTTCGCTGTTCCCACCCGGACCTCGAACCTCAAAGACCTCCTCCAATACACAGCTTCCCAGATGTGTATATAAACACATAGCTATAACATCACAAACGCACAAACCGACATACATACATGCAGACATACATACGTCTATGGACATTGCTAAATCGACACACACACACACATGTATGTGGGTGTACATGTATATGCATATATGCATACATATGCGCTAGATGCACATAAGAACCTCGTGAGCCGGCCTGGGAGCTGTGACTGCTCAGGCGCTTTGTCTCCAAGTAGAGCTCGGGCACAAGCCGCCATGGACTCGCCTGGGACCGCGACCGCGAGGTATCTCCAGGCAACCAGGTTTGGGTGGTGAGCAAGGGAAGGAATGGAATGCATGATCCTGCTGCTTCTGGGTCAATATCGCGCTGTGACGCCCGAAGCTGCGGACTATGAAGGATGTTATCTGCAGCACTTTAGGAAGCCAAGCCCACTCGAAGCTAGACCAGCGGAATTATCTCTAAGAACCTAATGGCCAGGGGGCTGTTGCTCTCCACATTATAGCCGCCCTCCTGAGCCAGGACGACTCGGCCGTTGGCAAGTCCTCGTGCAACGAGGTTCGATCCGGAACCGATTTTTCAAGGACCCTTCGGAAGACTGGGAAAGGCAATGCCTGTGCACGTGGAAGCGCCAATCTCCAGACCAAGCTTCCCATGAGCCGCTTTGTGATCTCATAAAACCCGTTGGGCGTCACAATGCAGCCACCTCGGTCATTACCAGCAGCAATGAGGTTAGGGATATTTTGGGATGGTCCATTGACCTTACTCGTCTATCCTTGCAAGGGGGAGACGAAGACTTGAAAGAAGAGCAACCTTAGAGCTGTTTCGGCGCATACCCAAAAACCCTTAAACATATACGTAACCACCAAGCCGATGGAGACCCTTAAGAGCCACTGAAACTCAGTAAACTTGAGAGACTTTTTTAAAGACAAAGCCTACAAAAGAGGGCCCTGGATTCGAGCTACCCAGCGGCCCAGTGGGTCGCCCGGGGCCGCATCGAAACCCGCAGAGATGAGCACCAAGTCGGGTGCGAAGGCTTCTGCGATCCTAAGCCATGGGTTCTGGGATCTGTTTTTTTGGGCGGGGGGGGGGAGGGGGGGAGACTTGCAGAGCTTACAGGGATTTTAGGACTCGAGGTATAAGATCTTACAGGGATTTGGGGGGGTTCCATGGGATCTCAAGGGGTTGCCGGTACCGAATAATGGGGCTATCTGGCAAACCAGGAAACCATATTATGCTTCCCTTGTTGTGGTAACTTGATTTCCCTGACAAGAACCCTAAGGTTACGGTGGTTTGCGGAGCTCTCGCACGCAAAGGATCGGCAGGAAGAGGCGGTCGAAGGCGTAGAGAAACCTCGGATTGGGATTCAGGGTTTAGGGCTTACAAAGGTTCAGGGTTTTAGGGTTTTCGGGCTCAGACTTTAGGGTTTTCAAGTTTAAGTGTGGGGTTGCGGGCTTAGGTGCATGAACTTTGCTTCTTACGCTGGTGACTCAATGACTGTTGCAGACTGTTGCAGAGAGAGCAACTCTGCATCCCCAGGTGGGGTCTTGCTCTTCTCCACCTCCCAAGGAACATTCACAGTGTAGCCTTCGCCTGTCAAGCAGACTTTTGCTTCACAGATTGCTTTTCTATTGCTCAGCTTTGCAAAATAAAACTTATCATCTGATCTGCACCCCAGTTTGGGTGTCACCTGTGCCAACTCCATGGCTGGTGAAGTTGCCGAGTGGTCCCGTGGGGTAGTACTTGCCACGATCGTAACGATGCACCGAGCAAAAGAGAACCTCGCATCAGGTTGAGGGTTGTTCGTCGAGGATCTGCAATTCGGCTGGTTGGACAGCTGGTTGGGACAGCTTATCCAGCAGTGTATCAGTGTATCTGGCTTCTAACATGCTACCCTTCGATCGAAGCTCATGCCCCACGTTGCTCAACGGTTGCTCACTCAACGGTCGCCATCAACACTAGATCTGTCACTTCTTGCTTGGATGACTACGCACACGAGTGGCCGATTGGTCGTCTTCGAACATCTTGTGCGTCCCATTCCCGTGGTGGACATCGAAATCTACAATGAGTGTCCTGGCTGACAGACCTGGACACGCGAGACATCCAACATGAGGCCTCCTTTAAGCCTTTGCAATTCCTTTGCAATCTGCAGCCCTGGGGCCTTTTTGCCTTGCCATGGCAGCTGCCAGCCCAACATTGCCAAACAGGCAAAAGCCACGTGCCATGTTGCTCTCGGCATGGTGGCCTTGTGCAAGGATCGATCGGAGTTGGTTGTAAATTCTCAGCCAGCCAATGAGAACAGATGTACGAGTAGCACAGTCCTGCTGCAAACGCCCCTTTCCACACTCATCGGAAAATTTGCAGAAAAACACCAAGCAGGTCAGGGGCCTGGCGGTCGCACCACGCAAACGGCACTCTGCACTTCCCCAGCACAGACCCGCTCCGTGGCAGTTAGGACACTGCCCGCCGCCAGCAGGGCAGCCTTCGGGAAGCTTCGGGGCGGGTTCGGAGGTCTGAGGCCCGGGCCTTAACTTGAGCTGAGATGAAGGGCATTTTACTGCAAGAAAGACAGCAGTTGCCTCCAGGGAGTCTGGGCAGAGGAAGATGCTGTCGTACTTCTGGCCTCGAGAGGATCGTCATTTCATATGTAACCATGGGGGACACTCGTCTGGAAGCGTGGCTGCTGGACAAACTCATCCGGACTAAGTGTGTGTCCCAGCTCAATCGTCGCCTTACAACAGTCTGGCCATCCAGACGGGTCTCGAATACCAGTACTATACTCACATTCTATACAAATTCGACATTTATAAGTACTCCACAAATATAATATATATATATATATAGATATATACAGTGTAAGTGTAAGTATGTCTTGCTTGGAACGAAACTCTTAAGGTCCGGGGCCTTGAAGCTGGCTTTTGGGGACGGGGCACTTCTTCGGTCATGCTCTGCATCTCGAACATCGCGTCCACGTGCTGCGCAGTGTGTTTGAGCTCCAACTCCTCTCTGGTGGCCTTCCTCGGTTCTGCAATGAAAAAACTATTTCAGAGTCTTCAGACCTCCCCAAGCTTAGTACGTACAGGCTCTGAAAATGGCTCCGAAAATGGCTCTCACATATCAGAGTTTTTCGGGCCATTGAATGCCAGAAGGATACCTCGCATCGAGGCGGACGCACCGCCGCACCAGGCCCTCCCTTTCCAAGTACTCGAAGACCTTGAGGATGCGAGCAGGCTGCTCTGGGTGCGATGGGTCCTCCGAGAGTAGTAGCCCAGCAGAAAGAGATGGAAAGAGACATCTTCCGCCATGCGAGAAAAAAGAAAAGCAACTAAGCTCGTCTTACAAAGGGCAGGTGAGCATGCTTCAGGCTGTCCTCCAAGTTTCGATGCTGCGCCATCTGCTCATCGAATACCAAACCCACGACATTATCATTGCTGTTGTCGTCGCCGAAGCCTCAGTCCCAACTCTTGCCAGACGATGCCTTTCTTGATGAAGTACTGGATCCTATGACGAGGTGAATGAAACCACTTGAAGGTGCTGAGAGCCAAGCTCAAGAAACGCCGCTGCACTCTCGCGGTACCAAAGCGCAATCTCTTCTGAGGTCCTTGGCGCTGCCGCCATGTGAACAGTGAGTCTGTAGCCAGCGAACTGGACTTCATTATGGCAACAATAAGATAATGGCAACAATGGAGTTGCGCAGTCTCAGGCAGGCTACGAAGCTTGCAGGCTCCAGCCAATCCCACAGCTAGGAGCAAGAACTGCTTGCTGGCATGCTCGTGCGGGACTGCTCCCAAGCAGACGCCTGAAGCGCAGCAAAGTAGAGCACGTGTCAAGCCGTATGCAGCTGTCGGGGTTTCATGGAACTCGGGGGGTGACAGTCCAGAAGCTTGAAATTACGGATCATTTTATATCATTTTGGAACGCTGTCGCATGGTGTCGCTTTAGCAGGTCCACCGGCCTGGAGCAGTCCTGCAGAGACTGGCTTGCACGGTAAGCCCAGTAGAAGGAAGCACCGGCGCCACAAAGTCCATGGCGCTGGACTCACAAGACACTGACACTCCTTCAGTCGGAACCTGTCAAACAAGTGTTTGAAGTTCTGGTGGAGAGGTTTCCAGGAGATACGACGTCTGCACAGAGCAGTGATTGGTGAAAAGAGGCGAGCACGCGGGGGGAACTTGAGGTTCTTCCTGCTGTCTTGCTGAGGACATGGCGTTGCTCCAGCTTGAGCGTGCATGAACAAGGCCATCACGGTTCGTGGCTACAGTGTACCACAAAGAGAAGCACCGTGCCACTTCCGATGCTTAGAGATGATAGCCACTGGTTGGTCGATTTTCGCCAAGGAGCTTCCTCGGCAAAGCCCCCCTTGCTGGGCTTTCGTACCATCTTGATCGCCTTACTGCACTGCGAGGTCCACGATCAATACCCTGGGTTTCACTCAAACTACATTGCGAGCAAGGAAAGGGTTTAGGATGGTTTAGGTTGCCTCTGGTTCCAAAGCTCTGGCTAAAGGGCGCTTGTGCCCTGCTCTGAAGTTGCACTGACCGCACATCGCTCGAACAATGCTTTCGCGGCAGTCGCAGTACGCGAGCGCCGTTTGGGTCTACACCAACATATGTGTTGCAGCTTCCTGAAGTCAAGATGCATAGTACCTGCTCGGCCGCAACTCTGGAACCTAGGCTTTTGCAACGAATCTCGAATCTTGGTGGCTGGGGAGTCTTTGCCGCGCCGATCGTCCAGGTATTTGGGTCCAAGCTGCGAGCTGGTGGCCAGCAGGAGTGGGCCTGCCTTTGAAGACCGTTCCAAAGCCGCCTTCGCCCAGAGTTCCCTCAAAGCCTCACTCTCCAAGTTCATCGCACAAGCTGCACGAACCGTTTGGGCCACATGGGCTGGCCAGGGGCGACTAGGGCCATGCAGCCGAGTGGCTGAGAAACTCGCTGACATGACCTGACTCACCGAAAAACACATACAGATCCTGACGAAGCCGCATAAGCCGCATTTTTGCTCACATTCCAAGAGCACACCTCGCACAAGACATTCCCCAGATTCTCAGCATAAGCAGCTTGGGGCCGCGACGGGGGCTGATCAGCACAAACAGCTTGTCCGGGTTGATCTGCAAGCAACTGATTCCCGTAAAACTGTCTGGATGTAGTTCTTAGTAGTCTTAGTTCATTGCAGTTATGTAATTACACTTCTTGAGATATTGTAACGTTGGACCACGCTGTAGGCTCATTTCTGCCATACCATTGTGGGAGCCTCCTGCATCCGGGAGCGGAAAGCCACGACCGCCTCATCGTTTGTCGCCGACTCTTGGACCCGGATTCGCAGGAACCTTCAGGAAAACATCGGCATGGGGAGGTAGTGGCCCCACAGAAAGGGAACAGCAAGGAATAGCAAAGGGATACCCTGAGCCGGGGCCTTGGCCAGGCAACTGATAACCCAACTTGCCTAAGTGGCCCTGCGGGCCTCAGCTTCCGGCAGCACCAACCGCAAGGCCCCCGGCTTTCGGCTTGAAGCACAGGCATCACGTGAGCACTTCCAGGAATGCAGTAAGTTACTTCTTGCATTGTGCTGCTGAGCTGAAAGCTCGTTGTCATTCGTTTCTACACCAGCTGAGTAGCGTAGTGATCTTGGATTCTTTGGATGACCTTCGTTGTTCAAGACTGTGTGGAGTCTGTTGACTTTCATGGCCGATGCAGCCTGAGCCAAAGCTATGGCTGCAAGAGGGCAGGCACTGTGTGGGGCTGTACCCTTACACGAACTTCGCGGCGCCTTGGCTTTCGGCGTCACATGTTGCACACTTCCCATGAAGAGCCTAGTGGACCTAGTCCGCTATGCGATGCGGTCTCACTACTCGGGGACTGGACAAAACTAGAAGAGATGCAAAGCATCAAGATAGCATCGCAGTGTGGAGCTGATCCCCCACGAAAAATCGGTACGATTCAACACGTTCGGGTATGTTCGGCTGATTTGGTGGACAGATGGGTTCTGACATGCGGTCCTGCTACGCTTGAGGGTGACAATCATGATGCACTCTGACACTAGCATCCTAGTCAGATCCGGTCATGCTTGCTTCCAATACGGCTTGGATGTGATTGAACATGTTTGGGGACAGTGTAAGTAACCCGAAACCCTAAACCCCGACACCCTGAACCCTAGAATCGAACTTGGCTGGGAAATCGGCCAGGTAGGGCTTCCTCTTAGGGTGAGAGAAGTTATCCAGGCACCCTTCAATGTGGCCCAAGGTTAGATGGAGGGTCCTTTGCCCGTGGTACACTATCGCGCGTCCTATGTAGCCAGGGGATGTAGAACAAGCCTGATCTAAAAAAACGAGCTTTTGGTGCGGCGTTTTTGCCGAGCGCAGTATATGATCACAAAACTAAACAACGACACTTGGAGATCCTGAACTTTGGGGTCTCCGCTCTCGCGCAAGTGCGAGTGTCGGAACTCATGGCGGAATGTGGCCCGGCCCTCCATCTGGCAGGAATGGGCCGAACATTTCCTGCAGGGTTTAGATCCTCCTAACAAACTCGAACTCGACCCTTCCCTCCCTCGCCCCTGGAACCCTACCCCAAGGCGCCGCATCGTCGCAGCCACCGGGGCCCTGAATGTCGCAGGTCGAGCAGCCCGGGTCTGAGCAGGGTCGGCAAGCGTAGGACTCCTCCAAAGCTGGAGAGAGCACCGAATAGCATTTTGCACAGCTTGCGCTTTACATACTTTACGTTGTGAACAGCGAATCTTCGGGACCGTGCTCCTTGTCCGAGCCCTTCGTTGGCAAAGAAATTGCCTCAGCTGCGGATTCGGAAACTACATCAAGGACGGATTCCGAAACTGGGACAACGTCCTTCGCTTCTGAACAGGGCAGCTCGCCTACTGGTGGGAACGCCCCTCACCCCGGGACAGTTTCCTGAACCGGATGAACCGGGCAGTTTCCTGAATCGGGCAGTTTCTTCAAACAATGTGATCTCAAATTCCTGAATGGCGTGGTTCCAGTTTTCAGAACCGCAGTTTCTTGAATCGCGCGACTATTAAACTTACGCATCGCAGCAGCACTTCTCGTTGCCGCCAAGCAGCTGTCCACCCCTGCCAAGCAGAAGTGCGCTGAGCAAAACAAGCAAGCGCTGCATCAGGCTAGGATATGGGCAGCTAGGTGGACGGTGCCCTGATGATGGAATGTATTGCTTGTCTCCGGAAAAGAGAAACACATAAAAAGGAGCGAGTGAATGCACAAAATCGGGACTGGACTGGGGTGTGGGAGAAAGACAGAGAGAGAAAGAGAGAGAGAGAGAGAGAGAGAGAGAGTGAGAGAGAGAGTGAGAGAGAGAGTGAGAGTGTCAAAAACGGCCTAAAGGGCAGACCTCCGTGAAGAATTGCACGATGTGTGTGAGCATGTGGGCCTGTTCGCACTCGCCTTTGTCACAGGATCCAGCTCCAGATGCAGCGCAGGTGTGGCATTTGTCGCCGCAGGCGTGGCAAGCGCCGTTCACCAGCACGAAGCCATCGCCGCCTCGTTTTTTGATGTTTTTTGCATCCGCTGGGAGCATCAAATTCAGCTGCCCGAGGCTGCATTGCCATGCATTGCCATGCATTGCCATGCATTGCCATCAAGGGGCACTTGTCGCAGATGTTCGCCACGGCGCACTCGATGCACCCTGGTCCGCAAATAGCACAGTGTCCAGATGGTGTGATGCCGAAGTCCTGGATGGGCAGGGCGTGCTCCATCAACATTCAAGGAAGATAAGACATGATACTTCTGGCTTGATGTGGCTTGATCTCTGATGAAACAAGTGGAACGCCATCGAGTACAACATCCCATGTCCTTCTTGCAGCTTTCGCCTTGAATCATTGAAAGCTAGGCCAAAGACCCAAAGAATGACTGTGGGACATGAGTTGCAAAGTGGCAACTTGGGCCTGGCTTTGCTGATCTCTCGACTGCGGCCCACCCTAATCAAGAAGAGCGTGGACAGGTTGATCTTCCTGCCTTTACCTCCTCTTGCTTCCTCCTGCCGGCTTCATCCCTGCTTGCTCTGCCTTCTAATTAAATCCGCCGAGGCCAGAGGGAATGTTTGAAAGGTCTACCCGGTATCCCTCCCCCTCCCCCCCCCAGTATCCCTCCCCCCCCACGCCCTAGCCTAGCCCCCCCCCCCCAATCTGGAGGGTTCCCTAATGCAGTGCAATGACGTGCACTCGATTCATCACACAGTTCTTCGCCACCGTTGCTGCCAGTAGCGATCATGGTCACGAACCTGTCTACTGCCTCCAGCTCGGCATTTGCTTCTGGCAGGAAATCGAAGCTGGTTTGAAGCGGCCATGTGCAGCCGCGCGCCGCCATGGTATGCGATTTTGTAAGCTGTGGTGTTGACAAGCCAAACAGATGCACAAGGACACTGATGGAATCCAACTGCAAACGCTCTAGGCGTTCCAGACCATTGTGTCGTGACGGTTAACGTGCATGGACGAGGTAAGACTACACAATGCCGCTGATTTTGGCCGGTGCGCGTTTGGAACCAGTGTTGGTGATTACAACTCTCCTAACCTGTTTAGGCAGCTGATTGCCGTGGTGGGGGCTTGAATTGCTTCGTGCCATGGTAGTGACCCGAAACACACGACGAAAGCGCGCACATCTCAAACGCGCGTTCTTTGCCTCTTCGTCCCAGTCCTCCCTCGTCCAAAACAACGCGACACAGCCACAGACACGGGAAATACCCAGAATTTCCTGAGGCTCCTTCTGCAGACGAGCTGCAGGCTTTATCACTGTGATCGCACACATTGCAGTGCGGCATCGGGCATGGCATACAGCGTGGCGCCTTCGCGAAGAGCTTCTCGTGCCTCTGCAAAAGGAGCCGTGCTCTGAAACTTGTGCAATGTGCAGTTTGGTATGGGCGGGAAAGAAACCAGGCTTTGCTTCAGTCGGCCAAGAAGCAGTCCCAGAAGCCCGTAGCCAGCTTGACAACCTCTCAAGGCTCCCGCTTGTGGCGATGATCCCTGTAAGCAGTAAACTGCTCTCACGATTCACTCTCCGCAAGTGTCTTACAGTCTCATCTCACCAGCTTGACAACCTCCATCATCGCAGCCGTTTTCCTGACAGAGACAGTGTGCTGAGTTTCAGCCAGCAAGTGATGAACGCGAGAGTGCATAAGATGGAGCAAGCCGTGTGGACGACCGATGGAAGCCTTGCGAATCGCGCAGTTCACGCAAAAGTCGCCGCATGCCACGCAGTCCCCATCCTTTCCAATCGTGTAGCCGTCCTGGCACTAATATCCGAAAAAGCCATGCTTTTTCAGGAGAGCGTTTATCATGCAGATGTCGATAGATCCTTATAGCTGCATAATTTATGCCTTGCATGGTGCACGAACTTTCAGAACACACTCATCTTTGGCCTGCAACCTAAATTGGCGAACACAGGAACAGGAGCAAAGCGAAAGGTATTCATGCAGATTGTTGCTGGTAAGGCTTCTACTGGTGATTGGCTTCATGGGTCTTGCAACGAAGGAATGGAAGTGTTGAATGAAAAACAAGTGACCAAGAGGGGCTGGGATTTTTGCGCAAGGCCTGCGCACCCTGCAAGCAGAAGAATAGAAGCCCATCAGTAGGCTCGCAGGGTGCAGCAAAACCTTAAAGACAACCCTGTGAACAACCTCGGCTATCATTGCCTGGACCACGGCAGATTTGTGTGTTCAGAGTTTTAGCGCACACCGGCAACCACGAAGTGAATCAAACGTGACTTCGCGCGTGGCAGTCCTGGCACATGTCACACCATCCAGGCCGCTTGCATGAATAACAAGCTTCACCACACGGGTCACACCTCGTAGAATTACCATCCTCGCAGCCACTATGGCACTTTGGATGACAGGCTGCGGATGATGACTCGGGTTTAAAGAATCTTGATTCGAGGAAAGCGGAACAAGCTCGCATGTCTTCCTCATGAAGTCCCTACGAACCCTATTGGCCTCCACAAGCGCGAAGCCGGTCATGCAGAGAGAGCAGCTCCCTTCGTCACACTTCTCGCCTGAGCGGGTGCTATGGCATGAACCGAGGCACAGGTGTTTCGCCACTCTTCGCCACTTTCTGCACTGAGTAGGTAGTGAGCGCAGTTGCTGCAGTGGTATACGTATATCAATTAACCTACAATTACGAGGCATACTTGTAAGCACCCGGAAGCGCCCGTTCTTGCCCGAGTTCAGTGAGATCAAAGCCGGGCAAGGCTCAGTTCTTCTGCTGGCATCGAAAGCAGCTTCCATCTGCGGCCAAGCCATACCCAGTCTTGCAGAAGCGACCTCGGCAACTTCAGCCGAACTTCAGCCGGGATGGCCCCCTGAGACTCCCAGCATCCTCAACTTAGGGCCTAAGATGGCCTAAGATGGCCTAAGACTCTAAGACCCGGACAGGGAAGCTGACGAGCAGCCGCCTTGAAGCAGAACGGGGCAACACGTAAACCCCATCACGACACTAGCACGACTGCGGCCATCAGAGCCCAGTTGATAGGAGTTCTTTACGGAGACCCGGCCTGTTCTACTTGAGGTGGATGCCTTTCGTCACAAATTTGACAGTTCTTCGTAGCACATGGCATGCAAAGATATAGTCCATCAGCAGTCAAGCCCAAGCCGTCCTTAGATGTGCTCAACACTTGGCACACCGGTCTCCCGAAAACGGAATCCGGCCGAGCGGCCTGGCACGTGCTGCATGAGCCAGACGGGTTCGCGCTACATTTCAGGCAGCCTGCAGCCAACCAGTCTCGGCAAACAACCCTCTGGTGCTTGCAACGGCCACCTCGTACGCACGGGAGGCAGGTCGCCCCACTTGGCCTGAAGCCATCCTGGAAGCCACATTGCCGTTGAAGAATGTTGAACAAGCAACTAAAGCGTCACTCAAGCTCTTGAAGCCTTGCATTGGCGGCAGACTCCCTGGTGACTGCAGTGTAAGCAATACGGCCCACATTTCCCATTGAAGAGGATTAGCACGTCAGAGGCCACGGGCTCGGGGCTCAATGCACCTGGCGCAAGGACAAGTTCATGTATCTCCAGCTTCTAGTTGCATACAGCACTGCAATCTACAGCATGTTCAGCTATGCAGTGGTCTGCACACATCTGCCCCCATGCATTTGCCCTTTGAAAGCCTAATTCCTGCCGCTTCTGACAAGCCCGCGCCTGTTGCCGTGTTCACAGCTATTGCATAAATGGCAGCATCCTCTTTCCAGGGCCAGTTCCGTACAGAAAACTCTGCAACATAGGGGAACACGAAGTGATACATCCTGAGTCAACATGACAGGTGTTGACAACTAAGAAAATGGACCAAGAACATTTTCCTGTGCTCGAAGACCCTAGCGTCCGAGGTTTGCCAGGAATATTTCGGCTGAATGCGTGTAGACCCGCTACTGTACCGATTCCATGTCGGCGTGGCGTAACTTCAGCTTTTGGGGCCTGCTGACAGCAACGCCCGCAATCTAACCATCACCAACGCTCTCACTTTTCTTTTGCCTGCATGCTTGAGCGGCGCTCCCCGAAAGGGGAACCCCGGCCGTGCAGACTAAGCTCTCTTTGTTTAGTTCGTTCTTTTGGTGGGGCTTGATTCTCGCACCGAACACGCAAGTTCTTGTAGACTGGCGCAGTGTAGGGCACGGTATCACAGTTGAGCATCGTGCAGTTTGTGAGCCATTGGCGCCGCCGCACGCCGCACCTTCATGGATCTTTAAACTCACCTGCTATCTTCCTCAGTCCAATCGACCACTGAATCCCTGTTCGGTGCACCTCGCACTAGGGCAGCTCCCCCCAAGGTCCCCTGCGATGCACTGTACAATGGGCATTTGGGGTGTTACCTTCAGTTCTCGTTGCTGTCGGTTTGCTGTTCGCAGGGACCCTCGCGAAAAGCTCCTCATTGGCTTCGAAAGCCCCCCATGGCAAAAAGTGGCAGCCTAAAGCGTGCGACCATTCACGGCCTGCCCTATCTCGTGCGCAGGGCAGGCACATTTCGTTGAAAATATGGGAAGCATGCACCCTCTGGTCCTGAACTCTTCATTTGCTTTGACTTCTTGTTATGCGACACCTTCTGCTATCTCCTGCTCTTGCAAGTGCTTCTTCGAAATCTCTTCTGCGTACAAGATATGTTATTTGCCTCGATCGTGTCTCCGGGCTTCCAAGCCAGCTACGCAAACCCTTCCAGCCCCCCTCCATGCCACCGCACACTGGCGGAGCTTCGGGAAAGGTCGGACTTTGGGGCGCGCAGCAATTTGCGAGCGTCATGGTGCTCAAGACGTGGGCAGCCCACAATGGCTATGCAGAGCTCTCTCGCTCTGCCTGCCTGTCGCTCCACTTGCTCGTTGGCTCACTCACTCATGCTCTCTCTCTCTCTCTCTCTCTCTTGACATCACATCAACACAGTGACGGCAGACTTCCATTCTTAGCTTCAGCCCTCAACTGGTCGGCAAAGGCGGACAGGTTGCGCGATCCCTTTGCTGGGCTCGGTGAGTGCATTGAAGACATCCGTGGCCTCGCTCACCTAAGGCTTAGCAGCTCAGAGATCGGGATTCACGGTTCCGGCATTTTTGATGTGTTCAAGAAGCCACGTTTCTGGTCGTCTAGCATGGTGCTAGGATTGCTAGGTCAACAGAAATTTGTTGTACGTGCTATTGCCGCCTCTCAGAGTTTCAAAGACACTCAGAGGCAAAGTCCCAGCTGCGGGGTAGCCATTTCGCTGCAACCATGAGCGGAGCTGCATCGGCGATGCGGTTGCATGTCCTTGAGCTGCTTACCGTTGCTTGTGGAATCAAAGCAGGGTCGGTCCATGATACCTTTTTACTTGCAGGTTTTGGGTCTGGGGTTTACCGGCAAGAGGGATCGGAAAACCGTCATCCGGACCATTCCGGAAAGTGCTTTCATGTGACCTTTTTTTGGCTTCTTGGGTTTTAGGTGACGCGGACCTGCACCTTGGGTTGCTTCCACGTCTGGGGAGTAAAGCGAGCTCTCCCAGCTAATTCATATGTTTGACGAGACTCCTGACTTGCGACTTGTACACTTGGACATCATAGCTAAGGGGAACGAGATCAGGGCCGAAGCCACATGAACCCTCCGTCCTGAAACGAGACCGCGAGATCCATCTGCCCCGCGACCTTCTCGAACCTGAAGACTGGTGGGAGAACCTCTCCGTCTTGGCCATGCTACCCAGTACCTCAGTGCAATGCGGTTGCAGGCACAATCACAGCCGGCACAGCCAATCTAGCCATCGTGCTTTTCGCGACTCCCTTGCAGTTCAGAACATAGCTCGCACCGAACTCCGGCCCTGTACCAAGCCTCTGTCAACAATATGGGGCTGGCTGAGAAGAAATGGGTTGGGAAGAGATCCTTTCATGTGTGAGCTGAGTGACACAACTGGTGGAGCGACCAGATCTTCAGGTGCGTCTCTGGCAAGGCATGGAATGCCTTGACACTTCTCCACTCTCTTGGACTGTGAGCAGTCTGCAGCATCTGAGCAACATTTGCACCGTGACATACCGTGACACTATGGCGAAGCGAACCTGCATACAGCTACAATCACCATGAAGATGCCACATGCGCACAGTCTTAGCCTTGCCGCGAGGATGCAGCAATGCAGGAACACAGCAGAATGATCATGACTTGAAAGTGGGGGGGTGGGACCTTCGGTGACGAAAAACACCACGGTACGCTACCGTTTTGGAGCCCCTCTGCTTCGGTTCATGTTCTTTCCCCGAACTTTCGGTTGCCGATTTCCAACTTTACAGCTTTGAGTTTGGAGCTTTGGCTTGACGTTGCCACCATCACCCTGATAGGCAGACCCGACGCCGGATATAAGCATGCTCTAAGCCCAAGCCCTCGTTTCCGAAAATCGGCTGCCAGGCCGCAAGCGAACCCTGCTCAAAAAAAGGCTCCAAGGGCGAGCTGCACCAGAGCCGCTCCCGCCTCCCCAGGAACCACAGGGACCCGCGGACTAGGTTTCTCCCAGAGTCGGCTGCCGAGCCACCACCGTGAACTGCTCAAAAAAAGGCTCCGGCTGCCACAGCCCCAAAAACCAGCACACGCCTGGGATTAGCCTCGAAAAGAGGACCGACTTTTACCACAAAAATTTGGTTTCCCGCCCCCCCCCCCCCCGCCCAACCCCCTAAGTGGTACAGTGTTAGAAGAAAGGCTCCCTCCAGTTGAGAAGGGGCTTTCGTAATTTTTCGTAATTCAGAACCTGAGACATATCGAACAAGCTTGCACTTCGGTCTGTGTCGGGTGCTTCGGCGAGGTACAGTGTAGAGTGGATCACCAAGCAGCGCTCGGCTCATTCAGCTGAGCTGCTGAACCTGACAGAGTCCTCGGTCGAGTTCTGGTGCCACACGGCCTCCGCAGGGCAGCAGCCGTGAGGAAGGCCCATGCTGGACGTCATCATCACCTGAAGTTCCCAACCATCCCTAATCCGCAAACGAAAAATGGTTGATGTGTGCAGCACCAACGTCACGCCAACGTCATTGACTGGGAGGCCATCAAGGTGCGGTTGGACGGTCGTTTGTCACCGCGCCATATCGCAGCAGAGTGATAGGTAGCCTGTTGAACACCTGCAACAATGCAGGGCTTCTTGTACTCCTTCGAACTCCTTCTGCCTTGCCCAGAACTTAAATAAGCAGACAGCAGCCTAGCAAAGCATATGCCGTAACGGCCAAGAGACCCTAGAAGTGATGTTCAGCATGATGGCCACGAAAACGGGTATCCAAACCAGAAACAAGCGTTGGATGCCGTCAGACCTGCCATCGTGCTCAAAGACTTTGGGGGCACAGTGGCGGCTACAGTACCCTCGGGGCACCTTCGCAGGTTGGTCGCCGAGTTGGGTGACGTGGGCTCGTACACGTCAACCTTCCAGGTCGGTGATCGCTCCATAGTGTGCACGTAGCTGATGAAGCGAACCAGCCTGAAGCCGAGCCGACAAGTTCTTGCCAATATGCAGTCATGTAGAAAGAACGAAATGAGGGACCTGCTGTGACCACAGCCCCATTGTTTTGTTTGGGCAATGCTGTGGCTTGTGGCCGAGGTCAGAGCCTGGGCGTACCTGCTTTGCACACCACACCTCCGTGTCGCTTAAAAAGAATGAAGCATAATGAAACTGCACCATTGTCCATGCGATCTGACAAGCTCAGAAGCACCGATCAATTCCTAATTCCCCAATTCCAACTCCCACCGGCAATTGCACATCGGAGCGTGCTAATGCATTCATTGAAAGTGTCCACGAGGCCTCCCATCATTGTTGGGCACTCCTACGTACTCTGCCGCTACATGAACTCCATAGATCACATCAGTTCCCTGTTGCTTTACAGAACATTCGCACAGTACAGTCCGACAGTTCGTGTCCATTGGAACCCAATCGTTGATTGTTCCCCATCGTTCTGCAGGAAATATATTCGATCGTCCGCAAGCAATGCCTGATCAGTCACTCCCACCGACTAAGCTTCCCTAAGTTTTGCCAGGCGGCATGTTGTCAAAGTTCAGAGTCATGAAGACGTAGTATGTTATCCAGAGCGGCTCGATGGGTCTCTCCCTGCTAAGGATGAGGTGGTCAGATGCCACGAGAACCATCAGTGCAAGGACGTACCTTGAGTGCGCTCTTGGCATCTGTTTTTGCATGTTGGAGGTCACTCAGCATCCTTTGTTCGACAAGCGAATGCCCATCAGCCCCCAACGATCCCCAACGAGCCAGGGCACTGCATGGCAACGACCATCCAGCACACGTACCAGCGCCAGGACTTGGCCAGCCGACTCCGGCGAAGAACGCCTGCCGATTCACCTGGGAATGAGTTTTCTGTACCTACTTGGCAGGAACAAATGTTCTTGATGGAGCCTATTGTTATGAAGGGTGCTAGAGCAAGAGTCATCCGGAGTTTCTTTGGGTCGGAAGTTGATTTCGGTGACAGAACCGGACTGGACCCAGAGACGATGCAGCAACAACACCACCCCTTACCGTCGTGCTACTGAATGTCTAGTCATCCAGACGGCCTATGCATGAGTTTTTTGGAGCCCAAGCATCCAATTTCGTAGAACTCCTCGGCGATCTGGCCCAGCATCAAGACGGAGGCGAAGGCTTTCATTGCATTAAGTGACTTTGATGCGGAGTTTGGCAGCAGCCACCGGCCCGACCTGCGACTTTCCCTCCCTCTCCCTCCCTCCCTCCCTCCCTCCCTCCCCTACACAATGAGACAAACTCTGAGACGTCCACCCGAAGAGGTACTCCGGTGATCTGAACGTGATAATCCAGATAACCTGAGGAGTGCGGAGCTGCGCTCGACGTTGGAATGGAGGCTGTGTGCTCAGAGATTCTGGGAGGCCCGCCGTGATCTGTGCCACGGACACCGGGATGACCAAAAGAATCGGTACCCACATACTGACCTGGTATGAGATATCAAAACATTCACTTGTGAAACTCTGTCCAAACTCTGGCATCTCAACAACCACACAGCACATGCATCCCAATCTCGGCCAGGAAGCACCGTGAACTGCACACATTAAGACGAGACTGAAACAGCTGGGTGTCCTGAGCATGTCAAGATTCTAGAAGAACACCACCGGTCAACTCGAAACCAGTCGCGAGATTTGCGAGGGACTTTCTCGACTGAGAGTATCTGAGAGTCAAAGTTGCCGTGTGGCCATCATCCGGCTCGGCCCTGCTGAAGGAGGCAATGGCCTGAGATGTCCATTCATGAGCCCTCTGTAGATCAAGTTGCTTCATGCTGTCACTCTTAACTCATGATTGCTGAAAACATGATGTGTGGGCAAGAGACCTCAAGGCTACTTCCCCTCGTCTCATCCCGCACCGGCAGCATGTTTGAGCCCAGCTCAATGCTCTCGCGCACGTGGCTCTCGCTCGTGTGGCTCACGTGGCTCATCTGGCTCATCTGGATGTCCCTCCCGGCGACTGCACTTACTACAGGTCCGAAACAAATCTGACGAGCCTGCCTGACATTGCCTCTAGGGGCCTCTTAGGCCAATACGCTTGCTCAATCGGTGAGGAGGGCAACGATGTGCTGAGCATGTGCTGTGAAGAACCCAAGTCTTGACGGCCTCCCGAGCCGGGCGCCATGTCGGTTTACACTGTCCCGCGACCGGTCGAGGAAGAACTGCAACGGCAGAAGGCCCGGCTGCTGATCAGGAACGCTGCTCATGGCAATTTGGAACGTGCGGAATGCAAGCGCATGGCGGGATGCAAACGGCGATACAAGGTCTGCCTTTTGTGCATGTTGATCTGTGGGGGAAGGAGTGAACATGCAATTGTATACATATATATATATATAAGTTTGCAATTCGTTGGTGAATCTCGCATTCCATGCATTGTGCGAACATCTGTGGAACAACGTTGAACACACGCCTTGCAAGCATCAGTGCCCCATCATGCTAGCCGACAGCTGCGGGACCGAGTGTGTGCTTTTAAGGAACAAAACCTAAACTACAGAGCCCTCACATTGCTGGCGAGGATTCTCTTCATGCATGTGGCAAGCTCCCACTGTCTCGTCCTCAAGCCATTTGATATCCTGAAGTTCTGCAGGAACGTGGTTTGTGTCTTTTTCCGGCTGCTAGGCTAGCTCCTTGAAGAGGCCTCCAGGTGCTCATTCCAGAGACTTCTCAAGTAGCCCTCATCCTGGAAAAGCCGCTCCTTGAGGACGAAGTTCCTTCTTCGTGCTTGGGGGTTCTAGATCGTTTTAGTTTTGGACATTCGATGGCATCCTTGCAGTCTAATTGTGGTTTCAGCTGCTCTGACATTGTGGAAGGGAGCCAAGGCGCGTCTGGGGACATCCATCGACGAAGCTTACCACAGTAATAGCCTCGGCCATCGTCTTGACGCCAACTTCGTCCAGCGCTTCCTCAAAGCAACATCGGGCGGGTCTAGGGCTTCCGTGGGCTAAAGGCGGGGTTTGGGTTTGAACCCTCTGAGCCTGATATCGAGCAGCTTCAACCGCGCTGGAGACGGGCTTGAACTCCTGTGGGAAAGGTTGACAATCTTCGGCTTGGTGACTTCCGTATTACCGTGCACATCTGTGCAAAAGGTTTGGTGTCCTTGGCAGGCTTTAGCTTGCTGCTGAAGACCGTGATGCCTCACGGGCGCAAAGCAGGAGCCGACAACCCAGTTCGCAGAGCCTGCAACCATGAAGACCATGGCACAAGGCGATGTCTTCTCCGGGACGTTCAGGTATCGCGCGATCCTCGCACAGCGTCTTGCCCTCACTTGTGTGCCATCTCGAGACGTGTAGGCTCACTTCCATGCTCCTGTCTGGCATCTCCGGGGTGTTCGGCGCATACGTGACAGCACTCAAGTGCCCAGAAGGTTTGAGATTCTTTGCCACGCCTTCCATGATTGCCTGCGGAGACTAAGGAAAAAGGCGGCTTCGGACAGCGTGTGACGCCCCTTGCCTCCAAAACGTCCTCTCCAAAGTCACCTGCAAGCGGATCATGCCAAACTCAAACCTAGAAATGCAACACGCTGTGTCTTGACCCTGCATGCACACGAAGCCGTCTCTTTGCCGCTGTTGCAGTATTCGCGAAGTGCCGAAGCTTCACGAAACTTGTCTCCATTCTTTGGGCCTCCATCCCCGAACTTCGCCGAGCACTGCGAACCGATGCCGCGTGGGTTCGGCAGGAAGGGCGGATTGGCCAGGATAGCCTCGCTCGGCTTCCGTTGCAAATGGGTCCCTGAACCCGGGTCTTTTCGAGACATGTCGGAGCCGCGTGTGCAATACCCCCAACAAGAATCTACATCAACCATTAAATGATGTTGCAGTACGGTGCTTGCTTCTTAAAAGCTCTGGGATTGCACAGTCCCACTGGCTGCGAATCCGAATCCCAGTGCCAGAAGGACTTTGCTATTTTATATATAGGGCTTCAAAGAGGGTTTCAGGGATGTCAGGGGAGATGTGTCCATGCCACCAAAACAGGCGAAAGCGCGCCAGTCCATGACCCAGCGTCGTCAAAGGGTCCAGATTCTGGGGGTAGCGCCTCATACAGATTCCCCTCGTAGATGCCAGAAACTTTCTGCGAGAGCCCATTCAGAGCGACGTTGAATCCTCAAGTCGCTATGCGGAACCACATGGAGCCTTAAATGATCAACTATTCGTGACATGCTCTGAAGCTTCCAGGATTCCAGACCGCGAGCCCACAGGGATGGCAAGGAGGAGTTTTTGAGAACCCTCAACCCCTAATTACTCTAGGAAAGCTGCCTAAAGTGCACATTCCGGCCGAGCAGCGCACAAAGTCCAACGCGCGTGGATTCAAGTCCACGAAAGTGGCTGTCTTGGCGTAATTCTGCAGGGCTACTAGCCCCTGGACGCCACTGCCTGTACATAAGTCCAGCCTTGGCCGTCTGCCCTCTTTACCCTTTTCGATCACATACTGTAGCAAAGTTGGGCATTGCCGGCATGCAGCCAAGCAGCACTGACTCCACTTCCACCCGCGGAGCTCCGTAGATGAGCCCCCAGGAATCATCCGAAAGGTACATCACAGGCTCAAAGGCCTGAAAGGCACAAGCTTTTCGATGCTTTTCGCCACAATCCAGCGTGGTCTCTCGTTGAGCCATGTTGACCCCCAGACGGGCGCTGACCGCCATTTGACGCTGGCTGCGGTAACTCAAAAACTCAAAAACACAAGTCTCTACACACTTTCGACTGCCATGCACCCCCTTCCAAACGTGAGTGGTGTTCGGCTATGCTTCCTCGCTGGACATCTGGCCATGTCCATAACTGCATGTTGTGCATGCCGGCAAAGGTGTCCAAACGCGCTTGCCCAAAGAAGAAAAAAGCGCGCGCCGGGAGCTGAGGCTTCCGTGCAAAATGGCCTGCCGCAACCGTAACCAACAACCTGTCATGCCTTTTGAACATTTCATCGGTTGTGTTACCGGGCCCTGAGCAGCCTCGTGAGACAACGAATCCAAACCAATTGGACCGAATGCAATGGGTGACTCGGCACGGACGATTGTGGATGATTGTGGAAGGTTGTGGATGATTGGCACATTGAAATGCCAGCAGGGCTATTTCGAAGAGCTTTCCAGACTTCTGAAGCAATCCCAACAAGGAGTTGCGCCAGCATGCTGGCTTGCATGCGCTCTCGCCTGGGATGGCCATGTTTGTCGATCTGTGGCGATGAGGAGGTCCTGAAAAGCTTCAACAGATGCTGGACTTTGGCAGTAGCGCACAAGATGCTAGCCACCCAGCTCTCAAGCCCCTTCCCCACAGGGTCCTCCACCGGCCAGATCTTGATGTTTGCAAAACAGAATAAGTCTTCCGGAGCAGCTTCAATTGCCTGGACAGCCTCATCTGCCTGAAAAGGACTTCCACAATTGGCTCATTCACTGTCCCTAATGAAGGTCCGAAGGATGCCAGATGCCGAGTCGATCCAATGTCAGGAGCCTTGACCAGTGTGCACGCAAGGCCGCGGATCGCCGTGATCGCTTGGAGCTCGAGGAGGAACCTGACCAGGGGACCAAGTGCTGGGGGGAGGTACAATTGAGACGAGACCTTGGAAAGATCGTTGAGGGCTGGGTCTGGGGCAAGATACCTACAAAAAAAAACAAGGTTTGCAGAATTGCTTCTTTATGTTTTGTTCGATTCTTGAGGCGGAGGTCCGTGGTCCTAGCCGTAGTGTCATAGGATTTCATCCAGGCAACTCTACGCAGGACGAACCCAGCAGCTCTGCCAGCTGCTTGAGTGGCAGCGGCCTGCTCAAGAGGAAGAACCTTAGGCAGCAGTTTGCAGGCTTCAAGAGATGTCAAGTGGCGTGTCCATGTCTAAATGACACCGAGGCAAGTCAGCTTCCAGCATGTCAGTGATCGCTTGTGACCGCTGTGCATAAGCTGCTTACACATCATGGTGCATCAGTGGAATCAGCCTCAGCATGGTTGGCGGGGCTTCCCGGGTAGGTACATGTATATCAGCGCGGCTTTTTCGTGATGGAGGACCGTTCTGGGTGCCCCCCCCTGCATGAGCAGCAAAAGGAGCTGCCAGTGCTCCACAGCTCAAGGACCGTCAGCTTCAAGGATGTCGTGAAACTCCGGAGTCGGACATCATTAGCCACTGAGCTCTACCATTTCACGACATAGAACCGACTTGTGCGAGAGAAAAACCGGGACCAAGCATCATGCAGCACACAGACGAGGAGCACGTCAAACATCGGACATCAGAGATATCAGGGCTGCTGATGTTCCTTCCTGGCTCTGTAGGTACAGGAGGCCTCTTTTCAAATCCCAGCGTTAGAAAGAGGGTCTGCCTGCCGTCTTGGATCAAGAACTAGCTCGCAGAGCACCAGCAGCATCATGGCTTTGCCATCTTGAGAAAGAAAAAGACATCAGTAGCAAGAACCATCCTCTGAAAGAGGCACCCGGGCGAGGGCGAAAGATGTGAAGCTCTCATGCAGGCATGCCGGACATATACATCAGCAGCAGTAACAAAATGGGCCTTTGCATTGCCGGACCGAGAAAAGTGCCCTGCTGCTCTCAAGTACATTTGCTGCCAAAGGTCTTCGCTCGGAAAGCTTCCCAAACTGCGTGGCAGCTTCATTCCACGAGCTATGCATCGCAAATCGGAAATAGCAAACACCAAAAAAACAAGTGGCGGCCAGGATGCCGTGTAAGCTCTTGAAGCGCGGCATTGCTTTGAGAGCCGGCGAGCAAGGAGTCAGCAGCTTGGCCGCACAAGTCGTCGTCGGCAAACATTTCAAGCGTTGGGGCCTGTAAATCAAAGGCATGTTTGGGGATTTGTAGGGATTTGTAAGGATTCGTAGGCAGTTGAGGGGGGGTGTAGGGTGTGGGCCTCATGACTTTAAGGTGCGTTAGTAGTGGGATGCAAGCGCATTTGGAAGGGTCCACGTACTGCCCGCATGCCAGGAGACAACCTGGAGTAAGAACTGCTAAATGTGGGGACAAGATGGGAGAAGATAGTGAACATGAGGAAATGCGAAACTCGACAAAAACAAGCCCCCGCCCAAATGCAACAGTGCAACTCTGTGCTCAGACCTTTGTGCCGACGTGGTGGCGGATTTACCCCTCGGGCTGGGCTGGGTGGGAAGAGTTCACGGCGCTGGTCATTGATGAACTTCGAGAGAGCCGGGCATCCCAAAATTGAGCCCGGAAGCTGCTGTTCAGTCCTTCAACCACCACTCTCCTGCCCCATGCTCTCCTGCCCCAACATCTGTCGTTTGTGTCGTTCAAGCTTCTCAAGCTTCTTGTTTTCTATTGCAGCCCGTTCTGGTCGCTGCCTTGGTCAAGTCCAGGATGGCCTTTGCCGCGTATCCGCAGCCACGGAGTGACCGGCCCAGTGCCTGCGTTTGAAAAGATGCTCCCTAACACGCTGGCTGCTTGAAGTGGCGAGCTCTACGAGTACAGCGTGCCAAGGCCTGCAGCCGTTCCAGGTGCTGGCTATCCGAGATGTCCACGCCTGTCCAGGACAGCAGATGCTTTTGTGTTGTATGAGACGCGCGTCTGAGACGATGCACGATGCGCATCGATGCGCAATGATAGTCCAATTCATTTGCAAAGGGTGAGCTCTTTCCAGCCACGACAGTGAAAGTGTTACAAAGCGCAACGCTTGCTCATCACACCTTGCATGTGACCTGGACTGCGGAGCATTTGGCTCATAGCCTTGGCAGAACGAACTATACCGAAGGGAAGTAGAAGTTGTATGCGACCATGCTGTAGCAACTCATGGACTCAGAACGGTGGCACCCTGCACATTGCAGACTACCAGGAAATGTCAAATCATTTTTGTTCTACCAGTAAGAGACTAACAGTACTGGCAGGCTGGCTTCTGCAGTCGAGCTGCTGTGTTGCGGCACAAGTTTTGCAGCCAATGCCTTCGTTGAAGCTGCAGCAGGATACCCTATAGTGTAAGCAGTTGTAAGTGAAGGTTCAAAGTACTGTATCAAGCGGCTTGGCTGCTTCGCCCTCCGAACCCACAAACTGCTGCGTGGCCAACATAGTCGGGACAGCACGCTGCAGCAGCGCATATGCCTCCACCACCATGAAGCACGAGGCATGTATGCATAGTATATCATAGTATGCACGCTAACAGCGCGTAAAGCAATTCAAAGCACAGTGTGGCACCACCCACCTCGGAGTGCTGGAACATTCGAATTCGAAGGAGCGCAATTCCCAGAAGCCTGTGATAGCTTCACACTGGCGCAGCTTGTCTGCTCTGACTCCAACCCGTCATGAACCTGAAAGCCTACACTGAGTCTACAAGCTGCCCGAAAGCAGGTTACCTCTTCACCAAGGTGGGTGTCACAGTCAGACGTGCTTGAGAAATTGGAGATTTGGGTGTGGGAATCAAAGCTCTTCACGGAGGCAACCAGAAGCGACAGCAGCAGCCTGCGAAAGCGTTTAGTAGCTGATTCTAGCTCCTATAGATACTATCCTATACACCTCACCATGACTCACGGGTCCCCTGCCTGCTGGCGAAGGCCCCAGCTTCCGGTGAGTTCGGCTGGTCAAGGCCGGCGGCCTGAGCCGTGCGGACCTTGGGGAGTCCACGACTTGAGTGGTGTGATGCCGTTCGAATTGCAAGACCCCAACTCCCTAAAACCCGAACCCCAAAGACGAAATACCCCCAAAATGCATGTTTCCCAGCACTCCAGGAGCTTGAGGGGCACCGAGAGGAATCCAACAACAAGCAGGGACTCCGCTGCCCTTCGACGAGACTGGAACATCCTAAGGGCTTGGGGCTGCTTCGCGGCCTTGCTTTGACCACCAACAACCCTAAAGGTCGTTCCCCGAAGCCGAGGAAGTTTCGTTCCAGGTGGCCTCCCATTCCTTCTGCGCCACCTCCAGCTCAAGCAGGGCGCGTGCAATGCGATAGTAACCGGCAACAACCGGATCGTCGCCTCAACTGACTCAACAAAGCGTGACATGAACGAGTGCACTACAGGCAGTGGTCCCCAGTGGCCGTGGTTCAAGCACAACTCGAAACTGAGGACTGAGGATGCTGCATGGCGTCTGCGGTATCGCTTGGATTTCAGCTGGATCTCCAAACTCTAAGGTGCGGATGGCATTCCGAAGAGCCACCTGCCATGCTACCTAGTGAATGTCTGCCACCTGCATTTTGCACACTCACAGACCGACAGAAAGCCGCGCCTCCTCATCCGCAAGTGGTTGCAAGTTCTGTGCCTGCGACAGTTGCTACGACGGCTGCAGCAATGCCTTGCTCATGCTATGGCGCCTGTCCCGCCGCATCTGTGATTTCTTATGCTTCTGCTAAGTAGAAAAGGCAACAAGCCGCCAGCAGCTTCTATGTATAATTGTGAGTGTATGTATGATAATAGTACCATATAAGTATGATATATTAAAATGTCATATAGATATTATCGTTTTATACCAGGTGTGACGGGCGATGCCCCGTGTCCTGCCCCAGCTCGATGGCATCCCACTTGTCGCGAAGACCTTCCAAAGCCTCCGAGGCCTGCGGCTCAGAGAAGCTACGACTCTCAGTGGATGCCTCTAATATACTCTAATGATTCTAATATATTGAAATGATTCTACGAGTACTGCACTTCATCAAGAATTCCAGGTTTTAACCAAGCACGAGCCTGGGTGAGTTGTTCAACCAGCGCGGCGCGAGGCACAGAGTGCCGGGATGCCCGCCTGGCTTTCAAGCTTTCAAGTCTTCCGAGACCTCTGGAAAAACTAGTACGAAGCACAACTGGGTCAGAGGGGATGGAAGGGCCTTGCACTTGCTGCACAAAGGCAAGCAGAAGCAGCAGCGGCCCCAGACACCCTCGAAGCTCGCTCGCACCTGCGGCGTTGCAGGTGACTTGTGGACCGTGTTTACATGTGTCAAATGCAATGTCGGCTGGGACAACACAAACAGCTGGTGATGGAATCAAGAGACAGGCACCAGCAAGACATCTGACGAGCTCGATTCCATCTAAGGATCAGTTTCCAAATCTGATCGCAAGCCAACGGCCCGGTGGGCCTCGACCAGTGCAGGTCTAATTGCCCTTGCGTGGGACGCAGAGTTGGCCGTTGCACCCGTGGCAACCCTCCTCAGTTTCACTTCATCCTTTGACATGAAGGATACGCAAACAAAAACATTTGCCTTTCGTTGTACCTTTGAAAGGCCAAAATCCTCGAGTAGCATCGGGTAGCAGCTGACGGGAGCACAGGATGCAAGCTCAGAGTTATGACAGTCATGAGTTATGACAGTTTTGACAGTTAGAACGACAGGAAGCTTCTCGGCAGCACGCTGGGGCCATCTGCCCATGTGGAGGTGCGTTGCACGGCGGCAATTGAGAACATCGCGGTCAATCTGAGTATAAGTTGGACATGTCACTAGCAATGCCCATCGAATTCCCTTTCTGTCGTGCCTTGTAGCAGCAAGAGATTGCATTGTCTCGCCCCTGCGTAGGTCCACCAGGACTATGTATCACTGGTTCTGCGAGATGCATTATCGTGCTGCTGTATACGATGCTTTTGCGCCAGCCGTGCTGGCGAGGCACACTTATGACTAATGACTAATGACTTATGTCACGGCTGAGTGCATGCTGGGTGGGAATGCGGAGCCTGTAACATCCGCAACCGTGTTGTTGCAATCATCTCCAGTCTGCCCTGTGCTCTGAATGCTACTGTAGCTAGATCTCGCACTTAGCCGTGTCAGTTCTCACATTTCATGACCAAATACGGCCAGGGGGCCAGGTATTCAGAGGACCAACATCAGATGCATGGTCTATCCAGAAGCCCATTTCCGTCAGCTCTCAAATTCTTGCAGAGCTATCTAGCAATGCACTGGGCAAGTCGCCCAGTCACACTGGCTTATTGCAGCTCTCGCGACTCGCGGCAGAACGGCCAGCTAAGGATCCAGCTCGCACAAACTTCGGCAGACTTTGGTTTGTTGGCGTGCTGAATGCTTCCATTCAATACGACGGCACGGTCCTTGGCGGCACTGCTAAATCTACGCAGCATGCCCCGAACAAGGGCCCAAAAGGCATCTAATTTGAACCTATGATACACGTCAGGTCTGTTAGAGGCCAGCGCATCTGCCACTGTGGCAGGGGCCTTGTAGAACATAGCAGAACATAAAGATCGCCCATGGTCCTTGTCTTCGGGAGCTGCGGAAAAGGAGCTGGGCTCTGGGGCTTTTCCCCAGCCTGCCCGCCACGAACGCCCGCGCCACAGAGGCTCTTTTGAGCTCTGCGAGCAAGCGATCCATGCCGGAGCGACGCCTCAGTCCTTGCCCTTCAGGCTCTCCTTCAGCTCGTTGAGCTTGTCCTGCGGCTGCTTACATTGCGGTGCCTGTACTCCATACCCCAGCTACTTGCAGGCAAAGGCTCCTCGAGCTCCCAGACCTCCTCGTCGGTCAGCGTCTGCTTCTTCTTGCCGTCCTGTCGGTGTCAGATATACGAGTACCACCGATCTGTACCAGTGCCACTGCCGTCCGCATCTACAGACTGCGCTGGAGGCGCTTTGCGTCGGCTCCTTGATCTTCTTCTCAAGGTCCTTGATGGACTTCTTCTTGTCCTTCTCGGTCATGGTGACCTCGACAACTGCTCCAAACCGGCCTTTTCCTACAATGCTGGGGCTGGGGAACATGGTCAAGGCGTCAACGGATGGTCAAGGAATGTCAAGGATACTGTCCAGGGAGGGTCATTCTCTGGCTCCGCTTGCCAACCAGTTGCGCTCTTCTTGACCTCGATCTTGTTGCCCGCGCCGTCGAAGACCTCATCAGGGCCTCGGGGCAAGCGAATGCTGCTCCCAGCGCCGCCCGCACATCCCTGCAACGCCTACTCTCGGATCCCTGTACATATTCCGACCGGCCCTGTGGAGCAGTGGAGCTGTCCCTGTTCTGGGCCTTTGTTTGCGTTGTCGTCATCCTTGGAGTTGTCGATAGACTCGCCCTCGATGCGGAGGCGGCCTGCCCTCAGGCGTGCGAGGGGTTGGGGAGAAGATGGGAGAAGCGACACAGAAGAATCTTGAGGATTGTCCAACCGGCTGCTCCGAGGTGCTGCATGATCCACTTCTCCGTCGCCACGCTGTCGCAGAACTCCTGAACTGAGAGCCATGGCAGAGCACAGGTCGCCTTGCCTTCAGCCCTCCACTACCCCCCCCCATCGCGTCGTCAATGCCGCCCCCTGAAGCGAAGCGCGGCCTTGTTGTGGGAGATGATGAGGACACCGCCCTTGTAGTCCTTGATTGCCAAGACCAAGGCACCTGACAAATCGAATGGGTATAAATCGTATAACATGGTATAACATTATGGCATCACGAAGTCACGCTAAAGAATGACACGCCCAGGGCAGGGCGGCTGTGACAAAGTGCAGGCGGGGCACCCAGGCCGTCGCGGTCAAGGTAGTTGGTCGGCCTCGGGGGATCGTTGCACAGGGCACGCCACGTGATGCCGTTCCAAGGAAAGCAGTCTACGAGCATCTTGCCGCGTGGGCCGCATCCGTCTACAAGGCATCTGAGCGGCTCGTCAAGGATGAGAACGTGCGGGTTCTGCCACATGGCAGCCGCCAGGACGATCTTCACCTTCATTCCGCCACCTTGCAGGCAACAGCTTGTGCCGACAAGAGCCCATCTCAGCACCAGACATGTAGCGGCTAGCGGCTAGTGACTAGTGGCTAGCGAAACAGCGAAACTCTTACAGACTCTTGACACTTTTAGACTCATGACTCATGGGGGGCAAGGCACTGAGCTGGTTGATCTGCGTGTGGCTGGCGGACTCGGCATCGACGCCGAAGTCTGCCTGTCGAGGGCTTCTCTGCGATCTACCGAGTCACCGAAGTAACCTCCGTGAGCTTCTGACATTTCTGGTCTTCTGAGCCACTTCTGGGTCCGTGGTGTGGGTACGTGTGCGTCCAGGGCGCCAGGTGCTTCTCCACGCCCGGCTGGGTGAGCTGCTTGGTCATCAGGCCCGCCATGGCGGCCTGACCTCGGAACCAGGTCCCCGCGCGTCGGCGCTGCAGTGAGTCTCCCTACCCCACTCCGACCCGTGCAACACGGGTGCGACTACAAGCACGACGACCTCATACGACCTCCGAGCCGAGCTGCGCTCATCCTCGCGCTGCACAAGCTTGATGTAGCCCATCTTCACCAGGGTGTCCTTCTCCACCCAGGTGTTGTTGTCCATGGACTTGAACTGCCACTTCACCTGGCATTGCAGACCATTGCAGGATGCGTATGTACTCAGGCTGCGGCCCTGCAGACTGGTGGTACACTTGGGCGGCATGGGCGGCCTCGTACTCGAAAGTCTTCTCCTTCTTCTTCTGACGTCGGTTGACAATGGCATCCGGGACCACGGCTCCAGCCTCGTCCTGCTTGGCCTTCCTGGGTGCAGGGGCGCGGGCTACTACGGCAGATCGCAGAAAAGAGGTGTGCTGAGGTATGCTCAGGTTTGGCGTGGCATGATACTGTATTAGGCGTGGCTCACGGATGATGCGGATGTGCTGGCGCATGCTGCTGCCGAGGGGCTTGGCGTCCTCCTTGGGGTCCGTGCAGCGGCGCACGTTGCCGGTGACGGAGTCGATGCACCACTTCTGGGCCCGGGCCTTCTCCTCGTCCACTGAGAGGTCCTCGGTCTTGAACTCGATGCTCTCGCGGTCATCGTTGCCCGCAAAGCGCCACATGATGTACTGCGTGGGGGTCTCCTGCATGTGCTTCTCCAAGTGGTGGAAGGCGTGCTGCGCCACGTAGGCCATTCGCAGGCCCTGGGCCTTCCAGATGGTGCCTTCCGTGGGAAGCTGCTCGCCCACCAGCACCTTGATGGCCGTGGATTTGCCCGCACCGTTGGCGCCGATCACTGCCACTCGGCTCACCTGGGACACAGTCCTCGGCACGACGACAGGAGCTCCGAAGAGGGCATGAGGGGTACGGGAGTGACACGGGGAGTGATTTCTCAAAGCAACATGGAACGGAGGGGCCAATGCCAATGCTGCTCAAGGCTCAGGCTCACATCCATGATGGTGGGCTTGTCCTTGGTGGGGTACGTGAAGCTGACGTTGTTCATGCGCAGGATGACCTTGCTGCGGCTCTTCACGCCTTCCAGCGCGCCGGGCTCCGGGAACACGAAGCGCATGTTGTCGTTGCGGATCTCGAAGTACGACTTCTTCTCCGGGTACTTCTCCACGAACCTCTCAGGACACATCTGGCAACGACTGAGGCAGGAACACGGAACACGTCCGCAAGCAAGCGCAAGCGAAACTCCGGCCAAGGTGCTGGGTGAGGGTCTGGCCCTTCTCGCCCTTGAAGGTCTTGAGCTTGCGGTCCTGGAAGTCGATGATGTGAGTGCCTTGGCGATGCAACAGTGCAACAATCAGAGCTGTGCAGAATGCAGGGGCCTTGCTCGCGATGAAGAGACCCAGAGTGCATCAAATTGCAGCTTCGCACATTGCCGGATGTGCAGTGCGTTTTCTGCACGGCCAGGATGCACATCTTGTCAAGGAAAGGGCTGAAGTGGGAGGTGCAGATGATGCTTCCATCGAAGGACTCGAGCCAGTCTTCCAGCCACCTCGTCTTCGAATGCGGCTCGACGTTGAAGCGTACAGATGCATTCGGCAGCGTGTGCTCAGCATCTGGTCTACGGGAGTCTAGGGTCTACTCATTGGCAGGTCTACTCCCCGCGTCACACAGCAAATTTGATGGTGAGTGCACGGCGATGCTCGTCTATGCAAGACGCACAATGACACACACAAGCACATGCACCGGGCTGCATCTGGCTACCGACAGTGCATGATATTGGGCCGTCGAGGCACTTGATGTTGTCAACGTCAAGATGTCCGGTCGGCTCGTCCAGCATGAGCACCTCTGGAATCAAACACCGAGCACAAGACAGAGCACCAGAGTCACAAGACGATGGAGGGAGAGGAATGGAGGGAGGGAACGAGAGAAACTCTGCTCATTCATCTCTCCTCGGAAAGCGACACTTTCTGCAACCCCCCAAACTCATCCAAAATCCACACCCACAGTGAGGGAGCCAGGGCACGTCGGCGTTCATCAGCTGCGCAGCGCACAGCTGCATCTTCATCTTCCAACCGCCGGAGTAGGAGGTCACCGGCCTCATCAGCTGCAAAGCTATCATGGAGGGGGAATCATGGCGGCAGGGGCATCGCTTGGAAATTGGAAAATCCTGGAAACTTTCCGGCACTGCGGCCGGGGCGCAGCTCCAGATTGGCGGCACGGTCGGGGCCGCCAGGGTAGCCGAAGCCGATGGACTTCATCAGCTCCTTGACCTCAACATCGCGCATGGATGGGAAGCAGGTGCCGGCTGCTTCAGAACTGCAGACAGGATGCCGTCTCCTCCTTCACAGGCGGGTCCAGCTTGTAGATGTCGTTGCCTGAAATTGGCAAGGTGGCATGGTTCAGTGGTGCAGCACAGTTGGCGCAGCACCATGTCCCGACCACTTCAGCCGCGTTGCAGGTGTGGACGACCCACCACCATCCGGGCTTGTCCACCGAAAGGATGGGGAAACCTGGAGAAGAGCAAGGCATTTCCAGATGCTTCGAGGCTTGCCTCTTTAACAATCCATCCGCACCCTTCGCACAGGATGCTCGGCTCCCAGCCATCGTCCTGCACTCCCACCTCCTCATCTTCGATCCTTGGCAGAGGCACAGACCCGACTGGAAAAGCAGCCCCGAGCCACAGTGCCTTATTCAACTTCCGCAGCAGAGAGGGAAAGACAGAGAGAGAGAGAGAGGGAGAAAAACACATAGAGATAGAGAGAAAGTAAAAAGAACATCTAGCCGTCGCTGCCAAGGCTCTCGTGCTCAACGAAGACGCTCTTGAGCTCGTCTCGCTTGGGGAAGCCCTCGCAGCTTATCGCAGCTTACGGGCTCACAGCTTGAAGCTCTGGGCCAGTGGGAGCTTGTGCCCGTGAAAGAAAGCGAAACAAGGAGACGGGCTCCCTGCGTCACCCTGCCTCCAGCTGCTCGTTGGCGATGGCACGCATGAGCGTCGTCTTGCCACACTGGTTGGGTCCAAGGAGGCCATAGAAGCGGTTGCGCTTCAGATGCATCTTGGCGTCGCGCAGCAAGGTGAGCGTGCCGTAGGCCAGGGAGAAGGCTCCCTTGTACAGGTCAACGCCCTCGGTGTCCTCCTCCTCGACCTCTTCCTTGGGCTTGGCGGCGATTTCCATCTTGGCACGCAGCGCCTCGGTGATGGAGTCGAAAGGTGCCAGGTAGCCGACGTCCTTCTTCCACAGGTCCTCATCGAAGACCCGCATGTTGGCGGCGCACGCGGCCAGGGCGGAAACATGCGTCAGCTCGTCTTCGAAGGCCTCTCCGGAGCCTGCATTGCCACCCAGCGCTGCGGACACCTGCTTCTTGGCATCCTCAAGCTTCATCTGCTGCAGAGACTCGGCACCTCGGCCACAAGTGACACTACAAGAGGATACAAGAGCCAAGCGATGGCAAGCATCAGCAGGAGCTGCACCAGCCTTCTCCGGCGGCCTTCTGCAAGGTCTTGTAGGCCTTCTCGGCGACGCCTGCCAGACTTGGAATGGAGGCTTGCCAGGCTTGCATCATCTTACATCAACTTTGACGTACTTATACAGTAGCCCTCCGTCCCACGTTGCCCCACTCCATCCCACTCCTTTGCGGCAAAGGTCAGCAAAGGAATAGCCATTGCAAAGATAGAAACGACGGGCTCGGGATACGCTGGGCCCCCTTGAAAGCCGAGAAGAGGCCTCGTGCTTCTGGGTCGGAGATCTTCTGTGTGGCGCTCTTGACCAAAGGATCCAACTTCGGCATCAAAGGAAGCACCTCCGAAAATAAAACGGATCATGCGATGCAGTTTGCACCCAATCTGCACCCAATCTGCACCCAATCTGCACCCATCTGCGCGTGCTCTCGGCTATTCTCGGCCTCTGCAGGGTCCTCGACGAGCTTGCACATGTTGTCCACGATCTGGCAGCACGTGCGCTTCACCTGCAGAGCCAAAGGCAAGGCCGAGAGAGAAGATCGCCGCTGCTGGGACGGCCTCCTCGTTCTTGTCGTTCAGGCCGCGCGTCAGCACGGGCATGGTGACCTCGGAGGTACATCGCGGAGAGCGCCATAGAGAGCGCCACGGAGGGAGCGAGTGCGGAAACTTGATTGAAGGCGGCACGGCGTCAGTCTCTAGACGTCTCCGGAAATTCCTCTGGGCTCCCGGCTGCCAGAGCCGGGGCCTCCACATTCTGCACGAAGATGCCTTGGGGGCCAGGCCGGCTTCGGCTCAGTTTGTGCTGGCTGCCATCAGCATTCGTCGGCACGACTTGGTGATCCAAGGATATTCAAGGAGCATCCGGCCAGCTTCTCCACGCAGGCGTGGGTCTTGTCAATAGAAGAGGCAGCATCGACCACGGCTGGGAGGAAGGGCTCCAAGTCCTGAGGCGCACTGAGGGAGAGCATCTCAAGCACTTTCACGCATGCCTCCGTCCGCAAGCGCAAGAAGTTGGTGGCCTTGTTTCCCGTGCATCCGCAGATGGCCGTCATGCACTCCAGCGCCGCTGTCTTCACCTGCATGCCAACAAAACAGGACATGCGGGCAGCATGGCTTGGCTCTGGCCTCCTTCTTGATGTCGCAGGTCAGGTCAGCCACGGGAGCAACTAGGTTCACCAGCAGGTAGCCTCGGAGAGCGGCAGATCCCGCGCAGTCCAGTATATGTAAACTCTCCTACATACATGTATTTCTGTAGTTGTATCTGGGGCAAGATATCTCTGCCTTTCTCTGCCTTTCTCTGTGCGCTATTCTCCCGCCAATCCTAGATGCGACGAGTGGCCCACGGCGCGAGGAGCTTTGCCAGCCAGGGCGGAGATGATTTGCAGAGTGGCTTCCTTCTGGGTGGGCTTTGCCTGTACCGGGCAATGACGCCAGCTTGGTGCTGCGATGTGATGTGCTGCGTGAATCTTGAATGTTTGGGAACCATTTTGGGATTCACGCCTTCACGGCCAGCCCGTTCAGGAAGGAGGGCAGCAGGAGCTCGACGGCAAATGGGGAGACCATCTCCATGATGGCCTCAAAAGGTCACAGGGAAGCAGCCAGGGCAGCTCCCGTTGCAAGAAGAGACGAAGGCATCGGCCTTGCTGGTGGCGACAGCGGCATCCTTCACGTTCTTGGACTTGTCGTTCGAAGCCTGCAGGGCTCTGTGCAGTATGTGCATTGAAACTCCCACTCGCTGTTTGGCCGGTCAGGCAGTCGGGCACGCCGTGGCATGAATGGCGCGACTGTCGCACAGTCCTCCAGGATCTTGGGGAAAGCGGCCACCAAGAAGGGTTCGGCCGGGCGCCCCTTGTCCTGCCAAATCCGCGGCAGTACAGTATGCGGAGAATTGTTTTGGGACACCTGTAATATCCTACGCAAGTCACGAGCCGCGCCCGGGCCTTCGCGATTGCGGCCAGACCTTCCAGGGCGGACTGTCCTGCCGCCTGGCATCAATTGTCGGACTTCACAATGGGTGTGATGTCTGCAAACTGCAAACCTGTCCATTTATGGTGTGTATATATATATGTAGATATGTATTAATATAAACAAATAGGTATATACATATTATATATATATATATATGGACATATTTTTTACTTACTTATTTATTTTTGATTTTTCTGTATGTATGTGCGCGTGTGTAAAGATGTAGGTATACATGTCAATTGCTGTAAAAACTGCGCATGCTTCACAACTAACTGATACGAGTATGTATTGAATTCTCATCATGCGAATCATAAATTGAGCAACCTGTAACTAATTGTAGCATGACCCATCATTTCTCTGAGAAGAACACTAGCAATAAACGTAACGACAGCCTGTGGCCACGCTGGGTCTGTTGCTAGCGGGCTGCGGCACTGTCGTGACATGGAGCGGCCTTGTCGGCGATCTTGGCCACAAGGCCCTCGACCTCAGCCTTCAGCTCCGCGGCCATTGCTTCACGCGAAGGGCAAAAACTTAGCTAATTCGCCAAGGGAGGCTCTGGAGGGGGAAAACGGCTTTGCGTCGATCAGGCTCCGTACATCAGGGCCCGCCAAGTCTTCGCCTTGCATCATTCGAATTATTCTGGCAGACCCGTTCGGCATCAGGGGGCATCACTCCGATGATGAACCCTGTCGATCCTGAGACGTTGATGCTCCACTCTAGGGGCAAGGGCCGCATCTGCGTCTTTTTGTTATGCCTTTTCTCCCCTTCAGCTCTCCACTTCTTGCAGAGCTATCTAGCAATGCACTGGGCGAGTCGCCCAGTCACACTGGCTTATTGCAGCTCTCGCGACTCGCGGCAGAACGGCCAGCTAAGGATCCAGCTCGCACAAACTTCGGCAGACTTTGGTTTGTTGGCGTGCTGAATGCTTCCATTCAATACGACGGCACGGTCCTTGGCGGCACTGCTAAATCTACGCAGCATGCCCCGAACAAGGGCCCAAAAGGCATCTAATTTGAACCTATGATACACGTCAGGTCTGTTAGAGGCCAGCGCATCTGCCACTGTGGCAGGGGCCTTGTAGAACATAGCAGAACATAAAGATCGCCCATGGTCCTTGTCTTCGGGAGCTGCGGAAAAGGAGCTGGGCTCTGGGGCTTTTCCCCAGCCTGCCCGCCACGAACGCCCGCGCCACAGAGGCTCTTTTGAGCTCTGCGAGCAAGCGATCCATGCCGGAGCGACGCCTCAGTCCTTGCCCTTCAGGCTCTCCTTCAGCTCGTTGAGCTTGTCCTGCGGCTGCTTACATTGCGGTGCCTGTACTCCATACCCCAGCTACTTGCAGGCAAAGGCTCCTCGAGCTCCCAGACCTCCTCGTCGGTCAGCGTCTGCTTCTTCTTGCCGTCCTGTCGGTGTCAGATATACGAGTACCACCGATCTGTACCAGTGCCACTGCCGTCCGCATCTACAGACTGCGCTGGAGGCGCTTTGCGTCGGCTCCTTGATCTTCTTCTCAAGGTCCTTGATGGACTTCTTCTTGTCCTTCTCGGTCATGGTGACCTCGACAACTGCTCCAAACCGGCCTTTTCCTACAATGCTGGGGCTGGGGAACATGGTCAAGGCGTCAACGGATGGTCAAGGAATGTCAAGGATACTGTCCAGGGAGGGTCATTCTCTGGCTCCGCTTGCCAACCAGTTGCGCTCTTCTTGACCTCGATCTTGTTGCCCGCGCCGTCGAAGACCTCATCAGGGCCTCGGGGCAAGCGAATGCTGCTCCCAGCGCCGCCCGCACATCCCTGCAACGCCTACTCTCGGATCCCTGTACATATTCCGACCGGCCCTGTGGAGCAGTGGAGCTGTCCCTGTTCTGGGCCTTTGTTTGCGTTGTCGTCATCCTTGGAGTTGTCGATAGACTCGCCCTCGATGCGGAGGCGGCCTGCCCTCAGGCGTGCGAGGGGTTGGGGAGAAGATGGGAGAAGCGACACAGAAGAATCTTGAGGATTGTCCAACCGGCTGCTCCGAGGTGCTGCATGATCCACTTCTCCGTCGCCACGCTGTCGCAGAACTCCTGAACTGAGAGCCATGGCAGAGCACAGGTCGCCTTGCCTTCAGCCCTCCACTACCCCCCCCCATCGCGTCGTCAATGCCGCCCCCTGAAGCGAAGCGCGGCCTTGTTGTGGGAGATGATGAGGACACCGCCCTTGTAGTCCTTGATTGCCAAGACCAAGGCACCTGACAAATCGAATGGGTAAAACATGGTATAACATGGTATAACATTATGGCATCACGAAGTCACGCTAAAGAATGACACGCCCAGGGCAGGGCGGCTGTGACAAAGTGCAGGCGGGGGCACCCAGGCCGTCGCGGTCAAGGTAGTTGGTCGGCCTCGGGGGATCGTTGCACAGGGCATGCCACGTGATGCCGTTCCAAGGAAAGCAGTCTACGAGCATCTTGCCGCGTGGGCCGCATCCGTCTACAAGGCATCTGAGCGGCTCGTCAAGGATGAGAACGTGCGGGTTCTGCCACATGGCAGCCGCCAGGACGATCTTCACCTTCATTCCGCCACCTTGCAGGCAACAGCTTGTGCCGACAAGAGCCCATCTCAGCACCAGACATGTAGCGGCTAGCGGCTAGTGACTAGTGGCTAGCGAAACAGCGAAACTCTTACAGACTCTTGACACTTTTAGACTCATGACTCATGGGGGGCAAGGCACTGAGCTGGTTGATCTGCGTGTGGCTGGCGGACTCGGCATCGACGCCGAAGTCTGCCTGTCGAGGGCTTCTCTGCGATCTACCGAGTCACCGAAGTAACCTCCGTGAGCTTCTGACATTTCTGGTCTTCTGAGCCACTTCTGGGTCCGTGGTGTGGGTACGTGTGCGTCCAGGGCGCCAGGTGCTTCTCCACGCCCGGCTGGGTGAGCTGCTTGGTCATCAGGCCCGCCATGGCGGCCTGACCTCGGAACCAGGTCCCCGCGCGTCGGCGCTGCAGTGAGTCTCCCTACCCCACTCTGACCCGTGCAACACGGGTGCGACTACAAGCACGACGACCTCATACGACCTCCGAGCCGAGCTGCGCTCATCCTCGCGCTGCACAAGCTTGATGTAGCCCATCTTCACCAGGGTGTCCTTCTCCACCCAGGTGTTGTTGTCCATGGACTTGAACTGCCACTTCACCTGGCATTGCAGACCATTGCAGGATGCGTATGTACTCAGGCTGCGGCCCTGCAGACTGGTGGTACACTTGGGCGGCATGGGCGGCCTCGTACTCGAAAGTCTTCTCCTTCTTCTTCTGACGTCGGTTGACAATGGCATCCGGGACCACGGCTCCAGCCTCGTCCTGCTTGGCCTTCCTGGGTGCAGGGGCGCGGGCTACTACGGCAGATCGCAGAAAAGAGGTGTGCTGAGGTATGCTCAGGTTTGGCGTGGCATGATACTGTATTAGGCGTGGCTCACGGATGATGCGGATGTGCTGGCGCATGCTGCTGCCGAGGGGCTTGGCGTCCTCCTTGGGGTCCGTGCAGCGGCGCACGTTGCCGGTGACGGAGTCGATGCACCACTTCTGGGCCCGGGCCTTCTCCTCGTCCACTGAGAGGTCCTCGGTCTTGAACTCGATGCTCTCGCGGTCATCGTTGCCCGCAAAGCGCCACATGATGTACTGCGTGGGGGTCTCCTGCATGTGCTTCTCCAAGTGGTGGAAGGCGTGCTGCGCCACGTAGGCCATTCGCAGGCCCTGGGCCTTCCAGATGGTGCCTTCCGTGGGAAGCTGCTCGCCCACCAGCACCTTGATGGCCGTGGATTTGCCCGCACCGTTGGCGCCGATCACTGCCACTCGGCTCACCTGGGACACAGTCCTCGGCACGACGACAGGAGCTCCGAAGAGGGCATGAGGGGTACGGGAGTGACACGGGGAGTGATTTCTCAAAGCAACATGGAACGGAGGGGCCAATGCCAATGCTGCTCAAGGCTCAGGCTCACATCCATGATGGTGGGCTTGTCCTTGGTGGGGTACGTGAAGCTGACGTTGTTCATGCGCAGGATGACCTTGCTGCGGCTCTTCACGCCTTCCAGCGCGCCGGGCTCCGGGAACACGAAGCGCATGTTGTCGTTGCGGATCTCGAAGTACGACTTCTTCTCCGGGTACTTCTCCACGAACCTCTCAGGACACATCTGGCAACGACTGAGGAAGGAACACGGAACACGTCCGCAAGCAAGCGCAAGCGAAGCTCCGGCCAAGGTGCTGGGTGAGGGTCTGGCCCTTCTCGCCCTTGAAGGTCTTGAGCTTGCGGTCCTGGAAGTCGATGATGTGAGTGCCTTGGCGATGCAACAATGCAACAATCAGAGCTGTGCAGAATGCAGGGGCCTTGCTCGCGATGAAGAGACCCAGAGTACATCAAATTGCAGCACCGCACATTACCGGATGTGCAGTGTGTTTTCTGCACGGCCAGGATGCACATCTTGTCAAGGAAAGGGCTGAAGTGGGAGGTGCAGATGATGCTTCCATCGAAGGACTCGAGCCAGTCTTCCAGCCACCTCGTCTTCGAATGCGGCTCGACGTTGAAGCGTACAGATGCATTCGGCAGCGTGTGCTCAGCATCTGGTCTACGGGAGTCTATTGTCTACTCATTGGCAGGTCTACTCCCCGCGTCACGCAGCAAATTTGATGGTGAGTGCACGGCGATGCTCGTCTATGCAAGACGCACAATGACACACACAAGCACATGCACCGGGCTGCATCTGGCTACCGACAGTGCATGATATTGGGCCGTCGAGGCACTTGATGTTGTCAACGTCAAGATGTCCGGTCGGCTCGTCCAGCATGAGCACCTCTAGAATCAAACACCGAGCACAAGACAGAGCACCAGAGTCACAAGACGATGGAGGGAGAGGAATGGAGGGAGGGAACGAGAGAAACTCTGCTCATTCATCTCTCCTCGGAAAGCGACACTTTCTGCAACCCCCCAAACTCATCCAAAATCCACACCCACAGTGAGGGAGCCAGGGCACGTCGGCGTTCATCAGCTGCGCAGCGCACAGCTGCATCTTCATCTTCCAACCGCCGGAGTAGGAGGTCACCGGCCTCATCAGCTGCAAAGCTATCATGGAGGGGGAATCATGGCGGCAGGGGCATCGCTTGGAAATTGGAAAATCCTGGAAACTTTCCGGCGCTGCGGCCGGGGCGCAGCTCCAGATTGGCGGCACGGTCGGGGCCGCCAGGGTAGCCGAAGCCGATGGACTTCATCAGCTCCTTGACCTCAACATCGCGCATGGATGGGAAGCAGGTGCCGGCTGCTTCAGAACTGCAGACAGGATGCCGTCTCCTCCTTCACAGGCGGGTCCAGCTTGTAGATGTCGTTGCCTGAAATTGGCAAGGTGGCATGGTTCAGTGGTGCAGCACAGTTGGCGCAGCACCATGTCCCGACCACTTCAGCCGCGTTGCAGGTGTGGACGACCCACCACCATCCGGGCTTGTCCACCGAAAGGATGGGGAAACCTGGAGAAGAGCAAGGCATTTCCAGATGCTTCGAGGCTTGCCTCTTTAACAATCCATCCGCACCCTTCGCACAGGATGCTCGGCTCCCAGCCATCGTCCTGCACTCCCACCTCCTCATCTTCGATCCTTGGCAGAGGCACAGACCCGATTGGAAAAGCAGCCCCGAGCCACAGTGCCTTCTTCAACTTCCGCAGCAGAGAGGGAAAGACAGAGAGAGAGAGAGAGAGGGAGAGAGAAAAACACATAGAGACAGCGAGAAAGTAAAACGAACATCTAGCCGTCGCTGCCAAGGCTCTCGTGCTCAACGAAGACGCTCTTGAGCTCGTCTCGCTTGGGGAAGCCCTCGCAGCTTATCGCAGCTTACGGACTCACAGCTTGAAGCTCTGGGCCAGTGGGAGCTTGTGCCCTTGAAAGAAAGCGAAACAAGGAGACGGGCTCCCTGCGTCACCCTGCCTCCAGCTGCTCGTTGGCGATGGCACGCATGAGCGTCGTCTTGCCACACTGGTTGGGTCCAAGGAGGCCATAGAAGCGGTTGCGCTTCAGATGCATCTTGGCGTCGCGCAGCAAGGTGAGCGTGCCGTAGGCCAGGGAGAAGGCTCCCTTGTACAGGTCAACGCCCTCGGTGTCCTCCTCCTCGACCTCTTCCTTGGGCTTGGCGGCGATTTCCATCTTGGCACGCAGCGCCTCGGTGATGGAGTCGAAAGGTGCCAGGTAGCCGACGTCCTTCTTCCACAGGTCCTCATCGAAGACCCGCATGTTGGCGGCGCACGCGGCCAGGGCGGAAACATGCGTCAGCTCGTCTTCGAAGGCCTCTCCGGAGCCTGCATTGCCACCCAGCGCTGCGGACACCTGCTTCTTGGCATCCTCAAGCTTCATCTGCTGCAGAGACTCGGCACCTCGGCCACAAGTGACACTACAAGAGGATACAAGAGCCAGGCGATGGCAAGCATCAGCACGAGCTGCACCAGCCTTCTCCGGCGGCCTTCTGCAAGGTCTTGTAGGCCTTCTCGGCGACGCCTGCCAGACTTGGAATGGAGGCTTGCCAGGCTTGCATCATATTACATCAACTTTGACGTACTTATACAGTAGCCCTCCGTCCCACGTTGCCCCACTCCATCCCACTCCTTTGCGGCAAAGGTCAGCAAAGGAATAGCCATTGCAAAGATAGAAACGACGGGCTCGGGATACGCTGGGCCCCCTTGAAAGCCGAGAAGAGGCCTCGTGCTTCTGGGTCGGAGATCTTCTGTGTGGCGCTCTTGACCAAAGGATCCAACTTCGGCATCAAAGGCAGCACCTCCGAAAACAAAACGGATCATGCGATGCAGTTTGCACCCAATCTGCACCCAATCTGCACCCATCTGCCCGTGCTCTCGGCTATTCTCGGCCTCTGCAGGGTCCTCGACGAGCTTGCACATGTTGTCCACGATCTGGCAGCACGTGCGCTTCACCTGCAGAGCCAAAGGCAAGGCCGAGAGAGAAGATCGCCGCTGCTGGGACGGCCTCCTCGTTCTTGTCGTTCAGGCCGCGCGTCAGCACGGGCATGGTGACCTCGGAGGTACATCGCGGAGAGCGCCATAGAGAGCGCCACGGAGGGAGCGAGTGCGGAAACTTGATTGAAGGCGGCACGGCGTCAGTCTCTAGACGTCTCCGGAAATTCCTCTGGGCTCCCGGCTGCCAGAGCCGGGGCCTCCACATTCTGCACGAAGATGCCTTGGGGGCCAGGCCGGCTTCGGCTCAGTTTGTGCTGGCTGCCATCAGCATTCGTCGGCACGACTTGGTGATCCAAGGATATTCAAGGAGCATCCGGCCAGCTTCTCCACGCAGGCGTGGGTCTTGTCAATAGAAGAGGCAGCATCGACCACGGCTGGGAGGAAGGGCTCCAAGTCCTGAGGCGCACTGAGGGAGAGCATCTCAAGCACTTTCACGCATGCCTCCGTCCGCAAGCGCAAGAAGTTGGTGGCCTTGTTTCCCGTGCATCCGCAGATGGCCGTCATGCACTCCAGCGCCGCTGTCTTCACCTGCATGCCAACAAAACAGGACATGCGGGCAGCATGGCTTGGCTCTGGCCTCCTTCTTGATGTCGCAGGTCAGGTCAGCCACGGGAGCAACTAGGTTCACCAGCAGGTAGCCTCGGAGAGCGGCAGATCCCGCGCAGTCCAGTATATGTAAACTCTCCTACATACATGTATTTCTGTAGTTGTATCTGGGGCAAGATATCTCTGCCTTTCTCTGCCTTTCTCTGTGCGCTATTCTCCCGCCAATCCTAGATGCGACGAGTGGCCCACGGCGCGAGGAGCTTTGCCAGCCAGGGCGGAGATGATTTGCAGAGTGGCTTCCTTCTGGGTGGGCTTTGCCTGTCCGGGCAATGACACCAGCTTGGTGAAGTCACTGCAACAGTAAACTTAGGCAGCGCTGCACGATTTTTGAATGTTTGTGAATCTGAACCATTTTGGGATTCACGCCTTCACGGCCAGCCCGTTCAGGAAGGAGGGCAGCAGGAGCTCGACGGCAAATGGGGAGACCATCTCCATGATGGCCTCAAAAGGTCACAGGGAAGCAGCCAGGGCAGCTCCCGTTGCAAGAAGAGACGAAGGCATCGGCCTTGCTGGTGGCGACAGCGGCATCCTTCACGTTCTTGGACTTGTCGTTCGAAGCCTGCAGGGCTCTGTGCAGTATGTGCATTGAAACTCCCACTCGCTGTTTGGCCGGTCAGGCAGTCGGGCACGCCGTGGCATGAATGGCGCGACTGTCGCAGAGTCCTCCAGGATCTTGGGGAAAGCGGCCACCAAGAAGGGTTCGGCCGGGCGCCCCTTGTCCTGCCAAATCCGCGGCAGTACAGTATGCGGAGAATTGTTTTGGGACACCTGTAAGATCCTGTAAGCAAGTCACGAGCCGCGCCCGGGCCTTCGCGATTGCGGCCAGACCTTCCAGGGCGGACTGTCCTGCCGCCTGGCATCAATTGTCGGACTTCACAATGGGTGTGATGTCTGCAAACTGCAAACCTGTCCATTTATGGTGTGTATATATATATATGTAGATATGTATTAATTAATACAAACAAATAGGTATACATATATATATATATATGGACATATTTATTTTTTACTTACTAGTTACTTATTTATTTATGATTTTTTCTGTATGTATGTGCGCGTGTGTAAAGATGTACATACGTATAGGTATACATGTCAATTGCTGCAAAAACTGCGCATGCTTCACAACTAACTGATACGAGTATGTATTGAATTCTCATCATGCGAATCATAAATTGAGCAACCTGTAACTAATTGTAGCATGCATCATCATTTCTCTGAGCAGAACACTAGCAATAAACGTAACGACAGCCTGTGGCCACGCTGGGTCTGTTGCTAGCGGGCTGCGGCACTGTCGTGACATGGAGCGGCCTTGTCGGCGATCTTGGCCACAAGGCCCTCGACCTCAGCCTTCAGCTCCGCGGCCATTGCTTCACGCTGAGGGCAAAAACTTAGCTAATTCGCCAAGGGAGGCTCTGGAGGGGGAAAACGGCTTTGCGTCGATCAGGCTCCGTACATCAGGGCCCGCCAAGTCTTCGACTTGCATCATTCGAATTATTCTGGCAGACCCGTTCGGCATCAGGGGGCATCACGCCGATGATGAACCCTGTCGATCCTGAGACGTTGATGCTCCACTCTAGGGGCAAGGGCCGCATCTGCGTCTTTTTGTTATGCCTTTTCTCCCCTTCAGCTCTCCACTTCTTGCAGAGCTATCTAGCAATGCACTGGGCGAGTCGCCCAGTCACACTGGCTTATTGCAGCTCTCGCGACTCGCGGCAGAACGGCCAGCTAAGGATCCAGCTCGCACAAACTTCGGCAGACTTTGGTTTGTTGGCGTGCTGAATGCTTCCATTCAATACGACGGCACGGTCCTTGGCGGCACTGCTAAATCTACGCAGCATGCCCCGAACAAGGGCCCAAAAGGCATCTAATTTGAACCTATGATACACGTCAGGTCTGTAGAGGCCAGCGCATCTGCCACTGTGGCAGGGGCCTTGTAGAACATAGCAGAACATAAAGATCGCCCATGGTCCTTGTCTTCGGGAGCTGCGGAAAAGGAGCTGGGCTCTGGGGCTTTTCCCCAGCCTGCCCGCCACGAACGCCCGCGCCACAGAGGCTCTTTTGAGCTCTGCGAGCAAGCGATCCATGCCGGAGCGACGCCTCAGTCCTTGCCCTTCAGGCTCTCCTTCAGCTCGTTGAGCTTGTCCTGCGGCTGCTTACATTGCGGTGCCTGTACTCCATACCCCAGCTACTTGCAGGCAAAGGCTCCTCGAGCTCCCAGACCTCCTCGTCGGTCAGCGTCTGCTTCTTCTTGCCGTCCTGTCGGTGTCAGATATACGAGTACCACCGATCTGTACCAGCGCCACTGCCGTCCGCATCTACAGACTGCGCCGGAGGCGCTTTGCGTCGGCTCCTTGATCTTCTTCTCAAGGTCCTTGATGGACTTCTTCTTGTCCTTCTCGGTCATGGTGACCTCGACAACTGCTCCAAACCGGCCTTTTCCTACAATGCTGGGGCTGGGGAACATGGTCAAGGCGTCAACGGATGGTCAAGGAATGTCAAGGATACTGTCCAGGGAGGGTCATTCTCTGGCTCCGCTTGCCAACCAGTTGCGCTCTTCTTGACCTCGATCTTGTTGCCCGCGCCGTCGAAGACCTCATCAGGGCCTCGGGGCAAGCGAATGCTGCTCCCAGCGCCGCCCGCACATCCCTGCAACGCCTACTCTCGGATCCCTGTACATATTCCGACCGGCCCTGTGGAGCAGTGGAGCTGTCCCTGTTCTGGGCCTTTGTTTGCGTTGTCGTCATCCTTGGAGTTGTCGATAGACTCGCCCTCGATGCGGAGGCGGCCTGCCCTCAGGCGTGCGAGGGGTTGGGGAGAAGATGGGAGAAGCGACACAGAAGAATCTTGAGGATTGTCCAACCGGCTGCTCCGAGGTGCTGCATGATCCACTTCTCCGTCGCCACGCTGTCGCAGAACTCCTGAACTGAGAGCCATGGCAGAGCACAGGTCGCCTTGCCTTCAGCCCTCCACTACCCCCCCCCATCGCGTCGTCAATGCCGCCCCCTGAAGCGAAGCGCGGCCTTGTTGTGGGAGATGATGAGGACACCGCCCTTGTAGTCCTTGATTGCCAAGACCAAGGCACCTGACAAATCGAATGGGTATAAATCGTATAACATGGTATAACATTATGGCATCACGAAGTCACGCTAAAGAATGACACGCCCAGGGCAGGGCGGCTGTGACAAAGTGCAGGCGGGGCACCCAGGCCGTCGCGGTCAAGGTAGTTGGTCGGCCTCGGGGGATCGTTGCACAGGGCACGCCACGTGATGCCGTTCCAAGGAAAGCAGTCTACGAGCATCTTGCCGCGTGGGCCGCATCCGTCTACAAGGCATCTGAGCGGCTCGTCAAGGATGAGAACGTGCGGGTTCTGCCACATGGCAGCCGCCAGGACGATCTTCACCTTCATTCCGCCACCTTGCAGGCAACAGCTTGTGCCGACAAGAGCCCATCTCAGCACCAGACATGTAGCGGCTAGCGGCTAGTGACTAGTGGCTAGCGAAACAGCGAAACTCTTACAGACTCTTGACACTTTTAGACTCATGACTCATGGGGGGCAAGGCACTGAGCTGGTTGATCTGCGTGTGGCTGGCGGACTCGGCATCGACGCCGAAGTCTGCCTGTCGAGGGCTTCTCTGCGATCTACCGAGTCACCGAAGTAACCTCCGTGAGCTTCTGACATTTCTGGTCTTCTGAGCCACTTCTGGGTCCGTGGTGTGGGTACGTGTGCGTCCAGGGCGCCAGGTGCTTCTCCACGCCCGGCTGGGTGAGCTGCTTGGTCATCAGGCCCGCCATGGCGGCCTGACCTCGGAACCAGGTCCCCGCGCGTCGGCGCTGCAGTGAGTCTGCCTACCCCACTCCGACCCGTGCAACACGGGTGCGACTACAAGCACGACGACCTCATACGACCTCCGAGCCGAGCTGCGCTCATCCTCGCGCTGCACAAGCTTGATGTAGCCCATCTTCACCAGGGTGTCCTTCTCCACCCAGGTGTTGTTGTCCATGGACTTGAACTGCCACTTCACCTGGCATTGCAGACCATTGCAGGATGCGTATGTACTCAGGCTGCGGCCCTGCAGACTGGTGGTACACTTGGGCGGCATGGGCGGCCTCGTACTCGAAAGTCTTCTCCTTCTTCTTCTGACGTCGGTTGACAATGGCATCCGGGACCACGGCTCCAGCCTCGTCCTGCTTGGCCTTCCTGGGTGCAGGGGCGCGGGCTACTACGGCAGATCGCAGAAAAGAGGTGTGCTGAGGTATGCTCAGGTTTGGCGTGGCATGATACTGTATTAGGCGTGGCTCACGGATGATGCGGATGTGCTGGCGCATGCTGCTGCCGAGGGGCTTGGCGTCCTCCTTGGGGTCCGTGCAGCGGCGCACGTTGCCGGTGACGGAGTCGATGCACCACTTCTGGGCCCGGGCCTTCTCCTCGTCCACTGAGAGGTCCTCGGTCTTGAACTCGATGCTCTCGCGGTCATCGTTGCCCGCAAAGCGCCACATGATGTACTGCGTGGGGGTCTCCTGCATGTGCTTCTCCAAGTGGTGGAAGGCGTGCTGCGCCACGTAGGCCATTCGCAGGCCCTGGGCCTTCCAGATGGTGCCTTCCGTGGGAAGCTGCTCGCCCACCAGCACCTTGATGGCCGTGGATTTGCCCGCACCGTTGGCGCCGATCACTGCCACTCGGCTCACCTGGGACACAGTCCTCGGCACGACGACAGGAGCTCCGAAGAGGGCATGAGGGGTACGGGAGTGACACGGGGAGTGATTTCTCAAAGCAACATGGAACGGAGGGGCCAATGCCAATGCTGCTCAAGGCTCAGGCTCACATCCATGATGGTGGGCTTGTCCTTGGTGGGGTACGTGAAGCTGACGTTGTTCATGCGCAGGATGACCTTGCTGCGGCTCTTCACGCCTTCCAGCGCGCCGGGCTCCGGGAACACGAAGCGCATGTTGTCGTTGCGGATCTCGAAGTACGACTTCTTCTCCGGGTACTTCTCCACGAACCTCTCAGGACACATCTGGCAACGACTGAGGCAGGAACACGGAACACGTCCGCAAGCAAGCGCAAGCGAAGCTCCGGCCAAGGTGCTGGGTGAGGGTCTGGCCCTTCTCGCCCTTGAAGGTCTTGAGCTTGCGGTCCTGGAAGTCGATGATGTGAGTGCCTTGGCGATGCAACAATGCAACAATCAGAGCTGTGCAGAATGCAGGGGCCTTGCTCGCGATGAAGAGACCCAGAGTACATCAAATTGCAGCTTCGCACATTACCGGATGTGCAGTGTGTTCTTTGCACGGCCAGGATGCACATCTTGTCAAGGAAAGGGCTGAAGTGGGAGGTGCAGATGATGCTTCCATCGAAGGACTCGAGCCAGTCTTCCAGCCACCTCGTCTTCGAATGCGGCTCGACGTTGAAGCGTACAGATGAACATCGGCAGGGTGTGCTCAGCATCTGGTCTACAGGAGTCTAGGGTCTACTCATTGGCAGGTCTACTCCCCGCGTCACACAGCAAATTTGGTGGTGAGTGCACGGCGATGCTCGTCTATGCAAGACGCACAATGACACACACACACAAGCACACGCACCGGGCTGCATCTGGCTACCGACAGTGCATGATATTGGGCAGTCGAGGCACTTGATGTTGTCAACGTCAAGATGTCCGGTCGGCTCGTCCAGCATGAGCACCTCTAGAACCACACACCGAGCACAAGACAAAACACCAGAGTCACAAGACGATGGAGGGAGAGGCAGGGAGGGAGGGAGCGACAGAAACTCTGATCATTCATCTCTCCTCGGAAAGCGACAGACGCGACAGAAACTGCAACCCCCAAACTCATCCAAAATCCACACCCACAGTGAGGGAGCCAGGCACGTCGGCGTTCATCAGCTGCGCAGCGCACAGCTGCATCTTCATCTTCCAACCGCCGGAGTAGGAGGTCACCGGCCTCATCAGCTGCAGAGCGATCATGGATGATCATGCGGGCATCCCTTGGAAAATCCTGGAAACTTTCCGGCACTGCGGCCCGGGGCGCAGCTCCAGATTGGCGGCACGGTCGGGGCCGCCAGGGTAGCCGAAGCCGATGGACTTCATCAGCTCCTTGACCTCAACATCGCGCATGGATGGGAAGCAGGTGCCGGCTGCTTCAGAACTGCAGACAGGATGCCGTCTCCTCCTTCACAGGCGGGTCCAGCTTGTAGATGTCGTTGCCTGAAATTGGCAAGGTGGCATGGTTCAGTGGTGCAGCACAGTTGGCGCAGCACCATGTCCGAACCACTTCAGCCGCGTTGCAGGTGTGGACGACCCACCACCATCCGGGCTTGTCCACCGAAAGGATGGGGAAACCTGGAGAAGAGCAAGGCATTTCCAGATGCTTCGAGGCTTGCCTCTTTAACAATCCATCCGCACCCTTCGCACAGGATGCTCGGCTCCCAGCCATCGTCCTGCACTCCCACCTCCTCATCTTCGATCCTTGGCAGAGGCACAGACCCGATTGGAAAAGCAGCCCCGAGCCACAGTGCCTTCTTCAACTTCCGCAGCAGAGAGGGAAAGACAGGGAGAGAGAGAGGGAGAGAGAAAAACCCATAGAGACAGCGAGAAAGTAAAACGAACATCTAGCCGTCGCTGCCAAGGCTCTCGTGCTCAACGAAGACGCTCTTGAGCTCGTCTCGCTTGGGGAAGCCCTCGCAGCTTATCGCAGCTTACGGACTCACAGCTTGAAGCTCTGGGCCAGTGGGAGCTTGTGCCCTTGAAAGAAAGCGAAACAAGGAGACGGGCTCCCTGCGTCACCCAGCCTCCAGCTGCTCGTTGGCGATGGCGCGCATGAGCGTCGTCTTGCCACACTGGTTGGGTCCAAGGAGGCCATAGAAGCGGTTGCGCTTCAGATGCATCTTGGCGTCGCGCAGCAAGGTGAGCGTGCCGTAGGCCAGGGAGAAGGCTCCCTTGTACAGGTCAACGCCCTCGGTGTCCTCCTCCTCGACCTCTTCCTTGGGCTTGGCGGCGATTTCCATCTTGGCACGCAGCGCCTCGGTGATGGAGTCGAAAGGTGCCAGGTAGCCGACGTCCTTCTTCCACAGGTCCTCATCGAAGACCCGCATGTTGGCGGCGCACGCGGCCAGGGCGGAAACATGCGTCAGCTCGTCTTCGAAGGCCTCTCCGGAGCCTGCATTGCCACCCAGCGCTGCGGACACCTGCTTCTTGGCATCCTCAAGCTTCATCTGCTGCAGAGACTCGGCACCTCGGCCACAAGTGACACTACAAGAGGATACAAGAGCCAAGCGATGGCAAGCATCAGCACGAGCTGCACCAGCCTTCTCCGGCGGCCTTCTGCAAGGTCTTGTAGGCCTTCTCGGCGACGCCTGCCAGACTTGGAATGGAGGCTTGCCAGGCTTGCATCATCTTACATCAACTTTGACGTACTTATACAGTAGCCCTCCGTCCCACGTCAACGTCACGTTGCCCCACTCCATCCCACTCCTTTGCGGCAAAGGTCAGCAAAGGAATAGCCATTGCAAAGATAGAAACGACGGGCTCGGGATACGCTGGGCCCCCTTGAAAGCCGAGAAGAGGCCTCGTGCTTCTGGGTCGGAGATCTTCTGTGTGGCGCTCTTGACCAAAGGATCCAACTTCGGCATCAAAGGCAGCACCTCCGAAAACAAAACGGATCATGCGATGCAGTTTGCACCCAATCTGCACCCAATCTGCACCCATCTGCCCGTGCTCTCGGCTATTCTCGGCCTCTGCAGGGTCCTCGACGAGCTTGCACATGTTGTCCACGATCTGGCAGCACGTGCGCTTCACCTGCAGAGCCAAAGGCAAGGCCGAGAGAGAAGATCGCCGCTGCTGGGACGGCCTCCTCGTTCTTGTCGTTCAGGCCGCGCGTCAGCACGGGCATGGTGACCTCGGAGGTACATCGCGGAGAGCGCCATAGAGAGCGCCACGGAGGGAGCGAGTGCGGAAACTTGATTGAAGGCGGCACGGCGTCAGTCTCTAGACGTCTCCGGAAATTCCTCTGGGCTCCCGGCTGCCAGAGCCGGGGCCTCCACATTCTGCACGAAGATGCCTTGGGGGCCAGGCCGGCTTCGGCTCAGTTTGTGCTGGCTGCCATCAGCATTCGTCGGCACGACTTGGTGATCCAAGGATATTCAAGGAGCATCCGGCCAGCTTCTCCACGCAGGCGTGGGTCTTGTCAATAGAAGAGGCAGCATCGACCACGGCTGGGAGGAAGGGCTCCAAGTCCTGAGGCGCACTGAGGGAGAGCATCTCAAGCACTTTCACGCATGCCTCCGTCCGCAAGCGCAAGAAGTTGGTGGCCTTGTTTCCCGTGCATCCGCAGATGGCCGTCATGCACTCCAGCGCCGCTGTCTTCACCTGCATGCCAACAAAACAGGACATGCGGGCAGCATGGCTTGGCTCTGGCCTCCTTCTTGATGTCGCAGGTCAGGTCAGCCACGGGAGCAACTAGGTTCACCAGCAGGTAGCCTCGGAGAGCGGCAGATCCCGCGCAGTCCAGTATATGTAAACTCTCCTACATACATGTATTTCTGTAGTTGTATCTGGGGCAAGATATCTCTGCCTTTCTCTGCCTTTCTCTGTGCGCTATTCTCCCGCCAATCCTAGCGACGAGTGGCCCACGGCGCGAGGAGCTTTGCCAGCCAGGGCGGAGATGATTTGCAGAGTGGCTTCCTTCTGGGTGGGCTTTGCCTGTCCGGGCAATGACACCAGCTTGGTGAAGTCACTGCAACAGTAAACTTAGGCAGCGCTGCACGATTTTTGAATGTTTGTGAATCTGAACCATTTTGGGATTCACGCCTTCACGGCCAGCCCGTTCAGGAAGGAGGGCAGCAGGAGCTCGACGGCAAATGGGGAGACCATCTCCATGATGGCCTCAAAAGGTCACAGGGAAGCAGCCAGGGCAGCTCCCGTTGCAAGAAGAGCCGAAGGCATCGGCCTTGCTGGTGGCGACAGCGGCATCCTTCACGTTCTTGGACTTGTCGTTCGAAGCCTGCAGGGCTCTGTGCAGTATGTGCAGTGAAACTCCCACTCGCTGTTTGGCAGCTCAGGCAGTCGGGCACGATGTGGCATGAGTGGCATGACTGTCGCAGAGTCCTCCAGGATCTTGGGGAAAGCGGCCACCAAGAAGGGTTCGGCCGGGCGCCCCTTGTCCTGCCAAATCCGCGGCAGTACAGTATGCGGAGAATTGTTTTGGGACACCTGTAAGATCCTGTAAGCAAGTCACGAGCCGCGCCCGGGCCTTCGCGATTGCGGCCAAACCTTCCAGGGCGGACTGTCCTGCCGCCTGGCATCAACTGTCGGACTTCACAATGGGTGCGACGTCTGCAAACCCATCATCAAACATGAATCATGAATAATGCGACTTATAACTTTTGTATTCATACTGGTTGTATTATTAACAAACATTCGATCCGACTCCTGGGCCTTTGGCTGGGTCTGTTGGACATGGAGGGGCCTTGTCGGCGATCTTGGCCACAAGGCCCTCGACCTCTGCCTTCAGCTCCGCGGCCATTGCTTCACGCGGAGGGCAAAAACTTAGCTAATTCGCCAAGGGAGGCTCTGGAGGGGGAAAACGGCTTTGCGTCGATCAGGCTCCGCACATCAGGGCCCGCCAAGTCTTCGCCTTACATCATTCTACTAACTTAATTAACTAATTATCGCAGACCCTTTCCGTGCTCACAGGCATCAGGGGGGTTGTCACTTTGATGATGAACCCTGTCAATACTGAGACGTTGATGCTGCACTCCAGGGGCAAAGGACTCATCGGTTCGTTTTGTTGTTGGGTTCGGGGTGGGAAAGTCAGTCGGGGCGGGAAGTCGTTCGGGGCGGGAAGTCAGCCGCGCGTTTTGAGGGAATGTAAATGCAGCGACTTCCCATACTATACAAAAAAGGACGTAGACTTGCAGAAACTCCTTCAAACCCAGTACAGATATATCCGCATCCCCTTGAACACTTACTAAATCTTATGGTTTGAGGAATGTCCGTTGTGTATTCTTTGGTAACTTCAAAAATGTAAGAGGTATGATGTTGGTGGCTGTCCTGTTTCTTGAATTTCCACAGGAGACGAGCCCTACAAACAAGCATTTCCTGAGGAACCAGCCCAGCAGCGCTACAAACAATGAATTGATTCTATCGAGTTGTCTTAAAAGAACGTGTACTGAAGAAGACTTACTTCCTTTGGTTCCTTTGGTCAGGTCTCCAAATGCCAAAGCATTGAGGACCCTGAGAGAAGATTTTATAATGTTCTCCTAGTCTCAACCATGCAAAGTCTCAACTTTTTTCCCGAGGAGACTTTCGAGGTGCGTGGGATTTGGGTCGATATTCGGAGCTACAATGCTGTGTTCGGATGCGAGTGCAAGGCCCATAGAAACCAATAAAACCAAAGGCAAATAAAGCGCGATACCCCCCACTCAAGAAAAAACTAAAACCACAAAGCATCTAAAAAACAACATTGTTGCAGGACACTTGGGACAACCGGGATACCGAAACCAAAAACAGAATTGCATCGTTTTGGGCAATGGTTTTCGTTTGGTTTTGTTTTCTTGGTTTCGCTGTCCCCCCTCTCTCGAAAGAGTCCAGCACAACTGTTTTTTCGGCTTATTGTAATTTGTTGGTACTGTCTTTGGGGTTGTTGCATTTTTGGTTTGATTGTGAAAACCCTCAAAGCGCAGCCGCTGAAAAAACGCCCCCGAAGTTGCTTTTGATATGCCTTTTCCCATCAGCTCTCCACGTCTTGCAGAGCCACCTTGCAATGCACTGGGCAAGTCGCCCAGTCACACTGGCTTATTGCAGCTCTCGCGGCAGAATGGCCAGCCAAGGATCCCGCTAGCGAAAGATGCTGCAGACACATTCGGTGCACGGGAGGGATTCTTTGGTGGCAGCGCGCCTAAACTACTGTAGTGCTCAGCTCCCGAGACAAGGGGCCAGTAGGGGCCGAAAGAACATGATGCTGGCAAAGGCGAGTGTTTCTACTGCCACACATCCGACAAGGGCATGGGCGAGAACATGGCGCGTGCTTGCTGCAACTTGCGGACGGAGGTCTGCTGCTTGACAGGCTAGAAGATGCTAGCTTCGCTAGGTGCCCTTGGTCTTTGTCTTCGGGAGCTGCGGAAAAGGAGCTGGGCTCTGGGGCTTTTCCCCAGCCTGCCCGCCACGAACGCCCGCGCCACAGAGGCTCTTTTGAGCTCTGCGAGCAAGCGATCCATGCCGGTGCGACGCCTCAGTCCTTGCCCTTCAGGCTCTCCTTCAGCTCGTTGAGCTTGTCCTGCGGCTGCTTACATTGCGGTGCCTGTACTCGCCTCATACCCCAGCTACTTGCAGGCAAAGGCTCCTCGAGCTCCCAGACCTCCTCGTCGGTCAGCGTCTGCTTCTTCTTGCCGTCCTGTCGGTGTCAGATATACGAGTACCACCGATCTGTACCAGTGCCACTGCCGTCCGCATCTACAGACTGCGCTGGAGGCGCTTTGCGTCGGCTCCTTGATCTTCTTCTCAAGGTCCTTGATGGACTTCTTCTTGTCCTTCTCGGTCATGGTGACCTCGACAACTGCTCCAAACCGGCCTTTTCCTACAATGCTGGGGCTGGGGAACATGGTCAAGGCGTCAACGGATGGTCAAGGAATGTCAAGGATACTGTCCAGGGAGGGTCATTCTCTGGCTCCGCTTGCCAACCAGTTGCGCTCTTCTTGACCTCGATCTTGTTGCCCGCGCCGTCGAAGACCTCATCAGGGCCTCGGGGCAAGCGAATGCTGCTCCCAGCGCCGCCCGCACATCCCTGCAACGCCTACTCTCGGATCCCTGTACATATTCCGACCGGCCCTGTGGAGCAGTGGAGCTGTCCCTGTTCTGGGCCTTTGTTTGCGTTGTCGTCATCCTTGGAGTTGTCGATAGACTCGCCCTCGATGCGGAGGCGGCCTGCCCTCAGGCGTGCGAGGGGTTGGGGAGAAGATGGGAGAAGCGACACAGAAGAATCTTGAGGATTGTCCAACCGGCTGCTCCGAGGTGCTGCATGATCCACTTCTCCGTCGCCACGCTGTCGCAGAACTCCTGAACTGAGAGCCATGGCAGAGCACAGGTCGCCTTGCCTTCAGCCCTCCACTACCCCCCCCCATCGCGTCGTCAATGCCGCCCCCTGAAGCGAAGCGCGGCCTTGTTGTGGGAGATGATGAGGACACCGCCCTTGTAGTCCTTGATTGCCAAGACCAAGGCACCTGACAAATCGAATGGGTAAAACATGGTATAACATGGTATAACATTATGGCATCACGAAGTCACGCTAAAGAATGACACGCCCAGGGCAGGGCGGCTGTGACAAAGTGCAGGCGGGGGCACCCAGGCCGTCGCGGTCAAGGTAGTTGGTCGGCCTCGGGGGATCGTTGCACAGGGCATGCCACGTGATGCCGTTCCAAGGAAAGCAGTCTACGAGCATCTTGCCGCGTGGGCCGCATCCGTCTACAAGGCATCTGAGCGGCTCGTCAAGGATGAGAACGTGCGGGTTCTGCCACATGGCAGCCGCCAGGACGATCTTCACCTTCATTCCGCCACCTTGCAGGCAACAGCTTGTGCCGACAAGAGCCCATCTCAGCACCAGACATGTAGCGGCTAGCGGCTAGTGACTAGTGGCTAGCGAAACAGCGAAACTCTTACAGACTCTTGACACTTTTAGACTCATGACTCATGGGGGGCAAGGCACTGAGCTGGTTGATCTGCGTGTGGCTGGCGGACTCGGCATCGACGCCGAAGTCTGCCTGTCGAGGGCTTCTCTGCGATCTACGTGAGCTTCTGACATTTCTGGTCTTCTGAGCCACTTCTGGGTCCGTGGTGTGGGTACGTGTGCGTCCAGGGCGCCAGGTGCTTCTCCACGCCCGGCTGGGTGAGCTGCTTGGTCATCAGGCCCGCCATGGCGGCCTGACCTCGGAACCAGGTCCCCGCGCGTCGGCGCTGCAGTGAGTCTCCCTACCCCACTCCGACCCGTGCAACACGGGTGCGACTACAAGCACGACGACCTCATACGACCTCCGAGCCGAGCTGCGCTCATCCTCGCGCTGCACAAGCTTGATGTAGCCCATCTTCACCAGGGTGTCCTTCTCCACCCAGGTGTTGTTGTCCATGGACTTGAACTGCCACTTCACCTGGCATTGCAGACCATTGCAGGATGCGTATGTACTCAGGCTGCGGCCCTGCAGACTGGTGGTACACTTGGGCGGCATGGGCGGCCTCGTACTCGAAAGTCTTCTCCTTCTTCTTCTGACGTCGGTTGACAATGGCATCCGGGACCACGGCTCCAGCCTCGTCCTGCTTGGCCTTCCTGGGTGCAGGGGCGCGGGCTACTACGGCAGATCGCAGAAAAGAGGTGTGCTGAGGTATGCTCAGGTTTGGCGTGGCATGATACTGTATTAGGCGTGGCTCACGGATGATGCGGATGTGCTGGCGCATGCTGCTGCCGAGGGGCTTGGCGTCCTCCTTGGGGTCCGTGCAGCGGCGCACGTTGCCGGTGACGGAGTCGATGCACCACTTCTGGGCCCGGGCCTTCTCCTCGTCCACTGAGAGGTCCTCGGTCTTGAACTCGATGCTCTCGCGGTCATCGTTGCCCGCAAAGCGCCACATGATGTACTGCGTGGGGGTCTCCTGCATGTGCTTCTCCAAGTGGTGGAAGGCGTGCTGCGCCACGTAGGCCATTCGCAGGCCCTGGGCCTTCCAGATGGTGCCTTCCGTGGGAAGCTGCTCGCCCACCAGCACCTTGATGGCCGTGGATTTGCCCGCACCGTTGGCGCCGATCACTGCCACTCGGCTCACCTGGGACACAGTCCTCGGCACGACGACAGGAGCTCCGAAGAGGGCATGAGGGGTACGGGAGTGACACGGGGAGTGATTTCTCAAAGCAACATGGAACGGAGGGGCCAATGCCAATGCTGCTCAAGGCTCAGGCTCACATCCATGATGGTGGGCTTGTCCTTGGTGGGGTACGTGAAGCTGACGTTGTTCATGCGCAGGATGACCTTGCTGCGGCTCTTCACGCCTTCCAGCGCGCCGGGCTCCGGGAACACGAAGCGCATGTTGTCGTTGCGGATCTCGAAGTACGACTTCTTCTCCGGGTACTTCTCCACGAACCTCTCAGGACACATCTGGCAACGACTGAGGCAGGAACACGGAACACGTCCGCAAGCAAGCGCAAGCGAAGCTCCGGCCAAGGTGCTGGGTGAGGGTCTGGCCCTTCTCGCCCTTGAAGGTCTTGAGCTTGCGGTCCTGGAAGTCGATGATGTGAGTGCCTTGGCGATGCAACAACGCAACAATCAGAGCTGTGCAGAATTCAGGGGCCTTGCTCGCGATGAAGAGACCCAGAGTACATCAAATTGCGGCACCGCACATTACCGGATGTGCAGTGTGTTCTTTGCACGGCCAGGATGCACATCTTGTCAAGGAAAGGGCTGAAGTGGGAGGTGCAGATGATGCTTCCATCGAAGGACTCGAGCCAGTCTTCCAGCCACCTCGTCTTCGAATGCGGCTCGACGTTGAAGCGTACAGATGAACATCGGAACGTGTGCTCAGCATCTGGTCTCATTGGCAGGTGACTGAATTAATGAAATGCGTGGCAGCGCGAAGAACTTCAGACTGCGCACCGCGTCACGCAGCAAATTTGCTTGTCAGTGCACGGCGATGCTTGTCTACGTAAGACACACACACAGAGGCATAGAGACACAGAGACACAGAGACACAGAGGCACGGAGACACGGAGACACGGAGACACGGAGACACGGAGACACGGAGACACGGACACACACACACACACACACACACACACACACACACACACACACACCCTCGCCCACCCTCCCTCCTTCCCACGCACGCATGCACGATTCGCTCGACGAACCATTGGACATGGCACGCATTCCAAATTTCTCGACTTCGAGTGGGAACATCGTGAATGACACTATTGCAGTATGTGCCGAATGCCCGTCTACGCGAGATGCTCGTCTACGTGAGAATGGGTATTGGCAGTCGAGGCACTTGATGTTGTCAACGTCAAGATGTCCGGTCGGCTCGTCCAGCATGAGCACCTCTAGAATCAAACACCGAGCACAAGACAGAGCACAAGAGTCACAAGACGATGGAGGGAGAGGAAGGGAGGGAGGGAACGAGAAACTCTGCTCATTCATCTCTCCTCGGAAAGCGACAAATGCGACAGAAACTGCAACCCCCAAACTCATCCAAAATCCACACCCGCAGTGAGGGAGCCAGGCACGTCGGCGTTCATCAGCTGCGCAGCGCACAGTTGCATCTTCATCTTCCAACCGCCGGAGTAGGAGGTCACCGGCCTCATCAGCTGCAGAGCTATCATGGGGGGAATCATGGCGGCAGGGGCATCGCTTGGAAATTGGAAGATCCTGGAAACTTTCCGGCGCTGCGGCCCGAGGCGCAGCTCCAGATTGGCGGCACGGTCGGGGCCGCCAGGGTAGCCGAAGCCGATGGACTTCATCAGCTCCTTGACCTCAACATCGCGCATGGATGGGAAGCAGGTGCCGGCTGCTTCAGAACTGCAGACAGGATGCCGTTTCCTCCTTCACAGGCGGGTCCAGCTTGTAGATGTCGTTGCCTGAAGGTGGCATGGTTCAGTGGTGCAGCACAGTTGGCGCACCATGTCCCGACCACTTCAGACGCGTTGCAGGTGTGGACGACCCACCACCATCCGGGCTTGTCCACCGAAAGGATGGGGAAACCTGGAGAAGAGCAAGGCATTTCCAGATGCTTCGAGGCTTGCCTCTTTAACAATCCATCCGCACCCTTCGCACAGGATGCTCGGCTCCCAGCCATCGTCCTGCACTCCCACCTCCTCATCTTCGATCCTTGGCAGAGGCACAGACCCGACTGGAAAAGCAGCCCCGAGCCACAGTGCCTTCTTCAACTTCCGCAGCAGAGAGGGAAAGACAGAGAGAGAGCGAGAGAGAGGGAGAGAGAAAAACACATAGACACAGCGAGAAAGTAAAACGAACATCTAGCCGTCGCTGCCAAGGCTCTCGTGCTCAACGAAGACGCTCTTGAGCTCGTCTCGCTTGGGGAAGCCCTCGCAGCTTATCGCAGCTTACGGACTCACAGCTTGAAGCTCTGGGCCAGTGGGAGCTTGTGCCCTTGAAAGAAAGCGAAACAAGGAGACGGGCTCCCTGCGTCACCCTGCCTCCAGCTGCTCGTTGGCGATGGCACGCATGAGCGTCGTCTTGCCGCACTGGTTGGGTCCAAGGAGGCCATAGAAGCGGTTGCGCTTCAGATGCATCTTGGCGTCGCGCAGCAAGGTGAGCGTGCCGTAGGCCAGGGAGAAGGCTCCCTTGTACAGGTCAACGCCCTCGGTGTCCTCCTCCTCGACCTCTTCCTTGGGCTTGGCGGCGATTTCCATCTTGGCACGCAGCGCCTCGGTGATGGAGTCGAAAGGTGCCAGGTAGCCGACGTCCTTCTTCCACAGGTCCTCATCGAAGACCCGCATGTTGGCGGCGCACGCGGCCAGGGCGGAAACATGCGTCAGCTCGTCTTCGAAGGCCTCTCCGGAGCCTGCATTGCCACCCAGCGCTGCGGACACCTGCTTCTTGGCATCCTCAAGCTTCATCTGCTGCAGAGACTCGGCACCTCGGCCACAAGTGACACTACAAGAGGATACAAGAGCCAAGCGATGGCAAGCATCAGCACGAGCTGCACCAGCCTTCTCCGGCGGCCTTCTGCAAGGTCTTGTAGGCCTTCTCGGCGACGCCTGCCAGACTTGGAATGGAGGCTTGCCAGGCTTGCATCATCTTACATCAACTTTGACGTACTTATACAGTAGCCCTCCGTCCCACGTTGCCCCACTCCATCCCACTCCTTTGCGGCAAAGGTCAGCAAAGGAATAGCCATTGCAAAGATAGAAACGACGGGCTCGGGATACGCTGGGCCCCCTTGAAAGCCGAGAAGAGGCCTCGTGCTTCTGGGTCGGAGATCTTCTGTGTGGCGCTCTTGACCAAAGGATCCAACTTCGGCATCAAAGGAAGCACCTCCGAAAACAAAACGGATCATGCGATGCAGTTTGCACCCAATCTGCACTCAATCTGCACCCAATCTGCACCCATCTGCCCGTGCTCGCGGCTACTCTCGGCCTCTGCAGGGTCCTCGACGAGCTTGCACATGTTGTCCACGATCTGGCAGCACGTGCGCTTCACCTGCAGAGCCAAAGGCAAGGCCGAGAGAGAAGATCGCCGCTGCTGGGACGGCCTCCTCGTTCTTGTCGTTCAGGCCGCGCGTCAGCACGGGCATGGTGACCTCGGAGGTACATCGCGGAGAGCGCCATAGAGAGCGCCACGGAGGGAGCGAGTGCGGAAACTTGATTGAAGGCGGCACGGCGTCAGTCTCTAGACGTCTCCGGAAATTCCTCTGGGCTCCCGGCTGCCAGAGCCGGGGCCTCCACATTCTGCACGAAGATGCCTTGGGGGCCAGGCCGGCTTCGGCTCAGTTTGTGCTGGCTGCCATCAGCATTCGTCGGCACGACTTGGTGATCCAAGGATATTCAAGGAGCATCCGGCCAGCTTCTCCACGCAGGCGTGGGTCTTGTCAATAGAAGAGGCAGCATCGACCACGGCTGGGAGGAAGGGCTCCAAGTCCTGAGGCGCACTGAGGGAGAGCATCTCAAGCACTTTCACGCATGCCTCCGTCCGCAAGCGCAAGAAGTTGGTGGCCTTGTTTCCCGTGCATCCGCAGATGGCCGTCATGCACTCCAGCGCCGCTGTCTTCACCTGCATGCCAACAAAACAGGACATGCGGGCAGCATGGCTTGGCTCTGGCCTCCTTCTTGATGTCGCAGGTCAGGTCAGCCACGGGAGCAACTAGGTTCACCAGCAGGTAGCCTCGGAGAGCGGCAGATCCCGCGCAGTCCAGTATATGTAAACTCTCCTACATACATGTATTTCTGTAGTTGTATCTGGGGCAAGATATCTCTGCCTTTCTCTGCCTTTCTCTGTGCGCTATTCTCCCGCCAATCCTAGATGCGACGAGTGGCCCACGGCGCGAGGAGCTTTGCCAGCCAGGGCGGAGATGATTTGCAGAGTGGCTTCCTTCTGGGTGGGCTTTGCCTGTACCGGGCAATGACGCCAGCTTGGTGCTGCGATGTGATGTGCTGCGTGAATCTTGAATGTTGGGGAACCATTTTGGGATTCACGCCTTCACGGCCAGCCCGTTCAGGAAGGAGGGCAGCAGGAGCTCGACGGCAAATGGGGAGACCATCTCCATGATGGCCTCAAAAGGTCACAGGGAAGCAGCCAGGGCAGCTCCCGTTGCAAGAAGAGACGAAGGCATCGGCCTTGCTGGTGGCGACAGCGGCATCCTTCACGTTCTTGGACTTGTCGTTCGAAGCCTGCAGGGCTCTGTGCAGTATGTGCATTGAAACTCCCACTCGCTGTTTGGCAGCTCAGGCAGTCGGGCACGCCGTGGCATGAATGGCGCGACTGTCGCACAGTCCTCCAGGATCTTGGGGAAAGCGGCCACCAAGAAGGGTTCGGCCGGGCGCCCCTTGTCCTGCCAAATCCGCGGCAGTACAGTATGCGGAGAAGTGTTTTGGGACACCTGTAATATCCTACGCAAGTCACGAGCCGCGCCCGGGCCTTCGCGATTGCGGCCAGACCTTCCAGGGCGGACTGTCCTGCCGCCTGGCATCAACTGTCGGACTTCACATGACTTCACAATGGGTGTGATGTCTGCAAACACAAGAACGCATGCACACAAGATCCCACCATGGAATCCCCCCCCCCCCCCCCCCGCCATCCACGCCTGCCCCCCCACGCCAAATCCCCCACACCCACCCAGGACCCGTCCAACCCCCAAACCTCCCCAACCCCTCTCCACAAAGAGGGGAATGAATGGCAGCTAAAGGGACACTCGCACGCGAACTGCAATGGCAGCCGCTCTGCTCAGCGGGGTAAGGCTTTCCGATACAATATGTGTATTGCCCCTCGCCTTCGATATCCCGGACGGTACCTTCAACAAACCATCAGTTCCATGTTGGACAGATTTTGTAAATTCATCGACGAAAAGTTAAACAACTTAGTTCGTCGACACAAGTTCCCACTGCCTAAATTGATTGAACATAAAGAGCACATGTTGTGCGTGATAGTTTGTGTTAGCTGTTAGCATGTCCATCTTTAGCCGACCATTTGCCGACGGATCAAATAACGACGGGCCAGTAAAAACCACAAAAGCCCAGCGTGGCCTAAAAGCAATGACAATCGTGGCTTCCCTGCCTCTACCAACAATTCCGACTTCAGCCAGCAATAAAATGGCAGGAAAAACACAAAGAAGTGACCCTGTTTGGACTTCTGAGCTTTTTGTTTTGCATCGGCCCTGCCAACTCTTTCGTCGGCTGCGGGTCGAAAATGTTGGCTGGGTCAGACAAAATGACGATTCTGCGGGTGCTCCAAGGCTTCCCAGTAGCTGTCCTTCATTGTCCCAATAGCTGTCCGTCGTTGTTCGCAAGCAGGCTTCCCAATAGCCGGAATTACTTTAATCGCTTGCAAGCAAGGGTTCTAGCAGCCGTCCTTGTCATAGGATGAAAGAGGGAAAGAGACATAGAGAGAGAGAGAGAGAGAGAGTGAGAGAGAAGGATACATACACATATGTATATATGTGTGTGTACATATGCATACCGAATGGTACGGTGCACCCTCCCACCACAACCCCATACACCTATCCTTTTTTACCTTGGCAACCCTGTGCCTAAACGGAGGCTTTCGGGTCGGGGGGCTGCAGCACTGTGTCACCGCGACATGGAACGGCCTTGTCGGCGATCTTGGCCACAAGGCCCTCGACCTCTGCCTTCAGCTCCGCGGCCATTGCTTCACGCGGAGGGCAAACACTCAGCTAATTCGCCAAGGGAGGCTCTGGAGGGGAAAATGGCTTGCAGCTTCCACGTGGGATCGCGAATCATGGTGATGGCACATCGTGGAACAAGCAACGGTGCCAACAGTTGCGGCAAAGCCCATGCACGAATCCGAGTCTAGTCAGTTTTTGTTCATGCGCTTTGCGCACCTTCTGTGCCTGGCCAAGGATTCCCCTTGCAGGGCAAGCCAGGAAAGCTATACAGACGTAGCTAACTAATAACTTGACAAACACACAGCGCGCTCCTTTCACAGCGTGCCATGTCCTCTTGTGTTGTCCACTGTGGGTGTCGGGCCGTGTGTGGAAGCATGTTGAAAAAGATGACATTAGAAGATTTTGCACTTGTAAGGGTGCGTCAGGCCCGCCACGATTGTCCAGATGTCACAGGAGAGCGAGAGGCTGTTTTTTTGCAGCTTAACTCCGTCTGGACATGCAGTCGTCTATGCTACGCAGCACGAAAGACGAACAAATTCAACAGCTCATGCGCAATGGTGGTGCCGCACAATCTTCTGCCCAACGTATCTCGGCGAGTCGCTCAGGATTTGACTGGAGGGTCATTCCTCCCATTATTTAAGCGAGTACGCGATGACCCGGTCAGTGGACTGATCGGCGAAGCAGGGGAATACAGTTCGGTGTTTGCATGCATCTATAGTTGTCTAGCTGCAGCCATTGATAGTGCCGTTTTGCGTGCACATGACACAGATGATGGATAGTCCGCTGCTGCCTACGATGGCAAGGGAAGCATGGCCAGGGACCTCAACGAGGTTATGCTTTACAGTGACAAAGTTCGCGGGCCCGGAGGATTAAGGCACGGAACCTCACTTGCTCGCTTTGTCAGCAAGTGGTCGGGAAGCGTCCGGCTCCTTGACCTCCTGCGCCTTGAGCAATCCTCAGGTTGCAAGCGCTCCTCTCAGGGCTTCTCCCGGAGCCCTGGCCCGTGGATCGCAGTCCACCAAAGATGAGAGACGTCACCATTAGATGATGCCGAGCGGCCCATCACCATAAAGGCAACCCTGAGCTGAGCCGGAGTCTCTCATGAACCACGATGGAAAACTTATAATCCCAGCAAGTTTAGGATGTAACATGGTTAAACCGCAAGCCCTCCCACACGCTGCCCCTAAGCTGTTCGGGAGCCGTCCTGGCGGCGAAGCTTGGCATGCCTTCTCTCACACGCTGTCCTGCTCATCTGCTGTTCTTTGCAGCAAAGATGCCCGTTCCCAGCGATTCCAGCAATCATCACCTGCAAAAGCAGAAGGATTCCAAGTGGGCGGTCGGCAAGCTGAGGATGAGGGTCAGTGGCCAGGCAAAAGCGCATCTTCGTCGATGGGTTTCATTTCACTAGGCCACTGGGCAGCACAACGCAGTAGGAACACATATTCCCAGGGTCTTCCTGTGTGTATACACCTGCTCTAATCCTGTTGGGCTCTTTGCACGGAAAGGTCACCCAAACGGGACTGTCGAACAACACTCAGATGCAGTTATTGAAGCAGAACTCAGGACATCCGGATGCAACTGCACAGCCCGAGGTGAGTTGTCACGCTTGCTGATTTCTTCGGCTTGCTTGATGAACTGTCCTCCTCTTACCTGAGCCGTCCTTGTGGAAGCTGTGTGCCTACATCGTCAACGTAAACAGGCAGCCGAAAAGCGACAGAACCACCGGGCACCTCCCCCCAAGGCCGATGAGGCAGGAGTTCCATGCCCAGGTAGATGGACAGGAACATCAGCGCGACCTCCGACACTAAAGCATCATGAGGATTAATTAGGGTTTGAGACTGGATGCTTATTACCCACGCAGCTTTCGCACGTACACTCGGTGTGACCGGTTGCGGTGCGCCTGGCCCTCTCGGTTTTCCGGGTTTGTTGTGAAATAGCGCTCTCTCCCTCTCTCTCTCTCTTCCTTCCTTCCTTCCTGCCTCCCTCTCTCTCTCTCTGTCTCTCTGTCTCTCTGTCTCTCTGTCTCTCTGTCTCTCTGTCTCTCTGTCTCTCTGTCTCTCTGTCTCTCTGTCTCTTCCTTCCTTCCTTCCTTCCACAGCACATAACCCCCGAGGGGGTCGTCCCAAGGGACGTGCTCCAGCGATCCAGTCGGTGGAAACTACTAGAATACAGGTTGGGGTTACATCACTTTCGACTGCCCCCCACTATACCTGCATTGTTACCGCCAGCAATCACATAGGAACCCAACTTGGCCTTCTAAACAGACACATCCTCTACAAGGACACAGCTACCTACACCCTTAAATACCGCGTGAGGTTTGACCGGTTCCTTACAGTATGCCAGCGTGGAAGTTGAGCGTGGACATGGAAACCCCCTCTGTTGTTCAGGGTAACTAGGGTCCACAGCTTGCCATGCTTTGGGTCTTAGTTGACATCACGCGGGCTCCCTCCACTACTCAACTCGATTCCCAGGTTCCGTTCCCCTGGTGCGTGATTTGTTATGTTACAGCTGACTTCAGGGGGGATCGCCTTCCGGATTAATCAGGGTAACTGTGGTCCACAGCTTGCCATTCTTTGGTCCCTACTATGGTGCACACTCCCCCCAGCGACTTCTCTCCTGGTGAGCCAGCGTGGTGCCTTCCTCTCCCTCTGGGTTATTGTACTTGGGCATCAGGTTAAGGGTCATGGCGAGGTGGCACTTGGGTGATTCGCCTCCCTTCTCAGGAGCGAGGATTCTGTACATGCTCCTGCGACTGGGCTTTGATGGGGTAAGGGTGGTCCACAGCTTGCACTGCTTTGGGCTTCGGGTTCACCCGTCCCCTCTTTGCCCCTATTATTATATTACGGGCGTACATTAAATAAGCTCGCGCATTTAAAGCCCGTATTATAATAATGGGGAAAAGACCCTAGACTTGGAGATGGACTCATGAAAAGACGAGTGTTACTTCGTTCGCATCTTTTAATAGTATTCGTGCGTACGCTTCACTCCCTTACAATACTATTAAATTATGCTCTCTTCGTAGTTCTATTAATGATGGGGTCCCGAGGGTGGGTTATTCACTCAGTTCATGCACTTAGTGCAGGATGGTAGTACGTGAGTCTCTCTCTCTCTCTCTCCTGCACGCATAGCCCCCCCCGAAGGGAAGGCTGCCCCAAAGGGCGCGCGAAGTCCACTGGTCAGTTTGTTTGGAAGGGCCACGGTTTTCACGGCCCCTCTCAAATCGCGAGGCATGTGGCTTCTCCCGGAAATCAACAAGTCACGTGAAATAACCCCCCATGCGAAGATTCCCCCCTTAGTTGCGGCCCTCGGGTTCCCCCACTCTGTTCAGCCTCAGCGATGTTCTCTACTTTGCTACTGGTACTTGCCAGGCCGAGGGTTGCGGCTTTCCTCATTATGGTTTGCGGAAACAGGACTCTCTGTCTCTCTGTCTCTCTGTCTCTCTGTCTCTCTGTCTCTCTGTCTCTCTGTCTCTCTGTCTCTCTGTCTCTCTGTCTCTCTGTCTCTCTGTCTCTCTGTCTCTCTGTCTTCTTCTTCTTCGGGGCTTGAGGGGAGTCGCCCCCCCCCCCCCCCGGCGCGCTGAGCGCGCCCAGTCTGCAACGAGTCCATGTGAAACTGCATAGCGGAAACTGGCTCACTGTCTCTCTGTCTCTCTCTCTCCTCTCTCTCTCTCTCTCTCTCTCTCTCTCTCTCTCTCTCTCTCTCTCTCCCTCTCTCCTGCACGCATAGCCCCCCCCGAAGGGAAGGCCGCCCCGAGGGGCTCTCTCTCTCTGTCTCTCTCTTTCTTTCTTTCTTTCGGAGGGCATGGGAGCCGAAGCCCCCGGGCGTCTGCGCCCGCCCCTGTTTCCGGAGCGGTGCTTTGGTACAGCCGTAGCCACTGGTGTGTCCCGGTTCGCCCCCCCCCTTTGACCCCCACTCTCTGACCTGACATCCCCAGCTCTAGTCGATCTGTCCCTCTCTCTCTCTCTCTGTCTCCTAGGTCCCACACTCGAAATCATGCTCCCGCCTAGGTCCTGTGTGGGCCTTTTGAGACTTGCGTCGCTCCGTGTCATGAAAACGTGGCAGGGGTGGTGCTCACACCGGAACCCCGTGCATGCAGGCTCTTCGTGAAGAGGAGTGTTATCGGCTATCGTCGCTTTTCGGGCCCCGTGCTGCTCTCTGTGTGGTCTTGGAGTGCTTTGTTCTTGTTTTGGTTGGGGCGGGGGGGGGGGGGGGGGGGGGCGTCAACCTGGAGCTTCTTGTGCCCTCGGAGTGGTTTTGGATTGTTTTTGTTTGGGGTCTATGCCGGCATAAAAGGACATGGGGCTTACCTGCATACACTTTTAACCCTAAACGGAGAGCCTACATAGTGCTACGAACTCAGGCATCCACCACCGATGCAGGAAAAACATCCCTGGGACTCCGCTGACGTCTGAACTATCTCATTTTCTTCGAGGCCCTGTTGCAAAAAGGGGTAGAAGGAATCCGGCCATATCAGGATTCCAAAAGTAAGCCAGTTTATAACAACGCCCACATGGCCTTGTTGAAGTTGCCAGCCATCGAAATGACGTGAGCCTGAAAGTTGGAGCTGAGGGTGTACAGCATGACCTGACTGCAGTGAAACTGAAGGCCCATGCAGGCTGGCAAAGGGAACTTGTTTCAAGTTATCAAGCCGTCACATCTATCCACACACCGCTAGGTCACATGGAAATGCAATCGTCCGGCGCATGCAGCCTACCGCACATTCTCATGCAAGCCCCCCTTGATGAAAGCCAGTGGCATTGTACAGCGTGGCAAAGAGCCCAGAAAGAACACCTGGCCACTGAGTTCTCTGAACGGGCTCGCAGCAAATTCGGATCCGCTGTCCACCAGGTGGAGATGAATTCGGGGGCGGGGGGGGGCCCTTGAGCTGATCCATTCATTGATGCACGGTCTCGCTCTTCAGATTCTGCTTCTTTGGATTCCTGGGAATCCGTGTCTGCTTCCTTTGCTGTCACCAGGCTCCTCATGGTTGTGCTTGGGGCTCTAGTTCCTTCCTCCTTGGGCGTGTTAACATTGCGTACCATCTCTGTAGTTTGCTCATGTTTTGGTGGCTTTCCAGGGCCGCCGTCGACTCCAAAGCTGAGGGATGGGGGGCTCAGGTGGACTCAGACTTAGTAAAGGAAGTTACCAGCAGTTTCCCTGAGCCTTAAATTTACCCTAGCCCTAAACCCGATGTTCCACCCCTGAGGGTTTCTACCATCAACTTGCCAGCAAGATGCCCAGGGCAATTCCCAGCTTGCTGGTCTGCCAGACCTTCTCGACAACCTGCCATCAGCCGGCAGAACCTCTTTACACCCATTTTACACCCTATAAGCACATATGGGGACTTCCGAAATTAGGGTACCTTATTGGGGCTCTGATTACAAGGGGATCCTACTATTTGGGGTCTATGTTAGGGGTGACTTATTTTCGTAAGCCCCATTGGAACCCTGGAACCAGAAGTAAAGAGGCAGAAAAGGCAAGGACGGAATCGCTGCCTGGGTCCGCTCTAACAACTCCCGTGGTCTTACAGACACTAAGCTTTCTGAAGATGATAACGTTTACAGTTTACAGTGCTTTACGGGACCTATGGGACAGGAAAAGTGCCATGACTGCTATGAGAGATTTCGAAGACCTCCCAATCCGTCATGTGAGGCGCTGAAGGCCAGGACACCTCGGAACACTTGTCGCTGAAACAGCCTCTCTCAGGGGTAGCAGGGGTAGTAGAATAGCGAGTGGCTGTTCTTGGGTGCTGCCACCCCGGTCCACGCTCTCTACATCTCCCTACTATAGCACGGTGCAGAGCATTCAAAGCCTGCAACAAGCATCTCCACGGCAGATGTTTGCAAGCTGGATGCTGTGTGCCGAAAGAAGAAGACCGGCACCAGCAACAGAATGGACGCTGGCAGGGACATGTTCATGATGGCCTGCCATCAGCGAATTTGCTTTTTCATGCTCATGATATGAGGTGTGAACGGACCGAACGGGGCCTGCAAAGGTTCTGTCGATTCCGCGCAAGCTATACCAGATTGCCATGGGCGTAAGCCGGACCGTTGTAAGCAGAAACATGAGACGTTTCGATAGGCAGATGTGTGCCTCCAGCGCATTCATCTTCAGATGTGTGCTGAGCGTCCTGCACTGGCGCGATGCATTGCCACAGTCTCTCAACACTCCCTGCAGCCATTGAGAAATGGCCGGCAATGCTTTGTTCAGCCACTCAACCCGCTCCTCACGACTATTAGTTCGATGCCGGACGCGATCATGGACAGGCAGCACACCTCACATCTCTTTCACCATGGGTCCGTCTATAGTGTTACACACACACCCTTGAGGGATGACATGACCACAACTGAGCTGAGACGAGCTGCTCCAATACCCACGTAGTAGGTCCAAGCCGAGGAAGTGGAAGAGAAGCTTTGGAGCTTGCTACATATCTCAGCTGTGGCAGCAATGCACTTCGCGTTTCGTGGATGTACAACCTTCAATGTGCTTCCAAGGTTCCACCATACCTGCGAAGAAGGTCCCTATGAGGGTGAGGGCCAAGTCCCGCAAGCTCACTTGGGGCCATTTCGCCTCAAACATCCCTAACCAGTGAAGCACCATGCTTGTCATGCTGTCACGAAAGACGTGATGGACAAACAAACATGCTCAAACAAGCAATTCAAGGCCCAGCAGGTAACCTGCTTGCCTTCACCGTAAAATAGCAAACGCAAACGACACGTCCGTGACTTGCGTAATGCTTGGTAACTCCTGTCTACTGACTGAGGCAGTTGAGATGTACGTCCTCGCAAAGACATTCGGCCAACCTGCGAGACTGCTCACAATCTTGGGCCATGACAGTCTCGCCGGTGAGTCTTTCCAGCACAGGCTGCGCCACAAATTCCAGAGCTAGGTTTACCAAAGCGCCTGCGGTGCGGATAATCAGGTGAACGGAAATGTCCTTAGGTATGGCAAGCATGTGTCAGCCGCACCTCGCTTTGCGCGGCCCAATCGCCCCGATGGCGTGACAAACCGGGACCCCAATCCCGCTGTCATAGATTAGGGGCTAACTTCCTCTCTTGGCATCTCTTTACAGCCAGCTGAGTTGTTCAACATTGTTCGAGCGTGTCATCTCTATGTCCAAGCTGCATGGCGTTATCTGCCTTGCTTGATTCAATAGCTGACTCTTGCCTCGCCAAGATACCAGGATAGACAGGCTCAAGTTGTTGAGACCTCACATCAGCACCACTCTGCTCACGTCTCACTGAACTTCAGGCCATCTGCAGTGAAGTTGCCGATGTTGCCAACGAAAGCTAGCGCCAGCAGAAGAACGCAGCCAACCTCAGCACAGAGTAGATGTGCAAAATGGCATCCATCCTACGGTACGAAGTCTGCTGAAACTCCCCTGCCTCACGACGACTTTCCAGCGGACGGCAGTTCACCCGGTAGCCGAAACATCGCGACAGATGCAGGCCTCGGATTGCTTGCGACTTACGCCTTTCAGAACCGAACCAAAGCAGGCCGACTAAGCAGACTCACAAGCACCAAGCGAAAAGCGCACGTTTGCAATCTTGCTGTTGCATGTTTTCTGTCCATCCGAGGCACCGGAAGCTAGGACCTCGGATTGCAAAAGCAAGGCGACCCTGCATCCAGACTGTACTCTAGAAACGGGCCACTGACCAATATCCCCACAAATACCATCGAAAACGATGACAGCATGCATCGTGCTTTTTGAGAAAGTGGTGACGCAGACAGGTACGAATCGCAACTCCAGCATGCATGTGTGAACACACCCTCGCTCCGACCTGTCTTTCACGCGCCTCGCCCGGTCGGCTATTGAGTCTAGACGGCCCTCGTCTCGCTGAGGCATCCTAGGCACCCCTCGTCCGCTATGATCGTGGAGAGCCTCTAAGATGGCACTTAGAAGCATAGTCCTGCATCACATACATGAAGAATCATGAAGACACGAAGGGTCCCAGGCATCTGGGGGCTTTAAAACGCCCTCCCCAAACGCTGCACAAGTCAGTATTTCATGGCATGTAATTTGGCGTGTGAAAGAAAGTTCATTGGAACCACTGGCCGGGTCGAACGCCAACAAACCCAGGTTCTCGGCGATTGCACAGTCCAGCTGAGTGCGAAAATTTTAGGGCGAAACCAAGACCGCACAAATGCCCTCTGCAAGCCAAGCTTGGGACGGAGAATCCTGTTGCTACGAGGTCGCTTCGGAGTATTGCGACACCAACTTTCTTCTCAGCCGCCCACGCCCCTCCAAAAAAACAAGTTACAGACGAGTGACAAGTGTCTTATGCCGACACTATATGCCAATATGCATACCAAAAAAGAAGCTTCTTGGAGCATACTTCGAGGCGCTAGGAAGCTGGTCAGCTGCTGGATGGCGGTGATGGCAAAGGGTGCTGGAATACCTGGAGCTGCTTATGGCTGATATCTTTGCTGATCGCTTCTGCTGCTCGCTTTACAGGGCAGAGGCTCTGCCCAAGCACCCTGCGAAAATAGGAACGAGCTGTAGGAACCGCGTAGGATATCTTTAGCTCCTCCCCCGGCCTTTGAGGCCGCTTGGCAGCTTGTAGTTGGAGAACACCTTTTCTCAGCTTGTTCGTGCAGTGTGGTGTGAAAAAACCTCCTGAGCTGCGAGGAATCTCACCCTCGTGCCCAACCTGTTTCATGTAGAGGTTCATGGCCGTCTGGGCACCAAAGAAGGAAACCAGCATGCCTCGGTCCAAATCTAGCAGTATCCACCACAGCTAGAGCAAGCCCCAAAGGAACACGTTATGGTGAATGGCACAACCCCCCTCCCATGTTCGGCGCTGCCTGCCGATTGAGTGCGGGGGTACTGCTGCAGCACAGCGCCTGTGCCGGGAGAAGCTCGCACTTTCCTAACTTTGCCTTGCTGCAGCTTGTGCTGGCGCGAGCCAGCATCGAAGGACAACGAGCACGAAGGGTGCTTTCCCAGCTTCGGATGGAAACCAGACTCGGTGGCATCTGTCGCACCTGGCCTAACCCGAGTGCTATTGCTGGTACGCAGAGCGTCTCGAAAATCTCCGGGGAGACGACCATGAGTTCGGCCTGAACAAGTTGAATACAAGAGAGCTGTGCTAAGTAGTAGCACGTGTCTGCAAATTTCGACTGTAACTAAGGCACCTAAAAGGAACAAGTTTAGCCAAATTCGCCAGCCTATGCCGGCACCTGAAAGCCTGAAAGCCAGAAAGCCCCGACCTGCAGTGTCGATGTCTGCAGCATTGCGGTCGCGTTCTCATGCAAAGGCGCGGGAGGCTCCGCAGATTTTAGGAGCGGCTCGTGGGGCTCTTCTTCTCTGGCCCTTGGTTGAAAGGATGCTATCAGACCCCTGCCGCCCCGGTCACCTTGTGGCCCTCAGGTGCGAATGAGAAGGATGCCGTCCACAGTGTTGCCGGCGGCAAAGCACAGGCCACACAATATAAACTAATAAATGCATTTATATATACTTATTATTTCGTTAGATCTTTCTATTTTGCCCTCTAGTAGCAGTGTGGCACTTGTAGCTTTTGCTTAAATTTCAGGAAGAAGAGCTGCGGATGCTGCCGAGCAACTCGCCCTGGCTCGCTACCCGAACCTTTCCCTGGATGAGGCACATCCTCCGTGGCACTATCGGAAAAATCTCTAATTCTCTGTCTCTCTCTCTCTCCACACGCTTAGCCCCCCCCCGAAGGGAAGGCTGTCCCAAGGGGCGTGCTCCTCCCAAGATCCAGTCTCTCTCTCTCTCTCTCCCACACGCATAGCCCCCCTCACGGGAGGCTGGATCTCTCTCTCTCTCTCTCTCTCTCTCTCGCTCTCTCTCTCTCTCTCTCTCTCTCTCTCTCTCTCTCTCTCCATCGACTTCCCCATGAGCAGGATTGGGTGTTCTTGATCTGTTTGAATCTTGCACAACCCACTGAAAATAGCATGTGCAGGAAATTTGGGCCATCGTCAAGGCCTGTCGTCAGAGGATACCAGGACCACATGCAAGCCTTAGACGTAAGAACACTCCCACGGTTTCGGGCGGCTGGGTGTAGGGCTTCCACTCGCCTCACTAGGGTTCGGGCATGGCAATAGCAGCAGTCTTCGTGCCAACATTTCCTGACGAGGTTGGACAGGTTCAGCGACTCACCCACTTGTCACCGTCAGCTGACACAAACTGCAGATGAGCGCTTTCCGTCCTTGTAGTACTTTTTGGTTCTAGTACCGGAAAAAGAAAAATAGGATTTGGATATGGAACCCTAAAAAGGGCTGCGGGGCAGTCGAACACGGACTCAAGCAGCCGCAGCGAGCGATGACAAGCAAAGTCATCTACGACCTATTGGATCATTGCAGCACATTTTTTTGCGGACCCGTGATGCTGAGCACCATCACTGCCGATGCTCACATGTCACACCTGCAGCCGAAGTTTGCACCATCATTTCCCACGCACAAATGGCACGACACGGGCTCAACACTTTCAGGGCATCAGGCCGAATGCAAACAGAAACTGGTGGAATCCCTGTAGGCGCCAGGCTGCAGCTTATGCCAACTGTCCCTTCAAGTGCTTTAACACCTGAAGGGCACCACAAAATCGAAGCACGGATGCGTGACACTGGCAATATACTATATACAGTGATTCTGATATTGTGTATATATATATATATACGTCCATACATATAATTTGATCTATTTAAACACACACATACACACATACACACACATACACACATACACACATACACACATACACACATACACACATACACACATACACACATACACACATACACACATACATACATACATACATACATACATACATACATACATACATACATACATACATACATTTATTTCATACATACATACATACATACATACATACATACATACATACATTCATACATTCATACATTCATACATTCATACATTCATACATTCATACTTTCATACATTCATACATTCATATATGTATATATGTGTATCTGTACAAATACTACGATAGATTACTACATATCATGATACATGGTGTATTCTCTTTCTGTTTCGTTATGTAACAAGTTATGTAGTACTCGCCATCATTGTTAGTACTGAACATTGTACACTGATGCAAGGAATTACCAGAGTTGAATCGGCGGCCTGGTTCTTGGCCCACTCACGATTATGTGGCAGGTACTCGCCCACCTGGCATGGATGGCGACGCAGTGAAGCTTCCGCAAACTTGCACCAACTGAATTGGGTGCACCTGAGAGTCATAGATCATTATGGCAATATCACGCAAGCGGTCGATGAAGGACCAAAGGTCCTGCGGCTGACTTCTCGGTTTGCTTCAATGCTCATGGCCAAGGTGGGGGTTTAAAGGGTTTCTTGCCAAGGTTCGGGGGTTTATTCGGTGGGCTGCCGTTTTGGATCATGCAGTGCTCACCACATGACGGAAGCTTGGGTCGCCTACCACATAGCTTTGTGTGATTTGTGGCCATCCTCAACGGTGTACTTGACCTGCTGCTTGCTGCCCATGTCCATCTTCATCATCTGATTGCCAAGGTCAGTTAGGGCTGAATCACTGAAAGGAGGCAACAATGAACAGCCTGCAACACTGCCAGCATGTCATGTTGATCTATCTCATCCCAGACAGGAGCCTGCTCATACATCTGGCATACGTCATCCATTGCACTGCTCCTTCAGCCACAAGGCTTCAACACGCGGCTGCTATTGGCATTGACTTGGTTGCAGCTTTCCACAAGCTGTAGTTGTAGAAGACCACGAGGACAGGCCGCAGCCACGGGATGGTAAGACATGGTGCGTGCTCTGGCATGTGCTGTGGTAGCTATGTAGCTTGTGGAGACCGTGGTGCAGATGGGCGCCGGGCACGTTCGGATGCTCTGAGTACCTGCAGTAAACATGGCCGTCTAGAAAGCACAGCATGTTTTGGGGATGTCGTCCAAGCTACCAAATCTTCTGCTTTTGCTTTGGCACCTATTCGCGGCCGACATCCGACATCTTCCAATGTCTAGACGGGGGCACGTTTTGCCATTGATGTTGTCTGTGAACTGGACCAGAAGCTGGCATCATGACAGGTCATTACGAAGCTTGGCGGCACATCGAAGTTCATCGAAGACTAGTGATGCTGAATCCGTTGAGTGCTGCTACGCTCAACACGTTCGTCGCGCATAGCGTGCCGGAAAGCTAACAGTACCCTAACAGGTCAGCATGACGATGGCGTGGCCGTCAGGGATGCGACTGGCATGTCACCAGTCTTGTTATCCCAAGTTCTGCACCGTCGAATCACATGACATGACCAACAAAACGTTTGCTCTGATCTGCCTTGTCGCAGTCGAGGGCCGACCCCCGGCTGCCCTGCAGTCCCAGAGGGTCCGTGAGTTGGGAGTAATATGAGATGCTGCTACACTTACTGATACTGTACTGGCTGAGTCGCAGGACATTGGTCTTGCGGTCATCGTTTTCTGCGTGTCTCCCATGGTTCTACAGGTCACACTCTACTTCGAACGGAAGAGGAAAGCATCAGGCCGGCAATCTTTCACAAAGGCTTGAAGTGAGTTGTCGCTTTGTAGAATGTTGAGCTTGTGCTGCTGATGAATGTGGGGCTTCCATTCCTGCCTTCGTTTGGGTTCGTGGGAAGCCTGCAAACACTCCTCAAAATTCAGAAACACCAAAGGCTGTCGCAAGCTGCCACATGCTGTCACAGTCCGAAGCCAGACGTCTGGGCATCCTGCCTGCCGGATCCTTGCGTCAGTCACACAGTGCACAGTTCGCTGCTCTTGCCATGCTGAATCCAGCAGCTCAGACGCCCCCCCCAACGCCAACACACAGTCATCGCAACCCACTGATGATCTGAGATCACGTGGCTGAGAGGTGCTGTGTGCAGTCGCCAGCAACTTTGGAACAAATGGTCAATGAGTCCGCATGCCACATCGAAGACTGCTTCGGCATGCATCAACCTGTCTGTCTGCCCTTCTGCGCCTCCTTTGCGCCATGTGTCCCTGCAGCGTCTCACATCGCAAGGTCTCTGATGGTCTCTGTATCTGGAGCTGACATCTGCAAAGACTTCCTAACCTTTCAGCCCGGGATAATACGGGCCCCTTGTATTCGGGGTTCCCAAAGAAGGACCGTCTTGTAGAGAACTGCCCAACGAAAAATGCTGAGAGCTGAACTTGTCAATGCTCGGCCGCACCTTCCCGCCCGAGAAGCCACCTGCCAAAGACAGCCCCGCCTCAACCTGGCCCTCCGCCCTCAAAAAATGCTAGGGCTCATTGCGTAGGCTTCAACGAAAGCCCCACCAAACACCTGTGGAGCCCCAAAATCTCGAGATGTCGGATCCTTGCAGCATCTACGGAACCATGCCTTGGCTCTTTCCTTTGCCCTTTCCACGACCACCGCCCATGGCAATGTGTAGGCTTCGCTATCTCGGTGGGACTCATGATGACTACTGTGATGATGTGATCACAACTGCTGCCTATGTTGGGGTCCTCTTGGTCTTCAGACGATGTCAGACTCTTGCTCATCAAGCATTCAGACTAACGCTACAGGCACAATGCCTTCGGGCAAAACCCGAACACAGACAGGCTGGCATTTTGGGGGTTTTGTTCCAGGGTTTGGGGAGTTTGAAAACAGAGGTTTCTAGGGCGGCATGCGGTCCTTTTTGGGGGGTTGAGGGTGGTTCAGGGTTTAAGTATGTTTAAGCTTAGGTTTTTAAGCGTTCATCCTGAGCTTTGCAGAACCTTTGCAAGTTGGAAAATTGAACAGCGGTGTGCCTCGGGATCAAGGTTATCCTTCTTTTGCTTTATTGGGGTATACAAGGGAACCTTGCCCTTGAAAGAGGGAAAGAGGGGTCCACTAGGGTCCTAGGTTTGGGTGCAGCCGCTGGTTCTTTGGGCGTGTATGCTCTATCCCAATACTATAAGAGCGGCAACCCGAACCTGCCTGCATCCCAGGTGTGCCCACACTTTTCTGATGAGCACCGTCACCCTGAGCCGTTCTTGTTCAGGGCAACAGGCCTGAATGAGCTGGCGGAAACCGGTGCTGCAAAGAACCCGCCTTTCCCATCTTGAGCCGTACAGTCCTACAGTCGCTCTGACCACGACACCACTTCGAAGGCGCTGCTCTGCTTAGCATCGCTTAGCCGGGAAGCAGGGCTTGAAAATGCACCCTGCCACTCAGGCCCAACTTCTGTGGCCATGGCATCTCAGAAGACTGGCAGCGTTCCCAGGGCGGAGAGCTGCTTATGACGTCAATGATCACAAGCCATAAACTTGATTAAACTCTTAGGCTAGCCTCACGTGAGATGCTGCATTGCTTGATGATATGAACATGAGGCTGGGTGGGAGTCACGTTGCTGGGACCTCACTCAGCGTCGAAGTACTTCTCCTGACACAAGGCAGACTGGAAAAGTATGGACTCAAGAGAGAGGACTGCAGGCTCAGCATGACTCAACGCATCATCAAACCGGATGAAGCCGTGGCGACAGGCTACCACAGCCTACAGTGGACTCCTCCGCATCTCTCCCAAGCTCCACTACGTCATCCAAGTCCGAATCCTGACGACGGAGCACCATGAAGCAAAAAGGAGCACAGCGATCTCAGTAAGTCCAAGTCATGAGGGCCAATCGGAGCTTGCAGCGAGCAGCTCTCGCGGCGAAGGTGAATCGAAAGGACAGAAACAGGCTACATGAGCTCACAAGAAGTCCTCATCCAGCACGGCATAATTGAAGTTCCTGCACACCAGACACGGTCGCGACATTTCGCAAACAACAGTAGCTCCCGTGGGCGCTTCTGACCCCAGAGAACCATTGCACCGAAGCCCAGCGACAGGATGTGCAACGTATGCATGGTAAAACCCTGGCCTCTCCATGCCGTCCACAAACCGATCTCGCATGGCTTTCAGGAATCTGGCCCGCCTGGAAAGGGGAACATGAGTCTTTGGCAAGCTGCGCCTTTCAGTGTCCAGGATCGGCGAGAGTCGCAATGCCCGTGCCATGCCGAAATTTGCAGGTAGAGTAACACTGCCCTCCGGAGTGTTCCGGTGGAACCACATTCGCCCCGAAGCACGCCTGACTGCGGCATCATCTGATCCGGCACCTCCCTCGTCGCCACTCACGTCATAATAATCCTTGCGTGCCGGCACAACTCTCTGTGGTGGCAGTGCAGACGTAGGCTGGAAGACTCTTGCATAGACTCTTTCGTTGGCAGCTAGACTCTGGCACTCTAGCAAGCCTAGCAAGCCGGAATTCTGCCGATTGAACCGCGTGTCAGGAGACCTTTTTCGCAAAAGATTTCAGAATCACCCTGGCGTGCTTGCATGGAGTCTGTAGTCACTGCAGTCACAAATGAAGCCGAATAACAAACTTCCCACAAACGCCCCCTGGACCCTATGAATGAGCCAGGCTTCGACAACACAATGACTCTGCAGGCCCCCTTTGAGCCCCGAAACAAACCCGCATGGACCTCATTGGAGAACTCCATCTCGCCCGGCAGAGCCTTGCAAGAGTAACAAGGGCTTTGGAAGGAGGGTGTCAATGAGAGAAGAGGCTGCACAAACGATGGCTCTTAGCGTGGACACAGAATCTGCGCCTCCTCAGCCGTTCGCTGCCTGGATTCGGGAGGAACATCCGACATCTGCTCACGCCAGCCACATAGCGCTTCAAAGGCTCCAAATGCACAAATGCCGCTATGCTCGAGGACAGTCCCAATGGCGAAGAGAGTCACTCGAGCTACAAGAGCAGGCCTCTTTGCTGCTGGAGAGCAGGCGGCTCCTAGCCGAGTGCAATGTCAAGGCTGCATGGGAAGGACTGGGTGGCCCACCGGCTGCTTCAGCACCCTCGCCGCGAAGCTGCTCGGCCTGCTGCAAGCCCGTCAGAAAGGAGGATTCAGGATGCACCCGCAGCTTCTACGAATCCAGCCACACTCAACACGCGCAGCACGTGGCACCTCACATTGGCGCTCAAGCTGCTGCAGGAGGTAGTTGCTCAGGCTGCCCTGCCTCAGGGCACTGCACCGGCACCGCTATGCACTTCAAGGCCCAACAAACTAAGGCACGATCGAGTCAATCGAGGTTTGTGCTGTGGGCTTTGTTTTGAACTTCCACGGAGAACCTGGCCCCCTTGGTGCCGTACATGGGGTCTGACAGCTTGACCTTAGTCAAAGGGGATCTCAGGCCAGCCGAACGATCCGAAAATTCTTCTCCCTGGCTAAACATGTTCTGTCCGTAGGACATCCAAAACTGGCTTCATCGCAGCCTCGAACCAGGGCGCAGGCTGTGCTGTCTTGGTACTGTCCAACAAGGTGGTGGAAGAGCCTCGGAATCAACATTGTGAAGGAAGTCTAGTGAGGACAGGAAGTTGGCCAACAAAGGCATCGCCACCAAGTTTTTGTTGCACCTCTTGACCAAGCGCAACACTACTCACAGCCACTTGCGGTTTCGATCGATGCGCTGCTTCACCTGACTGTCCCGCTTTGCCAGACCTGAACTCCCTGAAAATGAGACGCGATACCCTCAACCGAGTCCTCCGCTGTGGGTCTCGCTGCTTCATCTCGTCCTCACTGAAGAAGCCCGTGGCACGAGCCTAGCAGACAGCTCGAGGGCCTAAAGACGCGACGATCTGTATTCGGGGTGTTGGTTCAGATGGTGCTGAAGCTTACATGGGACATCGAGCCGAGTCGATTCCCCATAGAAGATGATGCTAGCTAGAGCCTAGGAAGCCTTTGGGCCCACCTCTCCAGCCCGGGCTGAGCACGTCGTGTTTTTGGAATTTGTTGGGTTTGAGGGTTCAATGTTCGCAGAGGGCGGCTGCCGACCCGGCGCAGCTAAGTCTCACACCATCTCCCGCTTGGCCCAGACCTGCCAGATCCAGGGCACAGCCAACAATCCCCCGCTCAGGGTTTAGGGAACATCTAGGCTCTACGCTTCGCAGCTCACACGTCTTGATGCGAGTTGTGGTCTCTCTCCCAGGGCCCGCCAGGCCATTCAATTTAACATTCATCCTGGACCCTGAATCATCAGAATTCTGCCTCCAAAGCTTCTGCAAGACAATACAAGACGATCCCAGCGCTCCAGCTCGGGGTCGGGCCCACCGGCGTCGCCTCCTTCGCTTTGCCATCTCCTGGTCTGTGAGCCTTAGAGATGCAAGGCAAATGTGTTCTTTTTTCTGAGGAACTTGGGGCCTTGGGGCCTTGGGGCCTTGGGGCCTTGGGGTGACGGGCGCAGGCCAGTTCTGGAGTTAGGGTTAGACTCGGGCCTTGCGCGTGTGGGGCGTCCACTCGGGCTTTGGTTCGGACTTCGCTGTGGCAGAAGGGTGTCGGGCGTCCAGGGCAGCCTGTGACTGTGACAAGCATGTCCACGTCACACAGAGTTTGTGGGCATTTGCGGCCCCTGCAGCTGCTGCACAAGCAGATCCGTAGCTGGGATCCAAGTGCGTCTTCGTTCGTGGCCCGTGGCAGCAGTCTGAGGGGGCTGAAGCTGCGCATGGGCTTGGCAGCGCCACTGGGTCAATGAATGCCGAGTTGGCAACTTCAACAAGTTCTATATATTTCTATGAAGATGGTCAACCGTGTCCACAAGGCGGTCAAGGCCCCAATCATTTCCAATGCCTCGGGCCCGCTCGATTAAAGCTTCAGCTGGCTACTTCCATGCACGGACCACTCACTCAAGTATCCAGAGTGTTACTCACCACAAAGTTTCAAGCCACACGCCTGCGCCTGCTATGGCTATGTCATTCTGACATATTCTGACACATGCCGCTACACACCTGGTAATCAAGGTGCTCAGGCTCGGGGCTGCAGGCATGCCTGAACTGAGCCTGAACTGAGCCTGAACCGAGCCAGCTTGTGCTCTTGGCAGCTGCCGTGCCGACGTGGAGCTCAGCGGCGGGCAGCGACGGGCTGCGACTTAGCCGCAGCACACCGCAGAACCTATCACTGACAAGAGCCCTCCAGACTGCCACACAGTGCCACGCGCAGTGCCCACTGACGCGACTGACGCACACGAAGTGCCATGGAGACCTCACGGCAATGCCCTCAGGCTCCTCACAGGCCGCGCGCGCGGCTCCTTTTCAGGGATTCAATGGCACAGTCCAGGTACCGTCCCAAGGTTCGTGTTGATTGCTACTCTGCCGACATTGTGCACATGGAGGTGTGCCATGCAACATTTTGCTTCTGGAACTGAAACTAGCCCTGAGTAGGCACGGATCCGTTCGCCGTGTGAGTATTGCCCCTTGGATAGTCATTGGATGTCATTGGCACCAGGTCACGCCCTTGAAGTGGAGCTGTAGTGGAGCTGTGCTGCGGAGTTCAAAAATCTGCAGTCGAGGAATCTGCAACAGCAGGGGGAACACACCGCCCTCCTGCCTTTTCAGTCGGCGTGGGCACTTCTGACGCCCACACCTCAACAAGATTTAACAAGCGCATCATGGATCCGTGATGCATCTGTCCCGCGGTTCGCACACCAGAATCTCGACATGATCTTTCCTCCCTTAACTCGCAGTAACTTTCATGATCTTTCATGACAGTTGCAAGACTGATGCAGATGTTTCATCGCACAATCAACACGCGTACCATCACACCTTGCAAGGAAGGCCACTGTGCCCTTGTGGACAAAAGCACTGAGCCTACATCTGCCAGAAGAGATGTACCCACACTCAGGGAACTTCCGGACACATGATGCAGAGGCAGACCTATGGCCTCACAACCTCACAACAATCTCGCGCACGCGAAAGTCACAAAGGTCTGGGCAACTCTGGGCAACTCACACTACAGCGGCGTCAAGCTGCCTACCTCCGGCTTGCACAGAAACGAAGCATTGCAAACACCCCAGTGCAGCTTGGCACAGATGGATCAGAAAGCCTGAAAAACGCAGACAATCACCAGCGTAGCTACAGCAAAGGCCCATGAAGGCCTCCTCAAGGCGTCTCACAGGAAAATGTCTCAAAGCTGAGGGGATCGCAGGACGCAGGCCTTGCCTCATTCCCTCTACCTTTCCAGCCATGGTTTCAAGCCAGCATTAAGCTGTCACAAGCCTACGATGTGCTCGAAACTCTGCTCTCCGCATGTCTGAATCCATACAAAGCCACCATCGTGGGTGTGTGGGTGTGTGTGGGTGTGTGTGTGTGTGTGTGTGTGTGGGTGTGTGTGTGTGTGTGTGTGTGTGTGTGTGTGTTTTGTGTTTCTCCTTGCTCTACGAAGGCTAAGGAGCTCCGACGGAATCTGAATGCCATCACAGTTGATGCGCTTTAGGCTTTTGTCCTGTTCCCAAAGCACGGCGGCACCTGTGAACGCAGAACGACAGCGGCTGGACGTTTCTGGACACCGCACTACGTGCTAGAGGGCTCATGCATGTTCTACAGCCACGCCGGCAACGCAAGCTCAGGACTACAGTGAACTCATGCTCTTGTCATGTTGTTCAGGACAGAAACACAAGGGATCTAGAGCATGGGTTTAGTCTGGGGTGTAGGTTGTGGCTTTCAGAAGCTTTCTTTAAATGGGTCTATGCGTTGGGATACGAACTGAGTTTTAATATGTTTTACTAGTGATGACTCTTGCTGAGGCCCAAAAGTCTGAAACCCAAACCCGAAACTGCCGGGGTCGCCACGGCTCCTGTAGCAGACGTTCCAACCAGAAGCGCGCCTCTGTTTGCGACACAATCCTATCCTTTCTGCCAACTGATGCTGGTAGCCATGGAAAGCTCGTGTCTATTAGGACTGCAAGGTTCCGAGGTGTCCTGTTGGCCTGGATGTGGAGGGTGGTATCACTTGACAGCTCTGTAGTCACATTCCTGTGCGATTATCTGACAGGCAATGGTTCTCAGTTGCTTTCTGCGCGCTCTGTTCCACTCGGGTGATGCACGGCTGCCAGCCTCTTTGCTGGAGTTCCGCACGCTTCTTAAAACAGCCATCTCGGCATGTCAAGATTCTCGAGCATGCTGCATCGAAACTGCAAAGAGCACGCTTTCCACGGCACATGGAAGCATGGAAGCTCGAAGCACACTTTGCAGTATGGCAAAGCAAAACGAACCTCTTCAAGCTACCCTGGCTTCCTGAACATGGCTACTGACGAACTCTCCACGAGTCCTTGGAGCTTGCTATTTGCATGCTGCTTTTGAGGAACTGCTTACGTGCAAGGTGGAATCTTCGAGCTGTGAGAAGTACCAAACCCCCTTTCCGCACACGTCACTGTATCGGTGGGAGGGTCGCTCGACATGTCGGGCACCTCTGCAAGGAAGACTTGGCGCCGGCAGAACTCACTTTCACCACAGCTTAACGAAAACTGTCGGGAATGTTTTGGGAAGCTTTTTGAGGCTTCCAGCTTGAAGGTGAGCAGTCGAAAGTGCTGGATTGAAGCCAGGTTTGTAGTACGGCCGTCAGGCTGTGCAATCTTGGATTCAGAGCTTAATTGGTCCTGGCGGACATGGATATCTTTTGCATCCTCTGTGCTAAGCTCAGCTTTGATCGACATACCAGAAAGATGCACACGTAAAAGCAACCACAAGCCTGAAGAAAACAGATCCCCTGCCCACTGGAGTCTGAGGAAGCTGCTCCATCTTTACATCCATCCACTGTTCGAGGCATGCCTGGGAACCGAACTCTAGCAATGTCTAGCAACTCTACCGTGGCTCATCGGACAGCCAACAATAACAACGATTTGGTTGGTCCTGGACAGCCAGGTGGCACAAATCTTTACTGCGTTTACACCCGTCCAACACATCGCAAAGCCTTGCCAGCATCTGTGCCCACGACTCGGTGGAAGGTGTGGTTGCACGGCGTCACAACATGGTGCTGGCCAGCCTCTGCGCCCAGAAGTGTCCATAAGATCAAGCAGTGCAGCCCTTTAGAGTTCGCACGTGGGTGAACCGCATAACCGTCATAACCCTCCCAGGACTCAAGTGACTCAAGTTTGTGTCCGTCCTCCGGGTTGAGATCTGCCATGCAGATGACACCTGGGAGCACGGCTGCCTTCCAGAATCCACTTGATCTTTCTGGACGTCTGCTGAGGGTCCCGGCACTCGGATCCCGGATCAATTGCCTGTCAGGTTGTTGGGCAGCTTGGCGCGTGTGGAAAGAAGTCATGCTAGATGCCCCTTAAAAGCACCTTAAGCCCTAAGCCCAAACAGACAAGCAGTAGGAGAGCAGATGCATCACCACGACCATAGCTTCGCTTAAGCTGACAGTATGCGCATGCACTATCTTGCCAGTGCCAAAAAGAAGTCCGCAACTTCGAAAATGGTCACAGCTGCAACAAATATTCTACATCAGGGTGTGGCCATACATTCGAGCTGCAAGCACTACTCTGGCATTAGGCATCCAAAAACGGTTTTTTTCGGCCACCAACTTCCATCATGGTACAACTTTAGCACCCTCTGGGTCCTAAGGTCAAACAACGTTCCCAGGCTCTGAACTCGTGGCGGGGCGCAGCAAATCGGTTGTAGTTGTACGCCCACGGCATGCAAACCTCGGGAGTTCAATTTCTGAAGCAATTCTCTTGCCGAGCTCGCGATGTGGAAGCTCAACCTAAACTCTGGCTCGCTTGGGGCCTCCCGTATTTATCATGCTCTGCAATAGGAGATGCCAATAGGGGAGCCAAGCCGGCTTTGCATAGGAGTCTTGGCAGTCTTGGAGTCTCAGAGGCTCTAAGAACTCTCAGCTGACTCTTCCCTGCCGCAAAAGAATGCCGACCCCGCCCGCAAGACGGACACGAGCACTCCTAAAGGTCTTCGAGATGATTGTTACGGCTTGTAAGTAGAGTTCATTGCAGGGTTCAGGGCTCAGGGTTCGGGAGGCAACGCGACAAGAAAGTGCCTGCTGGAGCTTCGGGCGGACTCCTCCCCAAACCCTCAAACCCGGGCTTTTGACCCTGGCACGGTCCACGCTATCGCACAGACTGGTCGATACCAAGCTTTGAAAAGCCCGGGGTCGCCACAGAGAGAACTGAGGACCATCGTGTACACTCCAAGCTGGGGTTCTATGGGGGATTCAGCAGTACCTATATATATATATACATAATAATAATAACGTGAAATATACCTATTTACGTTTGCCCTTGCGTTTATGAGGGGCATTTGGTTATGGCTCATGTGAGCTGGCTTGCATGCCCATTGCGAGCTTGGCGGAGCACTGACGGAAGTTGGAGCCATGGCTACTTGAAATCTTTGGGATTGCATCAATTTCCGCGTGCTCGCTCACCGCTCTGCTGCAAAGGACATAAAACACTTCTTTCTCTGAATCTCTAAGGTCATCTTGCCTGCTTGTAAAATTCCACAGGCTCATCTACAGACACAGGCTACGGTCATTCCTGGTCATGAGCCATGGAACCCTACATGTGCTCATGCCAGGTGCGCTCCACGTTTCAATCTGATGTGACATGTTAAAACGCTCACCCCACCAAAGCGCTGACCATCACCAAGGCATTCTCCTTAGAGCTCACTGGGCGGCGGCACATAGCGCCTGGCGTGGCCGGCCACATACTCGTCCTCGTAGGGCTTCGGCTCAGGGATTTGCAGGATTCTATGTGCCACAATGTAGCAACGACATAGTGCCACAGGGGAAAGGCTTATCAAGAATGCCTGCTTATTTTGCAGTAATTCGTGAGCCTCGGGAGAGGTTTCCTTTTATCTGGTTTCAGTTTTGACCCGGCAATTAGAGGACACTGGGTCCGTCGGCGACTTTTGCTGAGGTGCCGTCTTGTGGTCAAGTATATAGGCAGTTAAGCACACAATGTCGCTGCTCAGGCAGCCCAGCATGTAAATCAGGCAATGCGGTAGGATTCTGAAGGCTTTGGTTTTCGCTGAGATGTGCAGCTTCAACGCCAGCCAGCCCAATCCCAGGCCTAGCCCACGTAAACAAAAGGACGAGAACAACGACGACAGCAAGAAGGATGTTCAAAAACAAAAACTGCTGCCAAGAAACTTATGTACAGACACCAACTAACTTGAAATTGCAGTAATAACGTAGATCCATTCAATACGTACTAATCAGCCAAACCTTTTCCAAAGGATGCAAGAATCATGACGAGGCATATCCACGTATCAAATAACCGCAATGCCTGAGGCAATGGCAACAGCAACAAAAGAAGCATCAGCAAATTTCTGACAACAGGGGGCGACAACAAGAAGACAACAAGCTGACAGCTAAACGCCGATGATTAGCAGCAACAACAACGACAACAACAAGAAGCCATTACACACATGACGGTTGTTGCCAACGACCTTCTGGATGGCTAGACTCGGCTAGAGTCCAGAGGACCTGCTAGCAGGCCAGCAATCTCCTGCTTCACTGAACCGTTTACAGCATATACTGTCCAACTCCAGCAAACTCAGCAACTTGTCTCGTCTGAGCATTCCTGCATGCAGAATGGTATCATGCCACAGCAAGAAGCCCATCACACTAAACGACAGCGCAACGCATACCAGCGAGAGGCTTCACCCCCCCCCCCCCCCCAAGCCCAAGTCAGCACAGAAAAAAGAAGAACAAATCCTGCAACGGAGGGGTGCCCCGTTTGCAGCCAGAAAAGCCCTAAACTTTCCTAAACCCCCGGAACCCCGAAAGCCTGACCCTAAATTGTCCGAAACCCCCAATTTGAGCCGAGCATCATGGCTTGGGCTGTGGTAGCCGTGGTTCATCTTCAGGCTACACCTAGGTTTCGGCTCGAGGGCTTGGAGGCATTCTGCTTGGCTTTAAAGCCAAAAAGAGCTGGCAGCTGAGGCATAATTTTGTTGATAAAGCCCCCCAAAAAGGCCCTAAACCCTCAAAAGAAGCCCCAAACCCACCAATTTGTAAGAGCAGTGCGTCCCGACGCCTTCTCCATGATGGCGGGCCGTCTCTGGAAGCAGCATGGGGTACGCTGCTAGGACTAGGAATGCTTCGGGCTTCATAATCTCGCAAGTGCTTGTGGATAAATAAATTCTGAACCTTAGGGCCTTAGTGACCCCTAGTGCCTCAGAGAAGCAATGATTCGAGGTATTCAGGCAGCGTGATTCTGCCAACCCTTGCACGGCAGATAAGAAAAAAACACAAACAAGCAGAGGTTTCGCGGGAAGCCGTCTGGATTCTAGATTCTAGATACTCCAAGAAGAAACGCTACAAGTCCAAGTCTATTTCCTCGCTGGTGCCTTATAAACAGCCAACACTACCGTATTTGCATCTCCGTGACTTGAGCTTGCGCACGTGGAAGTGCCAATGGAAGCCTGAGCTTCAGCGGCAAACTGACCGCCACAGGAAGTGTGGACTCTGACGTGCCGTTGGCAGCCTGCTGCGTGATCGTCAGGCGCTCGAATGGACAAGTAATGGAAAGCACAGCACTGCAGCGAGGCGCTTTGAGGCTTGGAGCTCACAGATGCGAGGGGAGGAGTCGCCCCAGGGACAACGAAAGGGAAGACCGATTGCATTTGTCAGGGAGGCAAGGCCTTCGAAATAAAATGATCGAACTCCACGGCGAATGGGTGGCTGCACTAACTACTGCTGGGGTGAAGCTCGCTGATTAAGGCTGCAGCAGTTTTGGTCTGCTTCACAAGCTTCCGCGCACTTGACAGCAGTGTTGGCACTCCGCACGTCATCGTTGTAGTCCTCAGATCAACGCAACAGAAGCATTGACTGCAACCCCGCTTTGCATGCTTCGCAGCAGTAAAGCCACTGGCATACAGCCGACCCTCGACTGAGGACTCTTCGCCATAGAGCCTCAGATGCAACAAAGGTCAGTGCGCAGAGCAGCAGATGACTCCAGGATAGCCCGAAAGCAGCCATCAGCCAAACCAGAGCCAACCGCCTACCGTGTTGCAATCTGATACTAGAGAGATGCGGGCTGGCAGGCTGAGGGCTGAGAGAGGTGCCCCTCAGCCCGCAGATTTGGGATTGGCCCAGTGCGTAAACTGGCTAGCACACAACAGATACAGACCTCCCGTTGCCCCGCAAGCGAGATGAAGCACTTCATCCACTTCGCACATCCCCTCTTCGATTGAGTGCAAGCGGCCAGGCCCCATGCATGGTATGGTGACCGGACTCCTGATGAACTGTTCCGTGAGCTACCCATGTATTGCAATCCCAAGAGCACACGGTGCACCGACCCGGTCAGGCTTGGGGTTGAAAGGGCTGCTGTATGTGTTTGGGTATACGTTTGCACTGTGTTTCTCATGCAAAACTCCATTTGGTGTGCTATATCTAGGCCCTAGCTCGTCCTGCACGCTGCTCAGATGCCGTTGTCGGATGCTGTGAGTCTCTCGGCGCGGGTCGCCTGGGCTTTGAGTACGTTTGAACAACCCGAAGGACCCCTCAGGACTTCAAATTTGGCAACACCGGAAGAGGCTGAGAAAGCCGCTGTCGTCTATCATAGTCTGCGACGAAGACGGGACCGGTCGCGCAGGAGCTGTCGTGGTCGTGGTTGTTGTGGTTGTGGTTGTTGTGGTAGTTGTGGTGGTTGTGGAGGTTGTGGTGGTTGTGGTGGTGGTTGTGCTGCTGCTGCTACTGCTAGTTGTGGTTGTGGCGTCTGTCGCGGGCGCCTCCACAGACGCCTGCGACGTTGCGGGTGCTCGCGGTGGTGGCGGCGGTGCAGGTGCTGCACGAGGTGGCGGAGGTGGCGGCGGTGGCGGCGGTGCAGGCGCCTGAGCTGCCTCAGTTTGCTCTCACAGCATTGTGACATCGCAGCAGCCAAACATGCTTTCCTACGAAGTGTAGGTCTTAGATGGCCAGAGCATGCCACAGACGTCCGAGGCTAGCCAAGTCCCAACATCTGCCAGAGTTGCCCTGCGAAAGGCAGGTGCTTCACCAAGTGCGACTGGCAGCAGTGCCAGGACCCAGAACCAAGCCATGGCTTTATGTGGTTTTGCTTTCGTGGTCCTCGCGTACCACTCTGTGCGACTTGAACTGCTGTTGCTTGCCGTGACGGTCGTTGCGCCACAACCTTTAACAGTTTTTTCTAAAAAGTCCAGGATTTGTGGGTCATGGTTTGTCAGATGTGCTTTCTTAGATGAGTAGGGCAGAGCTTTTGAGTCGTACTCTGTGTGACGTGCATAAAGAGGAAACATGCTGATCCTTCTTGCAAGCCTCTGCCAGACGCTGCCACAAGCACAAGCTACAGCCCATGCACTCGCACGATGAATGCTAGCAAGGGCATACTGCATTCTCAGTTCCGCGAGATTGGAGACACATGTTCCTTTGGAGATTGTGTGAAACCTTCACCACAGAAACCAGGCGCCCGCAAAAAGCCGTGCTCCAAAAGCCAGCATGGACTATTTTCAACATTCGGAGAGCAAGCGTTTTGCTTATTGTGCTTTTCATAGATATCCGGGATCCCCGCCCATGGGATGAACCATCGGGCTCCAAGCCGGCGCTGGAGAAACAAGACCCCGACCTCAGCTGAAAGCAATTGGCGCCATGGCGCCAAGACTTCCTCCTCGATGGCTAAAGGTAGCTGGGTTTAGCCAGCTGGAGTTTCCTTGTGCCCCCGCAGGTCCAAGCCCCTACTAGTACTGAGGATTCAAGCATGGTGCCTAGATTAGGTGCTTTTTTGGCTGCGGGGCGTGAGGAGAGGCGTCCTTGTAAGTGTCGCGCTTGGATGGCTTGCAGCCCGACCAGGAGGAGGCACCACCGAAGGCTTGGAGCCTCGAGGGCTCCGGGCTTATCAGCTTTGGGTTTTTGGGGAAGTGTAGGGTTTAGAGGGCTTATACAGAGAGAAAGAGAGAGAGGGATAAAGAGAGAAGGCAGAATGCAGACCAGGAGCTCACCGAGCCCCTGCCCAGCCCCAAGCCCTAGCACGCTGAACAACTCTCAGAGGCCCCCCGCCAAAAAAAACAGACAACCTTGGGGTCCTTTTGGGGGTGTTGTGGACGTGCGGGCCTGTATCGGAAGTAGGTACCCCAACAAAGTTCCCAAATCTTAAAATCGGACCCTAATTTGGGGAACCGACTGTCCAAAAAGCGCCCTGGGCATCCGCACCCCTGGAAGCCGCGGATAAATCTCCCCGCTGAAGATCGACTTCGGGCCTGCAATGGGAGTGCCAAAGGAAGGAGCTGAGGGTTTTGAGGGGGTCTAGGGGGTTTATGGCTTTTTGGCCAATTTAAAGGGTGTCCGGCACAGAGTTCAGGCTTTGAGGGTTTAGGGTTGATCGTGGTTGACCCTTTACCTCCCGGCCATCCTCGGCTGCGCAGGGATGAAAATGCTCTTAAGGGCGCCAAAACCCTTACAGTCTTCAGGGTAGCTGCTCCGAGGTTGGGGATGAGGGGTTTAAGGGCTTAGAACTGCTTGGTGGGCCTGAGGCTTAGGATTCTTTGTTGGGTCAGTCAGCGGAAGACTGCGAGCAACAGCTGCGATGCCTTGCAAGACGTTGCGCTTCTCATGCCAAGGCCGGCGCAGCCCCATAAGTAGAGAGGAAGCAGCAACCTCAATCCGGAGCTGATGAGATTCTACAAGCGCGCGGGGCTTGAGAACAGGGACGTATGTGCATTCATCATGCAGAAGCACCGCAATATGGCACAGTCCTCGCAAGTTTGCCCGAAATGTTGTGCTGGCAAGCTCCACATCAAGCAGAATTGGAATATGAAGCTTTGTCAAGCCAGCCTGGATGTTGAAATACCCGAGATGAAGCTTGCTTTCAGCGCGGCCCTTCCGTACCATTCTCATCGGATCCAGGTGTTCAGGGCTTCATGGTTCAGAACTTTGGGAGCTGGCGGACATGGGATATGAATGGGATAAAGAATGGGGGGGAAGTCCTGTCTTGTAGCAAAAGGCACAAGAGCCTGGACAGCACTGCGGCACTGAGAGTGTCTTGAGGATTGGGAACAGAGATGATTTGTTCTGTCGATTTACACCGCCGCTTGGCAGCGCGGACCCTGGGAAGGCAGAGCCTATTAGAGCCTATGCCCTATGCACAGAGAAGAAGGGGATCCTGAATTGCCCCTCTGCCACCAAAGCTCAAGTGCACATGTCCCACCCCTGGCCTTGTGCCCTGCCAGGCATCCCAGGCGATTTGCGGCACCCAGTAGAACTGCAACAGATTGCAAGAGGGACTCTGAATCCAGACTCCGAACCAACAAGCCACGAGTCGCAATCGAACTGTCCAGCGCCAGTTCCTGGCACATCCCAAATCGAATCGGGCCTGCAGGAGAAGAACCACCAGATCGAGGAAGGGAAGACCTTGCTGCCACAGTTTCATCTCGACGCTCCCTGCTACATAGGGTGTGTGGAGCCTAGGCTGTCTGCCACCTTTGAACAAAAGTGAAAATGGAACAGGAGGGTGGACGCAAATCTGATGATGCGCGGTCCGCTCGGTCCGCTCGGTCCCCCAAAGATTCCCACTTGTCTCAGCAAGGACCCTTACGAGCGCCACTTGCCATTTCAATAAGTGCGAGGTTTCCCTTTCGGCCATTGGAGTCCTTGACGCCAGCGCAGGGCTAAGCTGCATGAAGTTGCTCTGTGTAGCGCTGAGGCCTGGACAGTTGTAAATGATGATCAGCCCTAGCACCAAAGCACCATAGAACCGCGTGTACCTCGGCTGGGGGTGTGGGTAGAGGGTTCCCCAAAACCAATCTTGGGGGGGAGGGCTTTGTGCGATCCCTCGTTGAGGATCTGTTGCGTTCGTCGGTCCTCGCATGTAGCCGCGCCTCTGGCATGCTGGGCTCAATCCTCCCACCGGTGGAATTCCAGTCCGAATCTGCGCATATCCGCACATCCACGGCATCCTTTCGGGACATCCGCAACGTTGGCCCGCACATCTCATTCAAAGAGTCCCCACGTCCGTAAGTTCGCGAGGCGTAGAGGCAGTCGTGGGAAGGTTGCAGGGTTCACGGGCTAGGGTCAGCCTGAGAGTAGGGATCGGACAGAACACACATTGCTCGGGCCGAGAGGGAGAGACGAGATCAAGAAGGGCGGGGGGGGTGGCAGGTCAGTGTGGTCGGGCTTAGACACACCTGAGGCTGGTGCAACCACGAAATTTCTCGCCGCACTGCTTCCCATCCCTGTGCACTGTGAGTCAGGAAACTTACTCCAAGGGCTTGTAGGGTCTATAAGATATTGCAGCCACTTTCGTGGAATGTCCGCTCCACTGCGCAGATTGCAATGAAGAATCTGGGGTGGGTCTGTCAAGGATTCTAAAGGATTCAGGCCCAAGTTTGCAACATTTGCTCCAAAGCACACACTAAAGCCTACTACAAGGACATGGCGATACCTTTGGGCCATTGGCTTGCAGGCTTGGGCTTCGAGGATGAGGTCTCGAAACTCCCAGCATAACTGCCATAAGCTCCTCTGAGCACATAGAGCCAATAAGTGCCCACAAGAAACAAGCGCCCTTGACCCTGGTAAAAACCCCGAATCCCGGGAAGACCGGAAATCATCCTAAACCCTAAACCCTAAACCCTAAACCCTAAACCCAAAACCCAAAACCCTAAACCCTAAACCCTAAACCCTAAATCCTAAACCCTAAACCCTAAACCCTAACCTAAACTCTAAGCTCGAATTCAAGCAGAATTGTTACGGCTCGGGGCCTCGGCGAAGGCCTCATGACGTCGGTGTCGCAAGATGATCAAGAGGTACCGAGCCTGAAGGGTCTCCAAAGGCTCGCAAAAACACGGGTTTAGGGTTTAGGGTTTAGGGTTTAGGGTTTAGGGTTTAGGGGTTAGGGGTTAGGGGTTAAGGGTTTGAGGTGTAGGGTTTAGGGTTTAGGGTTTAGGGTTTAGGGTTTAGGGTTCAGGGTTTTAGGGACACAGAGCTCAGAGGGCTCCCTCCTGAGGCTTAGGGTTCTTGCGATGCGCAGGTAAATGAAGGTCTTGGAGATGGCCCGAGGTGCAGCCTTTGTAGCGTCCTACTCACCTTTATCATATATTATATACTGCTATATATATATATGCAAAATAAGAGTATGTGTGTGTAAATAAATACATGTAAATGTAAATATAAATATAAATATGAATACAAATACAAATATAAATATAAATACAATATATATATATATATATAGAAATAGAAATAGAAATCTGAATAAAAAAAAAGAATATAAAAAGTATATATATATATATATACCATTTCCGGCGGACCCTGAGAAATACAACGTCATGCATCATGGCGCTGCTGGTCACGTGCTTGTACAGCTTGTTGAGAAACCGTCTAAATCATGGCACAAATTCTCAGCTGCTGCTTGGGGCCCCACTTCCAGGAAGGAGCACAGCAGGAATTTGAAGAGAGCGATCATGGACATCGAGTTGAAGAGGTACTGCCGCGCCAGAAACGCTAAGAGCCTAAATCTTGACCCCCCCAGGAACAAAATAAAGTTCGCTGAGTCCCTGAACACCATGTCTCACCAGGTCGCACTTCGCATGTAAGCCAGACTGGGGGACCTAGGGCCTAAACCTAAAACCTAAACCAGTTAGTCGAACCTTTGCCCATTTTGGGTGATACTGTGGATGGACAAAACCTTGCACCTCTTTTCAAAAACGTCCTTCTGTGTTCCCCGTGCCCCCGTTTTAACATTGGCTGTGAGAAGCCACCGGCCGGATTTGCTCCAATGGCCGAAATCTTGCACCGCTCAAGTAGTCCTAGCCGCCAATGTTAAGCATGGGGTGTGGGGCTTGATGCCTCAATCGTTTGAAGTACGCATGTACAAGTGGTGCAAGATTTCGTCCATCCGCCGTAGTATACCCAGCCTACCACTAACCCACCCATTAGAACAACTATGTCACTACTACTTTCCCATCCAATACCAGTACAAGTAACCGATTGCCTTACCCATTTGAGATGATTACTCCGATACTCCCTACTCCAATTCCCCCAAATATGACCATTACTTCCCCATTCCCAAGACCGGTATAGGAATAACCAATTGCCTCATCCATAACCCCCCCAGATGGGATTATCATCCCAAAGCGGGCAAGGTTCCCTTGTAGATTTGACTAGGTTAGTTTCAAAGATTGTAAGCATAATATACTCATAGCGCAATGCCTCTTGAAGAATAAGCGATAAAATCAAACTCGGCCTGGTTGTAACCTCGTTTGCTGCCGTTTGCGCGCTGGTCAGGTTGTGCAGTTGGCATTGGCATGCATGGGGACCGTGCTTGCAGCACTTACCTAACAGCCTGTTGCAACCTTTCCGAGGACTGTTCAGCTTAAAGAGCGGATCCCCTGCATAGGCAGCCCGCATTACTCTGTCAAGGCCTCAGGAAACTGAGCTGTTTAGGCACGGCCGTGGCAACCGATGTTTGGCAAGGTAGGTGGATGCAGCCAGACCTGGCCTTGCCAGCATCCCTACGCAACACCAGCAAGAATCTGAGGGCTGGTGGCTCCAGGTTCAGAGTAAGGGGTGGAGCATGGTTGAGTCGTGCAGGGGCCGCTGGGCTACGCCTTGGCACACGGCATTATTGCGTGCCTCACTTGGGATAACTTATGACTTCTGTTAACAGTCAAAAAATGTTGCACAGAGACAAGAAAAAATCGCTTGCTGGCTGGCGACGCGGGGGGGTAGGAATGCATCAAAGCACATCAAAGCATCCAGGGGATCGAGGCTTGGGCATGGCACCTTTTCTTTCGCACATGCAAATGTCTGGAGATCTCAGTTAAGTACAACAAAGGTACTTAAGACAAGGAAAGACGCACAACGGGCACGCCTATTTTCCTTGAGCCAAAATACAATCAGTCATCCGAATCTGCTCTCCTAACCCTACTTGGTATGTACAGCTAAACGGTGGTTTGGGGCCAGTTTAGTTAACTCCCCCCTTTAGGAGACAGAACGGTGAGACTGGACTAGCAGATTGAGGGCAGGTTGAAACCTGCGCTCAGTAGTGTTGCGCGGTCTGAAGGACTCAAGCGCTCGGCATTTCTGATCAGGAATGCTATGGCAACGATTCGTTCTGAAGCCTCACATCCTGTCAGGACTGTGCAGTGGCGTGCTCTGGGATTGAAGAGTGCAGGGTTACACAACATGTGACCCCATAGGCTGTCGTCGTTTGGACATTGGACAGTCCCTTCCTCATCTTCTACCCACAATATGGGTCCACTTGTTGGATTCAACGCTACAAGGAGGTTCTTTGAGCCTTCTGCATTGTTGGAGTCTCGGTGGAGCCCCGCGACTACACCTTGCTGCACGATTATGCTTGAGAACTTGTGTGATGGCATATAACGTCGAAAGAATCGACATATCAACGCCGTTGCATATTGAAATTTGTGTGTGTTTGTCTGCAGGCCAAACACTCCTCCTAAGACAAATGCGCCCGCAGAAAATACATGCGAGTCGTGCCCCGGTGCCCCCCTCTTATCAGGACCATGAGGTAACAGCGTCAGTAGCTGCACCAGATGCTGACAAGTCGGGACCTTTGGGCAACTGCCTGCGAAGACTTCTGCGGCAAGATTTGCCTCTGCAAGTGCGGCGACGGCAGTTTCCAGGTGGGGCCCATCGCTGGATGCTGTCAAGCCAAACTGTGCGAGAGTATGTGGCCATTCTGCAGGTGGAATGACTTTTGTTAGGCCATTAGCTATCTGAGATTCGCTCTTGCAGTACACGGCAGTGACTTGTGGCGACTCTAGCTGTTCAGACATTGATGCAATGTTGACCCTGTGGACTCGATTGCAGTGTCTCAGCTTCGCCGAATAGCCTGTAGCCAGGACTTTGAGCAAGGTCTCGTTGTCTTGATGGAATACGACGTCGATAGCACGACCGAGGAGATGCTCCATCATGACCTGAATGTTCAAGGCCTCACCAAACATGGCGGAAGCCATTGCTATGGCCTCAGCCTCGGGAGTGCTTCTTGCAACACTCGTCTGTTTCTTAGATGCCCACCACAGCGGAAAGCGGAAATCTGTTGACCCTATAGTCATGTAGATCCCGCTCGTCGATTTTGCACTATGCGGACAAGAGGCGAAATCACTGTCAGTGAAGATGTGGATCTGGGGAGCTTCGTGATGGTTCACAGTAGCAGCTAAACATAAGCCTGTTGTACCGTGAAGATACGAAATCAGGCGAAGTAACTGCTTGTCTTCCCATTTAGTCCACGCGGCCACTCGTGACGCTAACCGACCGATTATGAAACACAGATCAGGGCGAGCCAACCGACCCAGCCAAAGTGCTTTCATAAGTACCTTTGCAGCTACATGGCTCAGTGTGCCGGGTTGCTGCAGGTCCTCATCTGACAATAACGCCTCGGACAAACTTGGGGTTGTGACGTTACGGAGCTTTGCCTTTGGGACATCAGCAAGCTCGCAGTACGCCTCGACGACCTGCTCTGCGAAAGCAGACATATCAAGCACAAGAGTTGTGAAGTCACTGCCTCGTTGGATTCGGTGACCTCTGCCAAGGATCCGTGCATTCGAGGCTTCGATGTAACATTCGTCTTCCAGCTTGATATGCGCTCTCAGCCTTTTCCAAAACTGTGCATGAAGATGCTTTGCTCCCGACAACGTTAGGTCATCTACATACACGTTAAGTAGCAGGGTATGGGAACCCATTTGAAAGATGAAGTTTGAAGGAAACAAATCCATCTCAATGCCACCAAAGGAAGTGAGAACAGAGGCTAGGTGTTTCTGCCATAGTTTGCCAGCAAGCGGATGGCCATATAAGCTTCGCTTCAACCTTACCACCAACTTCGACCCTGATGGGTACGCTTTGTGCCATGTGTCCAACCACAGCTCCTCGGGGAGGATAACCCATGTGTCGGGCTCTCCTGCCTCAGCGAGGTCAGCTTGAAGAAATGCCTGAATGGCATCTGCAAGGCTCACTGCGTTTCCATCTTGGCAGCCGAAAAACAATGCGATGTTAAGGGCAACCAAGGAAGTTGGTGTGGTAGCCACGTCTTCAAAAAGAACATGGTTTCCGAACTGGTCAAAAATGCAGTCCCCCCTGTACACGATTCTCCCTTTGAACTTGTGTTCATGCTCAGGGAGTTCGAAATGTTTTATCCCACATAATGTGAGAAGCTCTGCAATTTTGAGTTTACGGTTTTGCCGTTTTGCATCGGCACGCAAGGAAGACAAAAGACAGACTGTCAAATCATCCCACGTTCCGTTAGAACGTAACCCTTCTGCCTCCTTCTTCACGGCTGCAACTCCGCGCGGGTCTGCTTTCCATTCCCGCTTTGTTAAGTTCTTCGTGACCATGGAGGGGATGTGGCGATGGTAGCGTTGCGGATACCACGCTTCGACGATGTTGTGAGCGAGCTCTCGTGGGTATGCTTCAGTCTGCTTTGTTTGTGAGCCTTCGGCGGCCTCGTGCTGGTGGCTACCGTCACATTGCAGTTGTCCAAGAAATTGAACAAGTCGCAGATCATTAGTGGCTACGCTCCAGGGCTTGCGGATTGGATGCTCTCGGCCCTTCACTCCAGCCATGCAGCCATCAAAAGACACTTTGTGTAGACCATGTTCATCCTGAAATTCTTTCCATTCAGGGAGATCCCACCAGCCGGACCCTTTGGGCCACTCGACTGCGATCCTTCCATGATTTGCGATGGCAGTTGCGAGTACCTTGCGGGCATACAAGAACATAAGCTTGCTCTTCTCTTGGCGATTCCGAAGACCCTTTCCGTACTTCGCCCCATGCCTATGGACGTTCATGTTCTGCCACGGACTGAACTCGGTGCACGGCAATGAGAGCCACACATCACAACCTGGCGATGCTTCGACCTGACCTTGAACTTGTTTGACATGTTCTTCGTTGGACAAATCAATCATGCTTCGGCATAAGCGGATACTGTTGATGCCAATTTCGGATGCAGCTTGCGAAAGCTCTGAACTGTCGCCACACGCATATTCGAACAACACATCCTTGCCTATGAGCGTTTGCACCTTTCTTTGGCGGACTCTTTCCCTGTTGACATCGACAAAGACTTGCGTCACACCGAGCTCGACCTTCGCAACAAGACCTTCTACAGCGGGCTCACTCGAAGGGTGGAGACCAACGCCTTCGGGGAGCTCAGCTGGAGGAACTGGCTCAGGGGGCTTGGACGTCAACGCAATCCTATCAGCCTTTATCAGGGCATCGAATCTTGCTCGGCATTTAGGACTATGCTTCACGGAATCGAAAGTGCACGCTTTGCATCCTGGTGTGGCACCGAACTTAAGAATGCGTTCAAGCGTAATGTACTCTGCGCGCCTTCGAGGAGGATCAGCAGGGGACAGTGAGCTGAATGGTATGTCCAGCGCTGTGATAGCCTCAAGTTTGGGATCCTGGAACTCGCGAAGAGCAAGATCCGCCGCGGCCTTTAGCGGGAAGGTCTCAGTCTCTGGGACATGCACTTCCGCATATGGCACGGGGATCATGTCCCTATACCCAATCGACTTGGACTTGACGGCTTCATAGTCTAGCACCCAGATCACGTCACGATACACAAATCCGTGCTCAAACCTCCAACCTGCAAATAGTCCGGGAGCAGTTGTAGCTTCGAACTTATGCCTGCGGCTGGGGTCATGGATCCTGTAATGCACCAACTGTCCCAAGGGAAGCCTTGGGCCTTCGAATGGGGAACCAGTTGCAACCTCGAAACGCGACTTGTCTTTGCCCTGCCACGGTACAACTGTCAAAGTCTGCGCGGCAAACTGCACGGACACATGCCACAGATCTGGAACCACATGGAACCCAGCAGCCAAATGCACCGCGCGAGTCGATTCCTCGAGAGTTCTTATCTCTCTCTCAAGTTGGGCGTTGTGTGGAAATCTGTTTTCTAGGGTCGCTTCATGCACCCATCCTATTTGTGAGACGGCAGCTATTAACTCCTTTGCATCATCAGCCTTACACAACACGTTCGGGAGGTGCTTGTATCGGGCGCCTACAAAGGTAAGGAGGTTCTGAGCTGCTCTCTCAGCTGTGCGCGCACAGACAAAAGCTCGCAGTGCACCACTATATTCATCCCTGATGACATGGACTGCATGCTCACGCTTCGAAGGGATTATATAGTCTGTTGCAATCCTCTCGCCAAACTGTTCAGCAGGAGGCAAGTCACCTCTGTCTTCGAGAGGCTCTGCACGCTTCTTGGTGACTCTTTGTCGATACATGCGGCTTCGCTGACATATCTCACAGTAGGGATTCTTAGGGATATGCGTCAACTTGTGTGCCATTGAAGAGGCCTCCTTGATGAGTTGCTTCTGACGTTCTGATGTCACGTCCTCTCCTGAGTCCGACCCAGAACCTGGCGGAATGGCAGGTGGAGGAAGTGGAGGTGGCGGGACCTCGGGTTCTACTGGAGCAGGAGGTTCCGGAGCCTTCGCTGCTTCAGCAGGTTTAGGAGCTTTTGCACCTTTGACCTTGTCCTTTGGACTTGGTTTAGCCTTTGGCTTTCTTGCTGAAGAGGACTTTGCCCTAGACTTCAGCTCGTCATCAGAGTCAGGTGGAGGATCTCTAGACCCGGAGGCGGTCTTTGACGGCACCCCTGGATCCTGCAACAACTCAAGCAAGGTAGACTCCTCCGTGATATGCGGCGAGGGTCGATACGTGGTGTGCCGTGAAGGCTCTATGGTAGTGCGTGCAAGAGGCTTTGCCTTTCTAGCATCGCTCATGAAGCCAGGCATCGCAACAGTGGAAGGCGAGACGAATCTGACCTGTTCCCTGAAGATTGGAACATTTCCCTCAACTCTATCGGCACATATGGCGGATTCTTCAATGACCTGAACGTGTTCGACACTCGACAGGAACATCGGAAGCTTTCCTGGCAACCATACAAACGGCATAGACTTTGTCTCTACCAACTCACCAAGTGATTTTACACTAGGGCAGTTGTCCAGGAGATATGCAGAATTGTTTCCTAGAATGGAACCCTCGAAGCCAAGCATGAGCCCTGAATCAACGACACCATTCCCTGTGGAAAAGGATACTGTGGGTGCCTGTTCGGCCATGTGTGCGTATGCGTCTTCAGGAATGCCTTGTTCATTGAGGGCTTCACGACTCTCTAGGGATCTACCTGCACCACTATCAGCGATCCACTCGTGGTAGAACCATCCCTGTTGCGGGTGCTGATGCTGAGATGCTACAAGCAACGGAGTGACAGTGGCGGGACAGGCAGGAGCGCAGATGTTGCTGAACACAGTAAACCACCCCGAAACGAACTGGAAGAACCTACTCAATCCTGAACGCTTCCAAAAGGTTGTCTTGCTCGGTGTGGAGGAACCATCGACCGAGGCACCCCGCGCCGTAGTGGGAAGCAGCAGGGCGACAGCTGCGGCAGAGCTCTTTGCCGTAGCGCTAGCTCCAGTAGTCTTTGACCCTGGGGCCTTGTTACCGGGAGAGGTCTCATGCGAAAACGGACAATTCTCACCCCGGTTACACGTTCCCTTTGGGAAGAACAGGCATGGTACGGTAGCTTTGGGGGCATTTCCTTTGCTTGGGGCTTTGCCTTCAGCTTTGGAGCCCTGGCCTTTACCGCCTGATTTCGCCTTTGGCTTGTTTGGTGTTTTCTGTGAATCTGCACCCTTACCATTCCCTTTACCCCCCTTTCCCTTGCCATCCTTGTCTTTCCCATCCTTCCCAGAACCTTTGGTCTTGGCCGGAGGGGCTGGATTGGCAGGAGTGGGCTTGTCCGGCTTATCGCGGGAACGCTCCTCTTTCTTTGGGGCGGGAGCAGCTTTGGCTTTGGGCTTGATGAGAGTGTCACGAATTGACTCTTCGTTTGCTTCTTCTCTCAGCTCATCTAGCAATTCGACAAGCTGCGACCACAACCACGCAAAGGTTCGCTTGTTGCTACCTGGATTGGAGTCTTTGATCTTGTCGACTGCTCTGGAAAGAAGCCTGCAGTGCTTGAGCTTGGAGTATAACCAGCTAAACAAGGTAGACTCAGCGGGCCATGCTTCGGGACTGAAACCGTTCAAACAAAACTCAACCTTTTCTCTAAAGGCTTGCAGTTGTTGTTGGCTGAAGCCTTCGAGCTGGATGGCTAAGAGTGTCTGCTGGGAGACTGTCGCCCCCCTGATCCGGTCTACCCGAAACCTTCGGCTGAGCATTGCCAACAGCGCACGCCCGGAAGGCTGCACGCCTAACGCATGTGCTCGCTCGGTGAACGCCTGGGCAGCGACTCCGTAGTCTCCCTTGAGGTGTTTTGGATCTGTAAGCTGTGCAGCCAGGAATGCATCAAGGCGGGGAAGGCCGTCAGACGTGACCTGCAGATTGCGCATCTGTCGGTCTCCTATGGCTGGATCAAGGGCGACCTGGAGCCATCTCAGTATCCTGGCGTTCCCACTCTTGTCTATGCTGCTGAACGATGTCAAAACGCCGTTCCTCCATGCTCGATATCCCGCGGCTGTCGAAGGAAGTGCAGGGATTTTCAGGTCTCGAAGATCTTTGTTGTGGTAAGTATCCTGCTCATAGTCTACTTCTTCTTCCCCCGGTGCATCGGTGACATCAATGATGGGGTCATCTTCCCTCTCCTCTTCCTCCTCACCTTCCTCGTGTTCGGACCCGATGTCGTAGTGCATCGGAGGGTCTGGGGGATGCACGACTGAAGGAGGTTTGGGAGTGGAGAAGACGTTGAAGGGATTGTCACTCGAAGAACCCTTCTTGGATCTAGACGGAGCCGGCAAACCAACACCGGTGAAAACTGGCAACCTGGGTGCGCAGAAGCATCCAAACCGATTTGGAACAGGCGCAGCAGCCACACCAGCAGATCTTTGACCTTGAGTCGCTGAGACCTTTGGACTCTTATGCTTAGGGGAGGGTGTCCCGTTTCGGAGCCCCGAACCTTTCGCTTTGCTTTTAGGCTTGGATGCTTTGGGACTGACGATTTCTCGCAACTCCTTCATTGTCTCACCAACACTTGCAGCCAAGGCCTTGAGGGCTTCACTGATCTCCGTGCCATTTTGGTCCTGAGCCCTTGAGGCCTGCGACACTCGCTCTGCGTGAAGGTGGGATGTGTCGGCTTGGGACTGTTGTTGAGCTTTGATGCTTTGCATCTCAGCTTGGATCATCGCAATCCGCTTCATCATTTCTTCCTGCTGCTCCTCAAGTTCACGATTCCTAGCCTGAAGTGAGGCAATGGTTTCGTTTGCTTGTGCAAGATGCTGACCGGCTTGTTCTGAAACACTCTGGACCTGTCTCTCAGCTTCAGCCCTAACGCGCTCTGCATACTCTTGTGCGTGCTGCATGGCTTCATGTTGAGCAGAAGTGACAGCGCTCTGAACATATGCCTGAGCCTCACTCTTTGCAACCTGCACGTATGCCTGAGCTTCATGCTGAACGTTCTGGGCAAACACCTGAGCGTCCTGTTGAATGTTTTGTGCTTGCGCTTGTGCCAGCTGTGCAGCAGCAACGGCCTGAGAATGTGTTCGGGAATCAACCCCATGAAGATGCAATTCCTGACGACTCTGATGCAGGTGCAACTCTGGGGCAATGCGCTGAACATGCTGATGCAAGTGCACATCCGGGGTGGTTGTCCCATCGCCCGGTGCAAGCGAAACAGGTTGACTTGCTGGTGCAGGACTTGCAACTTCACATGCATAAGCTGGCGGAGGCAACAAAGCTTGCATCCTAGCGGAGGAAGAGCGATTTCGGGAACTAGCTAAGGCATAGGGTTGAGAGGACCTTCCCCTTCCGGTTGAAACGGCTCTTACGGGAGTGGAATCACTACTGCTCTCTCCTACCCTTGCTTCTTGTGCCCTTACAGCACTGAGTGCCCGCGCCTGTTGTGTAGGCGGCGTGCTGGAAGTGGACACCTGGAGCGAGGAATCAGTAGTTTCGGGACTCATCGCCATGGTGCCAGGCAATAGAAACCCCAGGTTCCCCTGAAGGTCAGCAGCTCTCTTTTAGCGTTTTACAGGGACCGCAGCCACAACAACACAGTGGGCACGAGATTAGTCAGCCACGTATTCGGCGATACCAAAATACCGTGAACACCATACGCCTCGACGTCCCGCACGATGTCTGATCTGTCATCCAAATGACACGCAAAGTGATCCGACCGCCGGTCCATCAAACGCTTAATGAAGGCTCCTTTTCCAGGACGGCCCGCTGGAGAGCTAGTGATGTAGACTGGCACGCCCGGAAGCTCCGAAGCCATCGACTGACGCGTTTCTTTGGCCCGTTCTGTCCCAGAGTAACTCGTGCAAATAAACTTCAGCTTCACGTGGCTCGGACGCTCTGCGTTCAAACGGTCCAAAAAATCTCGGCTGTCCTGAAAGTGGATGTTGAGCACCCCGCTGAAATCCAATGAAATCAGGACAGGGATGTCCTCACGCACTTCGACCACTTCCAAAGGTGCAACACGCGGCGCGGCAGAAGAAGAAGATGAGAGCGCCTGATTATGCTCTCTCCACTCTTCAGTAGTCCACCGGTTTATGGCTTCTCTATCTGAGTGTTGTCCCAATTCAACCTGTTCACTGAACGAATCCGCTATGGTTGGATACTCTCTTTCGTCCAACTCCCAGTCCTGCGGCGGTCTGGACTCGGGTCGGGCCTTTGCTTTGGGACGATACACAAGAAGATCTGCTGCAGCCTCCGGTGCACGTGACGGACCTGGTGTTCCGGGCAAGGTACTTGCCTTGGGAGGAACCGGGGTTCTATTACCCTTATGTTTAGGTCGTGCCCTAGGAGGTGCAGGGGTTCGATCACCCTTATGTTTCGGTCGCGGTCTAGGAGGTACCGGAGTTTGGTCAGAACCCTCAACCAAGGAACGAGGCGGAGATCTGGAACGCACTGCGACAGGAGGAGTCCTCGGAGCCGGTATCTCAGGCTCCGGCGAAGGTGCCTGAAGCACTCCCCTGACCTCTTCCAGGGTATCCTCGACGAACGCAGCGTAAGGATGATATGGCAATGCCTCCGTGCCCTCGAGCTCTCTTTCTCGAGTTCGGACCAGCCGTATGGCCCCAGACTGTTGCTGAGTACCGATGAGAAGCTGCACCAGCGCACGGATGACCACCAAGAGGACAGCTTTCCTCCGACGGAACTCAGACGAGCCTTTGACCGCAGGCGAGTTCGTGGCCCTGGAAAAAGCAGCAGTCACACGCTCCACAAAGGACTCTTCAGAGGTCACGCGTTCCCACGCCTGCAAAAAATCGTTCCAACCCATGGTACCAGAGACAATTGCACAGCCTGATTCGGGCGGCGACCCCTCTAAGCCTAATTCGGGCGGCGACCCCAACAAGCCTAGAAAGTGGCCAGAAGAATGTGTGCAGAGTGCCTGAGCTTGACTACCTTGCCGGGATTCCTCAGATGGGATATTGGGGCAATGCAGGTCTTTCAACTAACGACACGCACTCAACCGGCTGTCTGAGCCAATGCACACGGATGAGAGTGGGGAAGACCCGCGACTCTCTTTGCTTTGACCCTGAAACCTCTTAGGGATTGGGACTTTGTCCGATGTTGCGTTCACAGTGCGTGGTCAAGCCGACGGCACTGTGGGTTTGCTGTTGGCGGAGTGATGGGCTTAGTCTCAACCCGAAGGGAGACCACAAACCACGCGAAGATCGAAGTCTGAACTGAACCTGCTGTTTGGGCAGTTCGAGGCGAAGCACACGGTGATGCAGTGATGCTTCGTCAGACGCCTAGGGTACCCACAAGGCCTAGCCTCCCTAAACCGTGCAGGGGTTCACAGGAGAGGGTACAAAGGCAAGATGTTCAGGAATGTTTGAAGTGAAGTCCGAAAGTCAGAACCAACCAGGGCAAGAGGGGCGAGCACCTCGACACCGCAGCGGAGATGCGCAGCCACACGATGTACCTGGATGTCACGGAAAGTATTGAGGCAATCTAGGGACCCACCTATCGTCGGCGTACGTTAAAGCACGGACAAGGACCCTAAGCTGCCAGTCAAACGATACCTCTCTGTAGTGATTAGCAAGAAGATTACTCACGAACCTTCTCCACCAATTTAGCGGATGAGCAATCAACAAACGCGTGATGCGTTTCTCACGCAAGGCCTTAATGAAATGAACCCAAATGTGGAGGTGTGTTGCGTAATGCTCTTCCGGCTCAGTGCTTTGCATGCACGATCGAAGATTTCGAGATATGGAATGCCACGTGGAAAGCCCAACGGTGGCTTGCAGGTGAAGTGAATGCAATTGCTGAGCCTGGCTCTGGCTCGACACAATGCTGGATGTGAAGTATGAATGAGGCAGGGCCAGCGGCTCCTGTCGCGCAATTTCAAGCACACTCTCAAGGCAGGTGTGCGGTTATGGAGGGGGCACTATGGCGGCGCGCGGCTTTGCCTACGTTCCTACCAAAGTGACCACGTAGCTTGAGGCTGTTAACCAGTTAAGTACAACAAAGGTACTTAAGACAAGGAAAGACGCACAACGGGCACGCCTATTTTCCTTGAGCCAAAATACAATCAGTCATCCGAATCTGCTCTCCTAACCCTACTTGGTATGTACAGCTAAACGGTGGTTTGGGGCCAGTTTAGTTAACTATCTCGCCCGGCCTTCTTGGCCCTTGCGGAAACCAATAGTATTTGGGTTTCAATTTAGAGGGGATCAACGGAAGCCCCCTGAAACCCACATCTCAACTCAAAAGGCATCAAAGTGTGTAGTATGGTCAGTAGTGTAGACAGTATAGACAAAGGGTTCAACGGAACCCCGTGAAACCAGCCCAGGGCCGATAAACCATTTACAACCCTAATCCGGCTAACCTATCCTCTGTTCTGACTTACACCTCTCCATCCAGCTCTTTGTCCTTCATTTCCTGCTGCTTCTCTATGCAGCGCTCGTGGTGCTCCTGCTCTGCCAGGCCCTTCAAGTAGAGCAGGTGCATCTGCTCCAGAGCCCTCTCCAGTTCCTCCACGCGCCTCTCGCGCGTCTCCACCGATTGCAGCTTCAAGCTGCTGCTGCTCTCATTCTCAGCGACAGCTTGTTCCCGCATAGCGAGCTCCACTCGCGGATCGGTGGGCTCCGGGCTGCCAGTCTCAACCCAGATGCAGAGGCGGCGATCTTTCGCAGACAAAGTGTAAGGCACCAATCGGGCTCTGACACCCTTGGGGCTCCGCGCGCAGCGTAGGGAATCGACAACGCGAGGAGCCAAGGCTGCCTCGACATTTTCCTCCAGCAGCATGGTATACTCGGCCCAGCGGACGCCCTTGCGGCGTGCTGCTGTTTCGGCAGAAGCTGCAATGGAGCAGCCCACGACGAGGTGGTCCAGAGTCTCCTTGTCTTTGTGAAGGCGGACCAAGTCCGCAATGCTGCAGTTCTTCTGGATGGGACCCACAAAGGCTGTCAGGGCAGGTGACATTTCGAGAATATGCCCCGCTTCGATATCGATAGTGAGCCAGGCACCTCCAGTGCCGCTCAGCAGCTTCCTAATCGCCAGCTTGTTGCGAAAAAGCTCAGCGTACGCCGAGCACCAGACGCGCTCCGCCACATAGATTGGAACCAACATGCAGAATGCGACTAAAAAGCACGGCACGCCTGGCACGCCAGTCGTCTGCTGTAGGACCATCAAAGCTGAGCCATAGGCACCAAGAGCATATACGTCTCCACTGCACATGATCACAAGCACAATAACCCAGAACATCGCCAAGTGTTCCGAGCAGAGTGCGTCGCGCCGCTCCCAAGCGGAAGTGCCCTCGTCCGTGGTTCCGATCACGCGCCAAGCGGCTCGCCAGGTGTGCTCGGACGCGGCAACGCCCAGAGCCACATCCGGGAGGTTTGAGGACTGCATCAATGCTGGAGCACAGCCAGCGAAACACAAAAGCAAGCCGAAGATTACGTTGTTGAATGCTAGGTTTTCGTCAAAGCCCTGCGACATCCCCTCGGCCAGCAGTGATGCGACGAAAATGGTCAAGGTCGTCAAAGCACGCAGGCGTCGGCGGCTCAGCATGCTCCAAGCGTAACCCGGCGTGGCTGGCAGGTTGTGTTGTTGATACCAGTGGTAAATCTTCGATCTGGGAAGGAAGCAAAAGATGTCGCGGTAGACTGGCAGGCGCTGCGGCTGTTCCTCCGAAGCTGTCTCGGCTTCGCTTTCCGGTGGGGTCACGCCGGCCTCAAGATCGGGTCCAGCTTCCAGCAGCGGCTCGGCCGCCGCTGCCATTGCCATGACCTTCGAAAGGTAGGGCTCGCGATTTCAATGCGACCACAGCTTGAGTCGTCGCTGCATTTTGCACGGTCCAAGGGTACACGGCCCCAGTGGCCCACAACCAAAAACCCGAACATGGCCCGCACGACCCTGTTAAAGCAAAACAAAAGGCAAGCCTTGCTCCGGTTTAGCTTTCGTGACAAGGCGAAGACCAAATTGACCCAATATCTTCTCGCTCATTGCAGGTTCGCCAAGATTCTTTCTCAGGGCTTCAAAGAAAGAAAAAAAAGAATTAAAGGACCGGATCACCCCACATGCAAATTTATCTATTGAGAAAGAGTAGAGAGGTGCGCGAGTGAGTGCGTGGGTGAGTGTGAATGTGAATGTGTGTGTGTGTGTGTGTGTGTCTCTGTGTGTGTCTGTGTCTGTGTCTGTGTCTGTGTCTCTGTCTCTGTCTGTGTCTGTGTCTGTGTCTGTTTCTGTGTCTGTGTCTATGTCTCTGTGTGTGTGTGTGCGTGTCTCTGTGTGTGTGTGTGTGTGTGTCCGTGTCTTTGTGTGTGTGTGTGTGTGTGTGTATGTGTGTCTGTGTGTGTTTGTCTGTGTGTGTTTGTCTGTGTGTGTTTGTCTGTGTGTGTTGTCTGTGTGTGTCTCTGTGTGTCTCTGTGTGTGTGTGTGCGTGTCTGTGTGTGTGCGCGTGTCTGTGTGTGGTGGTGAGCGGTCGGGTAAGGTGTGGTGAGGGTTGTGTGTTGTGGGCGGTCTGTTAGTGTGGGTGGTGTGGTGTGCTCGTGTATCTGTGTTCTGGGTGTGTTGTGTGTGGTGTGGGTGGGTGGGTGCGTTGTGCGTGAAGTGCGTTTTTATGTGTGTGTGTGTGGTGTGTGTGGTGGTGTGTTGTGGGTTTGGCAGATAGTTTGGTGTAGTGTGTGTTGTGATGTGAGAGTGTATGTCTGTGTGGTGTGTGTGGTGTGTTTGTGTGTGGAGAGTCTGTCTGTGTGTGTGTGTGCTAGTTGTCTCGTGTGTGGTCTATGTGTGTGCGTGCTATATGTGCGGTGTGCTGTGTGTGTGTGTTGTGTTGTGTTGTGTTGTGGTGTGTGTGTGTGTGTGTGTTGGTGTTGTTTGTGTGTGGTGTTGTGTGTGTGTTGTGGTGTGTGTGTTGTTGTCTGTGTCTGTGCGTCTGGTATGCTGTTATGAATCTGTGTTGTGTGAACTGATGTGTCTGGTCGTGTCTGTGCTGTGCTGTGTACTGGCTCCTCTGTCTGACTCCCCTGTTCACTGGGTCGGGTCTGTGTCATGTGGCTGTGTATGTGTCTGGTCTGGGTCTGTGTCTGTGTATGTGTATGTGTCTGTGTCTGTGCTTTGGTCTGTGTATGTGTCTGTGTCGTGTGTCTGTGGTTATGTGTCTGTGTGTCTGGTCGTGTCTGTGTCTGGGTTATGTGTCTGTGTATGTGTCTGTGTCTGTGTACTGTTTGTTGTGTTTTTCTGTGTGTGTGTGTGTGTGTGTGTGTGTGTGTGTGTGTGTGTGTGTGTGTGTGTGTGTGTGTGTGTGTGGGCATGTGGGCGTGTGGGCGTGTGTGTGGGCGTGTGGGCGTGTGGGCGTGTGTGCGTGTGTGCGCGTGCGTGTGCGCGTGCGTGTGCGCGCGCGCGTGCGTGTGCGTGTGCGTGTGCGTGTGCGTGTGCGTGTGCGTGTGCGTGTGCGTGCGCGTGCGCGGCAAGTGTCCAGGGCCCCTAAGTACCGCGCCTGCCAGCACAAACGACACCTGTGTCGCGCCCGCCAACGTTTCGCGCGCCCCGAGCGCGCGCGCGCGCGGCACCGGTCCAGGGCCCCTAAGTACCGCGCCTGCCAGCACAAACGACACCTGTGTCGCGCCCGCCAGCGTTTCGCGCGCCCCGAGCGCGCGCGCGGCAAGGATCCAGGGCCCCTAAATACCGCGCCTGGCAGCACAAACGACGCGTGTGTCGCGCCCGCCAGCGTTTCCCGGGGCCCGGCGCGCGCGCGGCAAGGATCCAGGGCCCCTTAATACTGCGCCTGCCAGCAGAAACGACACCTGTGTCGCGCCTGCCAGCGTTTCCCGCGCCCCGAGCGCGCGCGGCAAGGGTCCAGGGCCCCTGAGTACCACGCCTGCCAGCAGAAACGACACGTGCGTCGCGCCCGCCAGCGTTTCCCGGGGCCCGAGCGAGCGCGCGGCAACGGCCCAGGGCGTGCTATGGTGCGTGATGTGGCGCGTGATGTGGTGTGCGTGATGTGGTGCGTGGATGTCGCGCCTGTCATGGCGCGTGATGTGGTGCGTGCTGTAGTGCATGATGTGGCGCGTGATGTGGTGTGCGTGTGGTGGGTGATGTGGTGCGTGATGTGGTGCGTGGATGTGATGGGTGATGATGGTGGGTGATGTGGTGCGTGATGTGGTGCGTGGATGTGATGGGTGATGATGGTGCGTGATGTTGTTTGTTGAGTCAGGTGGTGCGTGATGTGGTGAAAGAGGAAGGAAGGAAAGAAGGAGGAAGGAAAGAAGGAAGGAAGGAAGGAAGGAGGGAGGAGGAGGAAGGAGGAGGAAGGAAGGAGCGCGGGACAGCCCCAAAAGTAAGAACCCCACACAAAGATGTGGGGAAAAATGGCTTTCAGGTTCGTAAACAGCAACCCTCAACCTCGGTCCTAGGGTCGATTTGGGGCGCCCCCAAAAAAACCAAACTGTTCTTGGGCTTTCTAGGGGTTTACGGCCAATAACGATTGAAAGTGTGTTTGGATAGGTGGACGCTGACTCTTCGCTTCTCTACTGTGCCGGCCGCGCCTGTGATGAGAGGCCGAGACAAAGATGGAGGAAGGAGTCGTAGGCGTCGGTGAGAGCCTGCCAGAGAAACTAAGGTTCGGGGCTTAGGACCTTTGAGCATGAAAGTGACACACCACATAGCGCACTTTGATACTCAACGGCACCCCCAACGGCACCTGCATGGCAATGCAAAGCATGGACACCTCCAAAGCAACTGCAACATGTCGATGTCGCGGGTGTGTCTTGATTTACAAAAGCAGACAGGCAGCTCAACATGCAGGCCGCACAGGAAGGCAATGCATCAGATGGGTCCAGAATTCACTAGCTGTTGTCTGCTGCCTGCCTTGGCAACTGCTGGACCATCATCGGCTTCATTCATCTGACTCATGAAGCACCTTGCGTGCGCGTCACACTGACCCGCTGTGAATGCGCTGACTTGCGCTTGGCACACGAAAGCAGACTGCACTTTGCAACACTGACGAAGCAGGCCTGATCTGCCAGACACAGAGCAGGTTCACCCACATTGAGTAGTGAACCACCTGCTTTGACTAAAGCTGCCGTCTTCCTCTGACTTTCTGCTACCCTGCGACCACCGCAGCCCGACCTTGTTGGAGAGAAATTCCCTGTCTACGACCTTGCTGACGAAGCGTAGACGAAAGCCACAGCTCTCGCCAACAACCTGACACTTCGATGCCAACGTTTCCACACTTCTCGGAAGCTTTTTCGCTGCACCCACCATCCCTGGGGTTCAGTCGGGCTCGGCTTCAGCTTCAGTCTGAGGGTTCTTGGCATTGGGGGATCCATCCAGCGCTTATTGAGCCACATTGAGCCCTCCATCCCCCTGACACGGGCAGTGGTGAGAGAAGACGTAGGATCATCAGGATTCATCAGGCCCAGCCTCGCCAGAGATTCTGGACGCGGAAGGGTGCTCTCCCAGATGTTCGGGGTACGCCACCTGAAAAGCTTGTTCCTTTGAACCCCGGGAGACTCATACATGTCTCCACATGCATTCTCATGCATCTTCCAGAGGAGGAACCCGAAGAACATCAACAAGCGCAGATGCAGTTGTCGGCCTTTACGCCATTTTCTAAGCTCACAACCTCGAAGCCGGTGTCAAGGTAAGCTTGCACCACACAAGACCTGCAGAGCAATGCCGCTGCGCCGCTGCGCATGGCGGGCGATTGCCGAATGGAGATGGAATGCACATAGCATACATAGCCAGAATGCTCCCTGAAGAGGAAGATGGACAACACACCGCGAAGCAATGCTTTTCTGCCACCCGACTGAGCTCGCACCTCGCGCCGAAGTGCCGGAAAGTCCTGCACTGCGAAAGGTGACATCGCCGGTTGGATTTGGTCGGCATGTGCAGGCATGTGTATCCAGATGACCGGCAAAAGGATGCTGGGAAAACAGCCGTCAGCAGTCCTGGGGTCCGTGTTGCCGATAGCAATGGCCCTGCGATGGGGTAGGGAAAACCTACGGAGTTACGGGAGTTCTTCTTAGAAAGCTCGATGCACGGCTTCATGTACAGTACAAGCAACGCTCAAAGCAACCCAGTGTCAGTTCTCTTTGTGCTCCCCGTCAGAGGAATCTTGGCGCCAAAGGCGCAAGCATTAGCTCAGAATACAGATTCTGCAGGGCTGGCTCTTTGCAGCCGCCGCCATCTCAGAAGGACGAAGGCACAGCACTCCAAGTTAACCACGACCAGCTTGCATGCGCTCACGTGCGCTGAATGGCAGGTGGCTGTCAGAGCCCGTCTTCCTGCAGGATCAGCCCGAATCAACAAATTACATGGAAGTGGCTGCAATTCACTGCTGCATGTGCTGTCCGGCAACGGAAAATGACATGGTCACCCTCGCGCTTCACGGCTGGTCTCCTTCGCTTCTTCTCCTTCTCGCTGACTTTGTACAGTGACTGGCGCTTCTCCTGTACAGGTCACAAAGTGCGCCTCCGACACACAGCAAAGTTGAATATGCATCTTGAGCCGATTGCAAACCCCAGGGGTGCTGCCAGGATTGCTGCTCTTTAACGGTTGCAGCCCTTGCAGGGAGCAACGCCACACTCAGCCCTGCGGCCTTCTTCTCTTTTGGCTGCGTGTCCTGACAATGTCAGAGGACATTCTCAGGGCATGCATCCCGCTACCCAAGGCTGCATGACTGTGAAATCGCGGTTGCATGCGGTTGCTACGACTACGCGTCGTCACGGTCACTGAAGCTGCAGGCAAACTTGGCCTTGAAAATCTTGTCGGAGGCTTGAAGCATCTCATGCGGCCTCGGAGATGACAAGCACAGATGACAAAGGACTGATTATACACGTACGAACATGTACGAGCAAATACGGGCAACGGACTTCAATGGACTTCATGTGTCTAAGCCTTTGAGCCTCTTGGGACTCTTGGGCCCCATAGCCTTTGTGCCTCGGATCCTGGCTTGATGCCGAATCGCTGCATCCACCGCCGGCGCTCGTCCTCCGCTTAGGACACCAGGCAGAGCTTACGGCAAGATGAGACAAAGGCCCTTCCCCAGTGGCACACCTTGTCCATGCCGGAGAAGTCAGGTCTCTCAGGCGCCTGGTTAGGATCCTCAAGCAGGTCCACACAGTCGTCGAGGGCTTTGATGCTGGCATACTCTAATCTACGGTCACGAGGCGGGGCGGGGGGGTGGTTAAGAACAACCCAATGTGAAGGCAAGCAAACATGAGCTGCACAAATACAGAAACAACAAAGAAGAATGAAGAAGAAACAACAAATAAAAAGATTAATGTGTCAGAAGTACCATGAGCAATATAAACTCCACATGAATTTCGCAGCACATATCTGTTCCACACACTACAAACCGACGGATGTCATGAGCATGTTTTGATGTGTATACAGCTGTATCAATGTGCGTTTGCGTGTTTCTGGAAGCACCATCTTCACTTCCATCCAAGGCCAGCTGGCAGAACATCGTTTACAAGGCGGATTCCTTACAATGGCCCCTCGGATGCGAGGAGCCTCCTGCTTCACTGGCTTCTCCGCCCACGGCGAGGGCGTGGCATCATCCGCATCCGTAGGCATGGCCTGCCACCCAAAATGCTGAACCCCTAATCCCAGCCTTCCTAAACCCTAAGCCCTAAGCCCTAAACACATTATGAAGACATCCCCAACACTGTCCCTACTCCAAGGTCATAGGAGCGCGCCTTGGGATCCAGATCCAGCCCGTGAAGCCACTTCTGGGGCTTGGCCGGTGCCTCCAGCTCCTGAACAAGTTGAACAAGATGACAAGTTACAGATAGAAAAGCAGATTGAGAGAGGGAGATAGAAAATTGAGGTAGAAGGAGATAAGGAGATCGCAGAAGATCGCAGAATGCCCTGGCAAGACCGTTTTGAGAGATCTGAGATTACGGTATAAAGATCTCAAGAGCGCATCTGTCCTCGGGTTTCTTGTAGCCTCAGTCGCGGGTCGGGCACAAGTTTCGAGTCTGCTACTGTACTTCACAGCCAAAGGCACAGCTCTACGATCCCATCAGTCGGCATAGCACGGCACAGCTTCATGATGCTTGATGCGTTCACCCACAGCCCCACGCTGGGAGTTCGACTGTACTTGCGCTGGGCATCAACTGCCTCGTTGACACCCGGCCGGCTGCCATCCACGGCACCTCGACTGCATTCGACATGCCCTACTTCCGACACTCTGTCCCAACCCTGTGCTTGGACACGGGCCAAGGGTGATCATCCGGCACACGCCGCACTTCAGCGTTCCGGTGGAAGCTTCGACCTGGCGTGAGCGGACCACACTAGTTCAACAGCGTCACGCACTTGTGATGACCCGTGAGGCACTAGGCCGCCCACCCAACACCCCCATTGTAGCTGCCAGCAGACCCAACTACAAACCCCCGCCTCCCCCCGCCGCTCGTGGCGCCAGGGCGCCCTGCGCCAGAAGACTCCCCCCAAGGCTACCTGAGACGAAAGTTAACACAGCTGCCCAGCTTGTCTGCTGGAGTCGTGCAACGTTGGCTGTGAAGGAATGGGCTATGACTGGAAACATCCCTTCTACCACGCTCGCCTCGACACAAAGACACAAGAGCACGTCGAAACGTATGCTCCGAGGAGGCGCAGCATGGTATTTGGGCTCTGCCGCCACTGCGAGCTCTGCCACGGCCGGGGAGCAGCACTGGCGAACCGCACCTCGTTCGGAGTGAGTCAGTGAGTCAGCGAGTGAGGCGAAAAAGATCTCAGATTGCGACTGTGACCGGTAGGATGAACATCTTCAACAGTAAAAACCCAGAACCATCGTGCGAGCATCTCTGCGACGTGCGGTTTACAAGACTCTCACGCAGAACGGGGGAGTGAGGACACCCATGCTTACCAGAGTTCTTCCTCGCTTTGCCGCTATGCACAACTTTAAGGCTCAGGAAACTTGGCAAACGGGTTCAAGGTTACAAGTACCCAAAGCAAAAAGCGAACTACAACCTCCACAGTTGCCCGTGTCCTGGGGCATGGCTTGGCAGGCTGCGTGCATCCAAGCCGCTTTTTGCCAACCTTCGTGCTTCTGCCTGAGCGAGTGCTCTGGCGGACTGGTAAACAGTACACCGGACAGCACACCTCAGAGCACAGCGTTCCAAAAACAATCGTGCCCTACTATGGCATGATGTTTTGTTAATCTAGCACACTACCTTTCAATACAAAATCAACATTACATCTAAGTTGTGCTAGTAGTAAGCTATAACAGCTGTCACATCATCAAGAATTTCTCATCTTCTGCTCGAAAATGGTACGAACCATATTCAGGCATTTACGAGTATTCCAAAGCATCGCACAATACTCTCTCGCAATTTCCTATCATACCGCACAATACCGTTTTCTTATACAACATGCTTAGAACTAGTAACTTGCAGCTCCCAAGCCTCAACCTCAGCATGCTTTCATGACACCGGGTTCCTCGAAATGTGGGGCCCGCCTCCTCTGGCCATGCGTCCTTCAATCCACCCAGGATTCCCTGTCAACAGAAGCAAAGAAGCCAAAGCTGGGAATCCGTTGAACCAGTGCTCCAGTGCCCGACTTGTGAACGCTCCCTTCGTAATCTTGAGAATATATTCTGGGTTCGTACCTAAACATGGGTCTTCAGGACCCTATAATATTCGGGAGTTTATGGGGTTAAGGCTGATAAGGGTGTAGAGTTGGGATTTAAGGGCGTTGTGGGGTGAAGAGAAACCTGAGTTCTTCTTTCGACTGTCTTTCACAAACGAGAATCCTGGACAAAACTGCCCACCTTTGGCCACTCGGAAGTCAGTAAGATGTCGATACCTGCACCAAAGGCATCCAATCCCGTAAGGAGATGCTTTCAACATCTTTCAACCCAAAAAAACACCCTGAACTCCACTTAACCCTATCAAAACCTGATGTCAAGATGCACCTCCGCTGTCTCCGATCTCCTCGCTCAGACGCTCTATGGCAAGGGGCGTGTAGCAGCCGTCCAGGAACCTTTGACTGTGAAATTCAAGAACGTAGCTCCGAGATGCCCTCGACCCCAACGCTGCCAACATGGGAACTTAAGCCTCTCGCAGCTGCGTTTGCATGTACTCCTTCTTCTTCTCTTTCGCCTGGTGCATTTGGATGTCCGGATGTGGTTTGTGACGGCTAAAGCCGAGCAGATTACAGGAAGCTGAAAGACTCAAAGGGAAGAGCTCCCACAAAGCCAGACGGCCCAAGGAAATGGGCTGAGACACCATGCCAGTGAAGCCCCGCGCGCTCTACCTCGAGCCATGGCTTTCTGCCCTGTAACGGCAATCCGCTGCACTAGCCTGTCCGGGCCTTGAGCTCCTCCCAAGATGGCCCGGAGCTCCTGGAATTCAACGCAATGACTCTACGCATGCAGTGCTGCGAGATGCTATGTACCCCGTCCCTTCCAGTCCTCCATCCCTACGAGTCCTGAACGCGAAGCCCTGAAGCATCCTTCTGGGACGTCCTGGCGGAAGACGGCGTTGCCTCCAAAGGCGGCGGGGCCCCCGCGAAGAGCCCACGGTCCCCTTCCTGCCAACGAGGAAAGGGGGGAGAGGGTAGCCTGCTGTGGTGCTAGCGGGCGGTAGTGATGGTGGTGGTCATGTTCGTTCTCGTAGCAGTGGCGGTGGTGGTGGTGGCGACAGCCGTCGTTTTGTAGTAGACAAAGAAGTAGAAGTAGTGGCAGTAGTGGAAGGAGCAGCAGCAGCAGCAGCAGCAGCAGCAGCAGCAGCAGCACATCAAGCACGAATGGGGTTATCTACGGCCGCAGCATAAGTACCAGAGCAAAGACAGCAGCGAGGCCTGCGCGGCATACTTGGACTTAACGTCATCGGCTTGGGGCAATGTCTGACCTTGAGTGCCAGATTGTAGTAGAACGTGGCCAAGGCAGACCACAAAGTCCCCCAACACGAGTCCCACACCATCTTGATCATCATTGTCATCCTGCGAGTCGGCTCGAATACTCATGCGCAACCGG